ACACGATGCACACCTCCCCCTCACAAGGTCGTCTGCTTACCTCTCTGTCTGCGTCCTCAACCAGCAGTGTGACAATGCCACCTCTCACTTTTCACTTTGTCTGACGACGGGTTGGTGCAACCAGCTCGAAAATTCACGAGTGAAACTCTATTTCCGACGGACTTCCTCCTTTCATCATATCATCTCGGAATGCATACTACCTCAGTTATTCAACATATATATATATATATATATATTTTCTCCTAGAATTGCAGTTCATCAGCCGCAACAAATCGGAGCAAATTTCGGGGATGAAGGGGCTAGAGGGGCCGGCGGTTGTATGCCACCTCACAGCCCCGGATAGCCACCTCATAGCCCAACCCAGTCCCGCCATATCTGAGGGGACCTGGCGCGGTGGTGCCAGCAGGGACATAGCGCAGCGCCCTAAAATCTGCACGGCATATTTCGTTGTCAATAGCTGTCATTTTCATTATGCTGCCAGAGGGATTGGACGTTGTGGTGACTGTTTCGAATGTCTTTACTACAGCCAATCTCAAAGCCAGGACATTGTTGAACGGCTTGACTGGTGTGCGGGTTGATCGGCTACGGTTTGTTTGTGCAGCTAATCTAGTGTATTTGAAGGTGTTCGAGAAGACCCTGAGTCTGCATTAATAAGAGAAATTTGAATGACAATCAATAGAGTTAGTCTTGGTGCATGACGTTGATTTGGTCTCAAACGTTGTTAACAGGTTTGCTTATCAAGGCATCGTGTTTATCACGTCAAGAACTCTGCGAGGATTCCCCGCCAATACCAAGTTCACTTGACTCATCACCCTTTTCATGTGTCTTTTCGTTACGGGGCCCCTACAACAGCGTCTTCGCGAATGACTTTTTTTGGCAAGCGCCGGTTGGATATTGAGAAAACATATCTGCCTTGTCGAAGCTAGGTCCGTTTAGATATTTTATTTGTACCCATCATTCAAAGTAACTCCAGGATTTGTGTACGTTGGATTCTTTGAATATCTATCAGCTTATTGGGAAATCGGTGACTGCATTTGGTTTTTATTTGCAAGGGCAGTTCTTTTTTAAGTAAATGATGATTCTGCAAATGGGTCGAGGTGAAACGTAATCAGAAGCACGGTTGACGTGAAACCAGAGGTCATTCCTGGTAACTTGCGCATTTTAAAACTGCCGTAATGCGACGTGAAAATCTCCTTGAAAGGTGTCTTTTTTACGAATGACTGTCAGGAATTGAGATTATCTCGCCGCATTCCGACAAATGTTGTAAGCTGGGTATGACTCACAACACGACACAAGAGATTGTACCGGAACCGGCGGACCTATGAATGGCCTAGACCTCGGCACTAAGATGTGAAAGTAGTAAAGTGAACATCGGTTAATGATACAGTTCGACCGTGTGCTTAATGTTGAAGGAAGGGCAGAAATTGAAATTAGTCTCGGAGGTGGAAAAAGAATCAGCAACGCGATTGAAAACGTCGGTGGCGTTTTGGGGAACAAGACTTGAGATACGGCTTATCCTGCTCACCGCCTTGTGACCTGATGACTCTGTGGTCTAAATTTTCAGTCTTTACCTAGATGTCACGCAGAGACATTTTGCAGGGGTTTTGACATGGCGGAACGGAAGGTGAAGATTTGCGTGTTGCTAGCCATTTGAAAACAAGGCCTCAAGAAAACGCCTATTTACTTCAGCATAGGGCATTTTCGGCAGAGTGACGAGTGTGAGCGAAGCCGGATCATCGCATGCAGGAATTAAAAAAGCAATATCTCAAAACTGCAAAACCATCGAGAATTCGCATGTAAAGTGATTTCGGTCGTGGCTGAAATGAACATGACGGTCCTACGAGATGATTTATCTGGAGCGTTTTTCTTGAAAGTAGGGAAGCAAAGTAAGTAGGAAATTAGGAATTAAATGTTCACTTTGCGTACCGCTACTGTACGTGGATGCTTATGCTTAAACTTAGCCTAAATGCGGGAGTTGTCTTCTAGAAGTACATGCATTCAAAGGAACATGACACAGCAGTCGTCGTTGGCAATAGGGATTGCTTTATTGATAATGAAATGAGATAGGCAGTCGTCCCCTAATATTGCTCGGAACGAATCGATAGTAGGTTAAAACGCAGCGCAGTTATTATAACGATTCCGATTTGATTGCCGTTACGCGTCATTTTGGACCACACAAGGACGTCCGTGTTCGCGGCTTACAGAGCAGAGAACTAAAGCGGTTTCCGCCATTTGTAATTTCCAGCCTTGGAAACAATCTATCAACATTGATCAGACTGTTGTCTCTCGCAAACAAGGTTTATCGCCTTTTTTCTCTAAGGATATCAACCAATGCTAGGGTATATCTAGGAAGTACTTTCTCTTGCCTATTCCTTCATGCTACAGTTCTTCCTTTCGAATACTGTACTCAAAACGTTCGGGTTCTCTGGGCCCTCCTAATCTCTCATCCAGGAATATTTCCACGGGCTCGTTCAGAACGCACTGTCTTTCCTTAAACATCCAGACTTCATAGTTTATATATCCAAGCATTATCGAAAAACTCTAAAACATGGGCAATACCACTAAGTGTTCCAAATGTAATCTGTTCCTTCGGCACATGTTATTGCGCAGTAGTTTGCCTCACGCAGACTCCTAAACAAACATTGCCGCACTTATGTTGCCAGCTTAGCCAGTACTCGGTTTGCTATAACTGTGCCTCCTGGGTGTCTAACTAGAAAACCATTGTTATTACAGTACCTGTGCTAACTCATGAAATGTCATGAATTAACACAGGTTAACGACTTAAACGCAGAATCGGTAAACATTAAGGCTCCCAAAGTCTGATAGCGGAAAATAAACGATGTGTCAAAGAAATAAAGCAAAGTTTGGTTAAGAAAATATTATTTACTGAGATAAAAATACATAATTTTCGACAAAAGTCACATTTTCGAGAAATGCCTATATTACAACCAAGTTAATAAAGGCTACGTATGAGGGCGTATAAAGGAGGAGGGTGCATAAAAGGTCAAAAATAATTAAGGACAGAAACAGATACTAAAAATTAGTACCTTGTTGATTGTCCATTTGAATTAATAACGGCAGATAGTCTGTCAGACATAGACATGACGAGGTTATCTATGGTGGATTGTAAAATGTAATTATTGAGTACGAAATCCAATTTTTCCTGCATTGAAAGAGTCTTCTTAGCTTTGTGCCAATTTCTTTTGACTATTCCAAAAAGATTTTCGATAGGATTCAAATCGGGACTGTTGGCCGGGATGAAAATGGATTGGAGGCCGATGGCGGAGAGGGTGGTTGTTGTCTAAAATGTTAGATTATATTTATAGGTCTTCAGAATTGCAGCGGACGCTGGAATTTACTGAAACTAGCGCTCTATTACACCAAGTCATGTGAACCACAGCAGCACTAGAAAATTGACCAGTTAGCCACTTCTAAGGCGGGCTTTCGGTCTTATAAATTCTGGTACACAAACAGTGCCACAGGTGCAGAAAGTTCTAGAAAGCTAACCAAAGCGCACCCATGCTGTAGTAAGTTTTAGAAGACGCGCACATAGCCCCCATAGGGGCGCGCGCGCCAAAATTTCCCACATTTATACAACAAGCACTTAGTTGCAATTTAGCCTCTTATAAAAAGTACACATATAATAAATTAACATGAGCGCAAATTAATGAGAATATCTCTAGCTTAAGTTTGCTTGACTTTCCCCAATAAACCTAATTCCAATCAATCACACTGGCGGATCCAAAATCAACGCTTGGAGTAGCTAGAAATAAGGGCTAGAATTAACCTCCAGAGACCTCATGGCAAGCCACCGCTCATCGAACGTGCGAGTTCTGTCGTCGTTTTCGCTGGACCTCCGCGTTCTCTGCCAACCCCTCGTGGACAATCACCTTGACCCAGTTTATTTCTGTAATTAGGCTCCCATCTTAGATTCTTTTTGTACAAAGGCCACCGAGCACACATCAGTTTCTACCAGTCTTACTTTCATTAGGCTGCCTTTGTACTGACACTCGGGTTCGTTACACAGGGTTGCTCTCTGAGATGGGCTATTTATTCAAAAAGGACCCTACAAACGCCTTAGTAAACCAACAACAAGATATGCGCTCGGACTTCTTACGTAACGCTGCATACGAAGACATGCATTGGCACGCAGATGATGATAAAACGAGTTTTAATTAATGCGATGGGTGGAAGTGCAGCCATCGTCATGAAATACGACCCGGTTCCCTGTCAATACAAATGCTCGCATAAAGGTTGGCATGACCTACACAGGAGGAAGCTCCCGGTCCCAAACTAGTTTTTCTGAATTTTTTAAGTAGTTCAGCTTTCTCTGATGCTTTGTAATATTTGAAATCCAGGACACATCACATCATTTAAATCAGCATTAATTTTCAGATAATTAAGGTGGATTCCTACTAAGCACGCCGATGTACATCCTGTTCGCAAAAATTCCCCGGAAATTTTAAAAAAGGCTTAAGAAAGTCCGAACAGGGTGAATTTGATCTTAGCTATAATATAAGCAGCTGGCGCCCCTATTTGCAGTCTTGCTAAAATATGCCTACAGCAAATTGTGGGAGGCTACCATAGCTCCCTGCTGTTGAAATTATTAACAAAAAGACCTCTTCCAAGGAGTTTAAAAGACCTCCAGCTCTCTAAAAAATGGAAAGACGCATTATTTCTTAATCGATTACTCAAATAAGTTGCAAACAAAAGCCTTACTCCACGAGTTAAGAATGGATTTCGTATAATGCGAAAATTGCAATCGTCAAATCCCCAACATTGTTTTAATACACTTTCCGACCTTGTAGATTGCGTACAATTACGAAGTTCTCTCTGATGGCTTACTGCCTAAGCGGATGACCCTCTGACTACCTCAAACCATACTCGGACATTTGAATCGAACAAACCTTAAAATGAGTGGAATAGATATTGGTCGAATTGAGAGGGCAAGAGAAAATAGAAGGAAACAGTTACTTAACTGGGAACGTTTTGACAGTGAATGTAAAATTAAGCCAAAGAGACGAAGAGGAAAACGCGTCGCCTTCGGTGCCGGAACTGTATTTTTTGAGGCTGCTGCCAGAGAGGACTTTGATGAGGGTACGTTTGTTTTCTATAATGAATGTTCTTGATTATATTGAATCTGCGAACCTTTGTCCCTTTCACAATTCTTGATTATTTCATAAAAGCTCTTAGCATGTTCTGGAGACCGTTCCTCCTATGAACATCTTTTCTATAAACGTAACGTTATCGAGAAAAGACTACATTTGGACAGATTAATGCGTTTGTGATCTTACTGTTGTAGAATAATTGGGGTTGGGCCTTATTTGTAATGAGTCGAAGACTTAAGTCTTCGAGTCATTTAATTAAATCTGATTTGATTGTCTTGTTTAAAAATCCCCTTATTATATATTTTCAAAAGCTGGCCATTTTCGTAAAATATATTTTTTCATCTTTTGGTTGTGGCAAAAGACAAAAATGGAATTCACGTCGCGTTGATTAGCATAAATGATATTATCTTATGTGGACAATTTTGCTGCATCTTTACTCTATATGCGGAGTGTTTTCGGTCGCCTTTTCTAAACACTATCGATATGACAACTAGTTCTGTTTTGAATCTCCTTGTACCCTTCTACAGGTGTTTGTTTTTGGTTATCTTTCGTACTGAAATCTCTTATAAAAACGACTAAATATGTATCCTATATGAAAACATTCCTATTTTTCACTAGATCGTAATTGTTCCACAGAGGCCTTAAAATCGCCAATGCAGAAGAAAAGCCGGGTTCATTCAATGGCTTTTTAACAAAAATAAATGAGAACATGAGAAACGTTGTAAAGACTTTTTGACCACGTAATAAGGATCCTAAGGATACTTAGGAGATCATAGCTTTATAATTAAAAAGCTAGGATCCCTTCAGTATCCTGAATACGAATTTTCGTCACCCTTTGAGAAAAAATTGCTGCCTGCAGACTATGCAGTCTTAACTGAAAGTTTTTTCCTAACTTCAAACAAATCTAAAATCCGGGAGGCAATTTGGCGAGCATGCATCTGATTTCGAAAAATTCTTTTCAGGCCTGTACATTTATATGACTATTGATGTAATAAATTAAAAGATAGGGGCAATTAGATAATTAAGCTGTAGGTCGGGTTTGAGGAGGGGAAGGGAGGGGGAGAGTGAAACACCCCAAGTCCAGTCAGCGCCAGGGAGAGTGTGGGTCCGATCGAAGGTAATTACATGCGGGTTGCTAGCTTGGTGGCTTTGAATTATGGCAGCTGTGTGACCTGTATGAAGTTCTTCTGTGCGCATAGGACCGGTCGGCGCCTCTGCCGTAGCCAACAAGCGCTGCCCAATTAGTTTTGGATAGCTTGATAGGACCTTGTAAATTATTCTGGAGGTCTCTCTGGCGTCTACACGCTGGTCTGTGTCTACCATGTTTGCGAGTATCGAGCTGCTGATGTTCTTTACTTGACCCTTTCCTAACCACGCTGGAAGATGTTCTTTTATTCTTTTGGATAAACGCCTGCTCGGGCGACCAATCTTTTCTGCCCCGCAGGAGCAGGTGAAGAAGTAAATACATATAAAGGTGGTCTGAGCTGGTAGTTTGTCCTTGCCCTCTCCGTATAGGATGGGACTGGTGGAGAACAGTACAAGGGTGTCAGCCGCTGGAAAAGTCTGTGATACAGCCTGAGTTAGGTGTTTTCTTAAAAGTTCACTTGGTGCATCCCCTTGAAATAAGACCCCGATGAAAAACCTTTTCTTTTCCGCCGTCAGTATCGGGGCTTTTATTGTCTTTCGGCCATGTTCTTAGCAATAAACCGATCAGGATACCCGTTCTAACGAAATAGACTTTCAATAATCTTAAGCTCCTTCCCAACGCTATCAGCTTAGCAGATTCTTCTCAGTCTTTCTGTCAAACAGCGGACTAAATTACATTTAACGTTTAGAGGTACGCAACTCCCAAAACGAGTGTATTGTCCGGCATATGTTTTAATGAAATCAAAGACGTCTGCTTGCATTCACTTAAAGTTGGCTATAAGGAAATGTCTGCCTTTATGACTGATATCTTTACATGGTTGCTGTATTTTTGCGGAGAGACCCATCCGTTCTATCTGACTTAATACAAAGGATAATGACGCGAGTTACCTGTTTAACAAAAAACAAGATAAAAGTAAAAACATTAGTAAAAACCTGACACAAACTCCTACCTCAACTAAGGAATCCGCAGAGAAAATCATAAAGTTTTCGCAATGACAACCTGGACGTTTTGCTGTCTTATGCCCGTTAGTTAACAACAGTACTGCACAAACTTTTCTTGTTAAACGATTTTGCATTACTGTCCAAGTATGTCATTTCAAGAGCACTGATCAATTACAAACAAAATAAATGTGTCATATTCTTTGCGGAAATTGCGCTGAAACACAAGACGACTTTTGTTGGCGACGTCCAATTCATTTTAGATATGTTTCACGAAACGCACTTTCTTGTTTTATTTTACCAAGTAGACTGTCCACTTTTGTTAAAAAGATATTTTTTCCGTCGTTTAGGTACGATAATCCACTCTGAAAGTTTTTGAAACTTTGTCTACCCACAGAACATACTACCCAATTTTGTTATTGTTATTAGGCATAAATCCTTCAGACATTGCTACAACGCCACGATCCCACGTGCAGTTTGCTTTACACCATTGGCCTATCTTCGAGAAGTCACTCCGTTTTAGTGCTTTGCGCGTCAGGGATCTTTCACATTATCCGTATGGTTGGAGGGGGGAATGGAGTGTATTTTACTTAAACAGGAATGGCTTAGGACATTTTCTGCAATGCCGCTCCGTTATGTGGTGCAGCCCAAGAAACTATTCCTATGAGACTTCATTAGTAGTGCATTGGCGTGCGGAGCGGCGCACAACTGAAGTTAACGATTAAGGATTCCCTGTCTATCACAGAAACAATCGCCATTTATACGTGCAATATATTTTGTTAGCCATGAACCGTTATATGACATCTATGAATAAGCTTTAAAATAATGGACCTGCTTTAGCGGAATTGAAAATAACGCAGCATGTCGGCTTCTGATTTACGCTCGTTGACTCACCTTTGATGACTGCACTCACAAGAAAGTCCTCATTTGAATTCTATGCATTTTGTCTGCAATTTTTCTTGATTATCATGATACTCGTGAACTGGTTGAATAAAAACGAAAAAGTTGGCAATATTCGAAGCCGACTTAATAAGACTTAGTATGTTGTCCTGAATTTAGATGACAGAAATTAGTTCATGGTGCAACTTTTCCTTTTCCAATGCTGGCCTTCGTGAAGCCTTCATATAGTAAACCAGACCGTCGCAAGTAGTAAATTGGTCGCAAACCCTATCTGATGTAGATAATTGAATATATCACACTATGACAGATTAGCTTGAAAATAACTGTCATGTAAGTACTCGTTTCATGTGCATTTGATCGACTCAAATGATTCAGGGACCCCTTAGCAAAATGTAGCATTCCATGGTGTTCATGTCCTTGTCGGTAAAGCTTGTCAACTTCTGATTGATTTTCTTCATGTGATCGCCTGCAGACCCTTTATTTTAAAATTGGGCCTGCTCGTATTCCGTCCTGCGGTGAAGGTAGATTTTTATATGCAGTTATCAAGTGATCGAATATTTCTGATCTCAGCTGGCATGCCATGATCCATTAATACAGTAGTAAGAGATTTTCTCGATGATCAACTTACTGGACCGCAAACTTCTGTAGGGTCAGCCTTCGCGGTCCAGTTACCAATGTCCGATGACGGCAAATGGGCATAAATATTCGGCCCTGTGTTTTTTGTTGTAACAGTTCTCTATAGTGCTGGATATGTGTGAAAAGTTCCAGGGAAAGCGTATGCTTTGGGAAGATGGGATTTACTGACGCAAACATGGAACCCCTAGCCACTTTACGTTTTCTACAAGAAAGCATGCCTATCGACCATGATCAGTTTTCATAATCTAACACCTTTGATCTAGGCTTTGATAACAAACTCTCTCATCGTCCTTTACGACTTTAGGCATCCATCTAATATGGGAGTTATTTAAGAATCCCTTTCTGCTTCTTCCTAAAACGCAGACCTTCTCTTCTGACCCTTTTTGTTCTGCGTTGTTAAATAATGCATAGCATTGACAGCCATAGTCATGATTAAGGACGCCAAATTTGATATTTCGGGCCGATGTTGTGCATCTTAGAAACTAATGTATTTTCAAAAGATAAGTAAAAGTAATAAGACAAAAATGAACAGGTTGAGGTGTGACTGGTTGTGGAGAACAATTACTACATAAATAAGACGTTTCAAGACCCGTAGCTGCGGCCCTTTCTAATCTGACAGCTAAGGGGGCCAAATCAAGGCTATCCTACTGCCGCTTTTGTTTTATCTTACTGGATAAATCCGTTATATTACGTTTTTCTCTATAAATGTCGTTATCTTGCTTCGGGAACTTGTACTTCTCCGTTCTCCGTTAGCATAGATCAAAAGAACCTAGCACGAAAGACATATCTGGTACATCTTTAGTATCCAATCTAAGTACAGAAAGTTATGTAGCCACATCAGCTTTTAACCAACTGCACATATTACTCGGGTTTGTGAGGAAAACGAGTTTGGCACTCTTCACTTTGCCTTTTTTTCTGGCTTTGCTTCGGCGTAAAGCTACTGTGGTGCGTCTTCAAGGTAGCCTGGGCTGCTTGTTTGGTTATTCCCCTTATCAGAGGTTTTTTCAATTTATACGGCGGAATAACCTACTTAGTGAGAGCAAAACCATAATTGGGATTTTCCGAGCATGCACCACGTGAGAACAGTCTTCATGGACAAGAATAAGGTGCTTTAGAATGCCGTCGTCTAGGCAATCGGGCAAGCATTCTGCAACGAACAGTGGCCTCGGTGCATTAACGGCAACAGCATTTCGGATGTATGCCGCTTGTGAGGTGCTGTCTCAACGACCTCAGGCCTCACTGCCTGCGTGTGCATATGATCCTTTTAGCGCATTCCTGGCAGCATGTTTCCACCATTACAATCGGCACCATCACTCTGTGTCGCCTTTCGCGCATTCTCGCCTCCATCATCAGATCTCACACTCTCTCTCCCCCCTCCCTTCTCTCTCCCTCCCTCTCTTCTTCGCGCCATTCTTTGGAATAGGACTTTCGCCAGAAATTTATCGATCCAGCGATGTAGTGTATGTCAGTCTGCTCGCATAATTTGCTCTCTCTCTCTCTCTCTTCCAGCCTGGCTCACACTTTGTCCTGCATCGTTCTGCATACGTGTAAGGACCTGTGCCGCACATGAGTGCTTTCCTGTGCCACAGGGTGCACAAGGATGCCGCGAGTGACAGAGAGAGAGAGAGAGAGAGAGAGCACAGGGCGCTGAATTTGCCATCTCAATCTCCGAATCTGCGACTGTATTTGTGTTTGCGGTACTATATACATATGGGCGCTTAGACAACCCGAGAGTAGAAGAAGTACTCCTCTCCCTCTCTCTCTCTCCCTATTGTGCACGCACGCACACAGACACAAACACACACGCGCGACCCGAGCACTGTGCCGTCTGCTACACCTGCCCACTTAACTTTCGTGCGTGCGTTCCCTTGGTGTACGCGTGGGTCGTGGCGTTAGGGCCGTGCTGCATGAGTGCAACAAAGCAGAAGGAGAGAGAGATCCGTGTTTCCTCTGTGGCTGCGTGTCTGCGTGGGCGTGCGTTAATCACTTCACAAGCACATGAAAAAGGGGGAATGAGTGTATGAATCAATCTCACTCTATATGGGAGTAATGGTATATGCCCCCAACTGGCGACCTGCAGGGTACAAAATGACTCTCGATAGACAAGAGAGATAGTTAGGCCTTCACAGCCAGAAAGTGTCTGTTAGGTTGAGCTGACCTCTGAATGTAACGGTTTTTTTCCAACCGTGCCGTCACGCCGTTTTAGGTAGATGGTCGTAAGAAGAAACGACGAAACTGAGCGACGAGGGACTGGGGCCTCACAACGCTGAGTCCTAACGAGACACTCGGAAGATCCTCATGACACCTAGGGATTAACTGGCAAAATCAGGCGAAAGGACGACGTGATCGAGGCATGAGGACGCGGTTGACAAGAAACTGTCAAGCCCTATTTTTCGGCCTCGCCGTGGTTGTTACCTAAGTTATTGCACGTGCATAAAACGTTACATAGCCAGAAAATCAAATGGGTTTTAGTTTTTTTTAAGTAAGCGAGAGCATTTAAATCAGGAGAGAGTTCAGTCGCATCTCGAGCATTCATACGGAAATCGTGCAAGAAGGCGACAGGTGACATAAAAGCCTTTGCACACGAAGTCAGTTTTTGTAGTCTAAGTCACACCTGTGAAAGGTAGGATGGTAAAGAAAGCACTGGAGTTTTTCCAGACTCCTTTGACGTTTTTCTTTACTCTTTCTCGTCATGCAACAATTATTGCTGCCAGTTCCATGTTCCGCTCTCTCTACTTTAAGCAGGAAACCTAAAACAGATTGGACGGGGGAAATATTACACATCTCGTAATGCATCACGTTGTCGAAGACAGGACATTTCAGAAGCTGGAACTTTTTTTACAGTAGCAGACGTCGCCTCTGTAGTGCACATCAAACAACCGTTGCTAGGAGCAAGTGTAGGGGCTTATAATGCCAGCTTCCGCAAAGGTATTTTCAACGAAAATGGAAATAGTGCACGGGCGTAAGTATGCTAGACGTCTTGGCACTGCGCTAATCTACCTTGTAATTCAGTAGCAATCCTCAGCACAGAACCCCCAGAAACTTTTGTGAACGCTGATCGTGAGATGAAATATAACAGTGAAACTGGGAAGCCGAGCGATGAAGACGATGTTTGTCATTTGGGGACAACCTGAATGATTGAATTCTGGTGAGGTGTTTTATATTCGGACTGTCATATTGTTGATGGTCATGTCATACCTGATTTAAATTAGGGAAAAGCTGGTTTTCCTAGGAGTATAATCGGATTGCTTTAGAAGGTGCATCGAGTCCCCTGTTCTTTGCTTTGACAATGAAGAGCCGACCCAGCTCTTTGAATCGTCAGCAGTTAAATAAACCTGTTCCGGAGAGCCAATTTCTTTCTTCTTATAATCTTCCCGGATCTCTCAACTTTGCCAGTCTGAACAGATTCCGTATTTCATGCTTTAAAGTCGCGTGAATGACCTTCTAGCAAGTTTCTTGCATGTTTTTCGCCATATCTCTACCTAAGTACTTCAAGGTGCGGGTTAGAGACTGCAAAAATGGGTCCGATTTCATAAGAACATCATGAGGCATCCCTGTTTCTTTTAACATGCTTGTGCTGCACAACAGGGGTGAACTAGAAGGTCTCTCAAGAGACAAGTTTTGGATCATCGGCGTGATAATTTTGTATGTAAAGCAGACACGGGCTATAAATGTTAGATAGATTGTGTGATTTACCACACTGACACTGCAGGAACTAGCTAAAGTCCGAGACGAGTATCTCGCGGACATTCTGCCTCTGTGTGACATAGCGACGAGCGGTCTGGTTCGTCCCCCAGCCTCCCTCGTGTGCTTCCTGGTAAATACTCCAATTTTTGCAGTTTGACTTCTTGATCCCTCCAGAGATTAATGCATCAGCTTCAACTAAATTCTTTGCGATTGGACCCGCTCGGAAAGTTGCTATGAGTATGCAGCGGCCGAGGACGTCAAGGGTAACACACACCCAAGTAACGAAGCACTGGAAAGAGATCCTAGGTAACGTTGATTTGAATAGGGTCGTTAGCAAGTCACGATACTCATCCGTAAATAAAGGAAGAAGGAACGTCAATCGGACGATAAGTTATAATCGACAGAGATGGGAATTGGAAAGGCGTATAATAATAGCTAATAGTACAAGCAGAATGAGTTAAAACTGTGGGGTAACCTGTCTGGGTGGAGAGGCGATATCGACATACCAACTAATTAACCGGTGGGAAACGCAGCGCTGTGGGTAACTCCAGGGAAGGGCCGAGGGAAGTGCCGACGTAGAGAGGGGGAGAACGATACGAGCGTCACGGTACGTTGCGGGAAAAGGGGTCGGCGGAAGTGAGAGGAAGGGACACCGGCCATTTTCACCAGCACGCGGTTACGCCATCTCCATCCTAGGTCTGCGTGCCAAAAAGCGTTTCCTCATGCAAACAACCCTATCAATGTCGTGAGGCGTTACAAATACCTAATCCGGCATCCACCAGCTTCAGTGAGATAACCGAGTAGTATTCATAAACTACCAACAAGGAGGCCAGTGAAAAACACGTGTTTCATGATTGATAACACTGACAGCATAGATAGTAGTTAAGTTGCCCAGACAGGATTTTTGCCGATAGCCTGCTACTGCTGCTTCTGCGTGGCACAGCTGCGAGGGATTCGACACCCCTCAGCGTTCCGCGACTCATACTGGAACTTTCCACCTCAGTTCCTACTTCGAAGGCATTTCAGGACGGTCCTTATGAGCTATTTCCCATAGAATTTCTAAAAGTTTCTTTTTTATGGTTGAGGCACTTTCATTTTGTTGTATAGTGCCACTTAGGAACCGTTAGCTGTGGACTCCACACAAGACTTTCTAGTAAATGAAAAAGGAGACAAACACAGTTCATTAGCACTAAATGTTTCCAGCTATCTCTGGTAAAATTGGTAAACACGTAATGAGCGATGAAAGAAAATGCGAGTTTCAGGTCGGAAAGGCAAACTCTTCAGCGAAGAAAAGACAACAAAAGAGACAGTTTGACAAGGAAATAGGTACCCTCTGTATTACAGGTGGTATCGCATTATTTTCCGTGGGTACCTATTCCCTTTTCCCAGTCCTAATCTTAGCCCTAAAGGCTCAGGCTTGCTAGTTTTGCTGCATTGTTCCGGCATTTTGAAAGCCCTCGATTGAGGAAGTCTACTAGCTAGACATTATATTTTTCTATCATCAAAGGGTTTAAACACGAGTAAGAATTCGTGGCTAGCATGTTGGTATTCAATGAAGAAAAGACCTTGACTACATTATTGTTTTTCAATCGTAACTCACTTATGAATGCGCTGTTTTGGTCGGAAATACCAAATCATTTACGACTCTTAGCAAATGACGGAAGAGTTGTATTGACAGTTGGACAAATAGCTGGTTTGATGCAATATTATTGAATAGTATCTAGTTTTCAAGATATGCATATTAAAATAAACGCATTATCAATGAAATAGAATGATTCCTTTCATGTTTAGCATCTAAACGCTTTGAGTCCTCCGAGAACCTTGTGGTCGAATTAAAAATTACTTTACGATGGATGGCGTGCAGCCGCGCCATAAGCCTCTCATATCTTTAGTTAATCTCAAATGTCAACGCTCCACTTTGCAAAACTGCCGGTTAGAGATTATTAAAGTCTTTAAGCCTATAAAGCTGCATATTTATCAAACCAAGTTTAGAGATAATATTGTGATAACTAATGTCTCGCAACACGAGCCTGCTAGATCAATATTGTTGACGAGAAAGGGGAACAAATCTTCTGCTGATCTGCCCTTGATATTTACGCGACTAAATAATTTGCCTGAAAATATATTTATGCAAGAAATAGTTTTTTAAAGAGATTTTGATGAGTAAACATGTAAATGGAATTATTTTTACTCGATGATGTCGTTGCAGTAAGCAGCTCACTTCAGAATGGCCCGCTTGTATTGACTATATTTTGTCCCAAATTTCAAAATCTACCGATGAAAACGGGGTCAGCGGTACTCAATAAGTTTCGCAAATATTAATGTAAAAGTGCCAAATCTACTGACAAGATTTAAATCACAGTTGTTCTGTTCTATCGTAACTTGGAAGTCTGCACGTAGCCCAGGTAACTTACATCTCCTTTAGACGATTGATTTGAATTCAGTGGCGTCTTCTTAATCCTAGTTTTAAAAAGCCTCTCATGAATGTAAGACTTGACTCGGTTTACGACGCGCATGTGACGGTGGCTTTACTCGACTTCAGGAACGGTTTTTTAATGTCGTCGCCGGTTGGTATAATTGAGGCGGGCTACTGGGACATGGGGAGCGTGTAAAGACTGATAGCTACTCATCTTGAGTCCAGCTCCTCCTTCTCCAGCAAAATACACCCGCGAACTTTCAGGACGATCTAATTGCCGCGGTCTGTATGGCTGCCAACTGACGAGATAATTTGATCTTACTATGGGATAGGGAGGATTTTGCAATGACCCTTTTGTAACGTAGTTGTTATAGAAATTTTTCCTACATGAGAAATCCGAGAACGCACCCTTAAAAAGATATCCACGCGACCCTGACCAAGAGCACGTGTATGGTACGGGCCCTGCCCACAAGTGAACTCGTGTCCTTCTCTAGAGATCCTGACCTTGATGTGAGGACGGACAGTGAAGCGAGTGCTCTAAAAGTCCAACCTGCTACAAAAAGATCGATATGTTGGGGAGAAGTGATGTGCCTTGCAACTTTTGACGGTCTATTTACTCTCTCCTACCACGAGTGCTCTTAGGTACTGTAATTCGCAGAAAAACGAATGGACGGAGCGGCCGTCCGTATATCTTCCGCATGCTCTCAAATGTTTGTCTACTTGTGAGCGGCAGTTTGGGAGTGTATATTTGAAGATATGTACCTCCTCACTGGTATCATAATGTCAAGGTAACGTACAAACTAGTCGATCTTTAGTGCATCACTTAAAAAGTATTGCATATGTAGAGCGCCCGTTATGAAAGCAAACACGGGTGTCCCAACACAAAAGGCAGAGTCAGTTTGTAATCGTAGGACTATTTTGACCTCAGCAAGAACTATTTGCAATTGAGTGCGCAGTGGGAGTAGCCAGCCGCAGATGCTGCCTTTAAACGAGATCACCACACAGGATATAAAGGGGTTACATTGGAAGATTGAGGAACATTCGACCGGGCGCACAGGCGAGTTTCAGCAAGCAGGTCAGAAGGAGAGGATGCAATCACTGGATCACGTAATCGCATCATCTTATTCTGAGTATTCGGTCACATGATGTGGTGTATTTTACCGACTAGGGGCAGTTTGAGGGAATTCTGAGGAAGATCCTATTAAACTAAAGGGGGAATACCAATTGTCCATAGGTAGAGGGGGCGCTCAACGATCGTTCTTACGGAACTTACTCGTTCTGTTGTGTCCTATGGGCTCTCTCCCGAGCCCTACGTGCAGCCGCACAGCGGCGCATGATATAGGCAGAATGGTATTACCGACAGTCTCCCTTGTCCTTGCCGGTAATACAATCCTGCCTATAAACCGTCCAGCGTCAACCCTGTGGAAGGGTTAAGATCCAGGTATGTCGTAGGAAGCTGTGACCTGGTATTCTGCCGTCGTCTGTGTTTTCTTATTTATACAACAGTAAACATGATGCGGGAACACAGCACACCACCGCCAAGCTAAATGTGTGATAATCACACTGAATGTCAATTAGTTAATTTATTCACGTGGGCGTGTCTGGGGGGACAGAGTCGAGAAGAGGAGATGCAGTAAGAGATGATGAACCTGACTGCACAACACTGGTTACCGCAACTGTTGAGTAGCGCGGAGTACGACTACCGTTCCGGAAAGTAGACCTCAGGCGCCAAGTCAGATCCACCAAATGGCCGGTATCAAGCTAATTCCTTGTGAGTGGACTTACTGGCACCCTGTTTATGCACAGTGCAGTCTCCTTTGCAAATTTGGCCCAGTACAAGTTTCATGCGAGAAACGAACTTTTTGAAGACCGATTGGACTTTAAAGGATGTGGAACAGAGTCAGCACTCGTTTAGACCATAATTTCTAGAGTCCACAGGTGTCCGAACTTGATAGGATAAAATTTAGTCGATCAAGCATGAAGAAGGAATTATATGTGGACGTAATGACTTTCATTTCTCAGCACGCTCTTGTACAAATTCCCGACTTTGCCAAATTATAGACTCCCAAACACAAAATTATGTGTTTACTAAGTCCAAGAACTGCTACTAACTACGGAATTTGATGGTCGTTTTAATGATTTTTACATGTGCAGATTACGATCAACTTCGTGCAACGATTGAGTCCTGAAAGAAGGTGTATTTGCGGAATAGTTGCCCGAACTTCTGATCACTGGGGTAGTACCCCAGATGAATAGAAGACAAGCAGTGGAATGTTTTTCTGTATATTTCTCGAACAACTCTGAATGGTTTCCTTTTGAAAATAATTTTTCTAGTCCGTACAGAAACGCCATCAACAGATCTGACAACGTAATTTTCAAGACTAAGTTCTGTCTGAGCGGTGACCTACCTTTTACTTGCACCTTGACACGGTGTGCTGCATTGACATGGATGAAAATCAACTATCGCCCTGGGGCGGCGCCTAACGAATCTGCTCACCCCAATTCAGGTTGTCTCGGTCTGGCACTAGGCTACAGCTGACTACTAATGATAACTAAATCCGGCAATCCTTTCAGTACTTTTACTCCGCGCCCCTATTCTTCCCAATAGAATAACGCTGTCGTTCAAAAATTCCAGCAGTAAGGTTCATGAAAAAAAAGTAAAAAGCACAGTTAACTTCAACCCTGAGTATATTTTATGTTTTCATACCTTTCTTGCAGTCTGGCTGCGTTTTGTCGTCTGGTTTTAATTTAGCTTACTTAGTAAGTACGCGCTACCCATTGTTTCCAGTCGAGGCACTGACTCCGACAAGAAGACCCATCTCGTAAAGTCCCACGTAGAGTGAATCAACTTTTCTAAAGGTCAATAAGGTCATACACTGGCTGACATTCGACTTTTAGATAGTTGTCAAGCATATTCGACCTGTAATTTGACGTGACTAGTCAGATATCTGTTGCTTTTCCTCCGATCGTTTGGCATCTGGCATATGGTTATCACAATTTTCGAAAAGGTCGCCATCTTATCACAAACAGAGTGATCATTTAAAACCTACTCAGCTCCAAATCGGTGCCGTAACCTGTGTGTGTTCGCATATCTGTAGTCAGACGTTGGTCGCTGCAGTGTTTTTAGGTGCAATAAAATAATGTGGCGCGCCATGTTAGAGAACGAAATTCCAGATCTCATACTCAATGGTTGGTAGGTGCATTTAAGCTTTTAAGTTCGACAAAAGTTAACGTGAAGCCGGCGCAGTCTTTGGAACAGACTATTGTAAAGTTTGCCAGAAAGGTGATATCATATTACCTGTGCAGAGAGTACAGTTAAGCCGCTTACGACTGGCTAATAATACGCGGATGTCGCAGAATCTGACGGACGCCGACACAGATACTGATGTCACCTATCGCAAGGAATTTGAGAACTTTTTTCCCTTGAATTTTGATCGTTATTTAAAAGCAGGTTCAGAGGAAACAAAAATCTTAGCACTGACATATCTGGGTGTTTACATATAGTAAAGCGCATAAGAACGCTAGAAGGCATACAAATGAGCCATGCCCTTTACAGGCGAGTGGTACGGCGATAAAAGATCCAAAAAGCATGTATTTAGGCTTTTAACTTTTGTCTTTGTCGAATTACGGCAGGCCATTCTGAATATATATTTTAAGAACGAATTTTGGTAATATAATAGAAATGATGGTAGAGGGACGCTCATCGATAGTCCTTACGAAACTCACTCGTTCCATTGTGCCTTACAGGCTCTCTCTCGAGCCCAGCCAACAGCCGCACAGCAGTGCATGATATATAGGCAGAATGCTATTACCGACAAGGACAAGGGAGAGTGGAATGGCTATTTCTGGCTTATTAGCCGTCGCCAGCCAGCCATACCCAACCCCGAAGGGTGAAACACCTGGGGCTCGAACTCGCGACCTGTTTAGGAATGGCCATCCCAGTCTCCCTTGTGTTTGTCGGTAATAACATTCTGCCTATAATATAAACGACCTTTCTTTTAAATCGGCCAGTCAGTTTTTTCAGTCGCCAGTTGCATAGGTCCAACACGGCATAAATTCGCAAAGTGAAGCTTCCTAGCACAGGTCACTACTAATTCCTGCAGCCTCAGAAAATGCAAAAAAAATTACGACAAACTCATAAAAATTAGTTTTAAAAGTAAGCAGCTTTCGTACGAAACTCCTTACGAACTATTCTCTCTTTCGCTCAGATATGCCAGTCGTCACTTGTGGCCTTTTCATTAAGAATTCTTTAGCTGGGAGGTGTGCGTTATCGTGTTCCTCCCTCACCTAAATCACGGTCGGCTTTCTTGAAAGCGAATTGGTCTATAATAGTAGGACTTAAGTCGGAGTTGTGGTGACTAGTACATACGTGCACATACCTGCATTGATTCCCAGCGTTCTGACTGTTGACTTATTGGAAAAGACCCGCGGCATCGTCGCGGTCATGAACAAGTCATGCAAACAGGATCAGTTTGGATGGCCACATCCTAACCACCGCCATTTTAGCCAAAGCATGGCTCGAGACAGCTGGCGGTCATTGATTTCTGAGGTGCCTTCTACTGATCAAAGTTTGATCGGTTTTTATATGGTCAGTGCACGAAATGACTGAAGTAGTTCTATCATTCATCGGAGATACTAGTTTCGGGAGAGCAGCCGGGCTTGAAATTAGCAGGACGATGGTATTAACATAGGCGTTGTGCTGATGCAGAGTCGAGACCTTCAGGACCCACAAAGAACAAAAAACTCACTCACAGACACACACGCATCTGAGACAGAGGTTAGCATTGTGGACTACAAGAGGCCACTGTTATTAGCTTCATCAGATTGCATTAGCGCAGAAGTATGCTTGACTGTCCTTAAAACCGCAGCCTACTTCAGTCTATGAGCGTTTTGCTGACGCGGCGGACGTAAGCTTAGGCACTCACGCCAGCAGAGAAACGCGTATCACAACAGTTTTTCTCCACAAGATTTACTGTTATTTAAGCTGGCCACTTACAAGGAGCATTGGCTTTGAGTCAGAGTTAATTTGTCCCGACAGATTTGAACATTCTAAGTCACAACTTTTAGGGTACCGTGGCCGGCTTCTACTAGAACCTGGCCGATAAGTGTCATACTCCATCATGACGCCGACCATTGAAACAATCCTTGACTAATTGAGGTCACGCAATTGAGTTATTACTTCGGGGCACAGCACAAGTTTTCACTCTAGAAGGAGAAGCAGTCGCACAATTATTGCGTGAGGAAGTGGCAAGTGCTCACCACCATAAAAGTTTAACGAAGGAACACAGTCATATAAAGTGGTCAAGGAAACTTTATTAGCGAAATAGTGAACGCATTTGCATCTTTTCAGGATAAACACACATTGGCATATTGTATTTTTTATGGGTCAACATAAGCATTAAATACCACGGCGACCTATTTAAAATTTTGAAGCCACACCGGAATGCTGCATCCAGTTCGTGTACCTTTATCAGTTGACCATTACGCAACTCAGCCCAAGAAGATCTGAGATTTGGATCCGGTTTCATTTGGTCGTCTGGTCAGACGCTCTACCACTTGAGCTGATGCTCTGCAAGCTGTGGTTGAGATTGTTGAAAGTCATTTGGCCATGACATGCTCTGACCTCACGCCAGGCCAGCCTGGACAGCCTGGAACACGCCTCTCGGTCCTTCACGGTGACGAAATGTTTCTTCCATCTTATGCATTCCCTATAGCACTCCTTCGACTTCAAGGTTCATCGGTTTAACTTTGTTACGGTAGGCCTGAGGGCCGCGTGAATGAAAGGCCTGAATACATACTGCGATGACTTAACCGATGAAACTGTCGTCGTAAGGCAAGATAGGTTTGATGGAAATTGGCTTTTTCCTCCTTCAAGAAAAGACACATTTTCTGTACGCCTCAGATGCGCTTGGCACAGCAACTTATAAGCCGACTCTCGTACTGACAAGATACAGCCTCAGAGGCTGGTCTTCGTCACCTATAAAGAGACATTGACCTGGACAGGTTAAAGTGCATACTCGTGCGTAATCGTACATTCCACTGACACCTCTTCACAACTACTGTGGCGAGAACTTGTTTAGACTTGTACGGGAAGGTCACTGTCACGAACAAATAAAGTCGGTTGTGTTTCCACGCCAGAACGGTTTTCCGCGTTATACCCTGTAGGCATAGGATTTAAACATCAAGTTAATTTGGGATGAAATAAAATTATTGCCCTTCCTCAAATATATTCCTAGGGCTCTTCTATTCGCATGCATGGTAGATTATCGGGTTGTTTGTCAAAGAAAGCGTTTACTAGCCGCTGTTTATGCTCTTAATGTAGGACTACAGTGAGCACGGGACATAGTCGACGGTGTAGCTGCCACTGTGGTCATATTCCGGATGCGCGGGTCCAAGTTGTCAACATGATAGTCAAGTCTATCCAGATGTCCCCATGTGCAAAACCGTCTTGAAGTTCATACCTTAAAGTCCATCATTTATCCTCAGAGTAGAGAGGGAAGTAGAAGGCGCCTTAGAAGAAGAAAGCTTGAGTTTGTGAGAATGATTTCATAAAATCCTGTCGGATGCAGGCAGGAATAATTTTAAATAACGAATTGTTGGCATGCATAAATAGGCATGGTGCCAGTGATATGGGAAAATCAGTTAAGTGAAGCGTGACTTCATAGACACACACGAAGCCAAACATCTGAATATATAAGAATTTATGGGGGAGCCAGAGACAAGGAAATATGAGTGAGGAAGGAGACTGGTCGAGCAATAGAATCATTTCTTTATTCGTCTGAGCTTTCGAAGTCGTACAGAAGTCCATCTTCAGATGTAAAATCAGCAACGGAACGGGCGATGGTTATAAGGGGTGCTAACTAATCAGTGATTAGTGATGCAGGTCTGGAGGTAACTGAACAGGGCCCTGTATGTCGCGCCAGGTCGATACATCGATCGACTAAAGTCCCATCAGAGGCCTATGCTTCACTGAATTCCTGGTTCGTCTTTCTTAAGGCGTGGATGGTCATTTTGACGACCCACTCAACCGACGCGTTGGTCCTGCTCAGTTACCTCCAGACCTGCGTTGTTAATCATTGACTAGCTAGCAGCCCCATATAACTGTCGTCCGTTCTGTTGATGCTACGGTCTCTAACGATGGGCTCCGGCACGAGTTCGAAAGCTCGAAATAATAAGCAAATCGTTCGGTGTTCGACCAGTCTTCCTCTTTTTTGCTCCTACATGCGCGTGAAATTCGAGCAGCCGTCTGCATAAGGAAACATTACTATGTCGCACAACTTAGCCGCGCGTCCACAGTATCCAAATTGCAGATTTACAATGAAACACACGCCGGGTAACAAAACCTTCCTGACCATGCGCGTTTTCTCTGTTTTCTATGATTTGCGCTGAGCAAGTGTTGCCTGCTTAAGCTAAGGAAAGTTCGTAAAGCAACTTCACTGCAACCAGCCTACATACGACTGCTTGACTGTAACCAATAACTAAATTTGCATTCGACTTATTTTCGCACTGTACAAACTAGACTTTCACCTCTGCATTTGTTTGTCAGTTCGCATAATGTTCCATAAAATACTTCAGGCCTGCCACCGTTGCATACCGTGTAAACTAAGTGATATGGGCTGACTGCAGACCCTGCGAAGAAAGCCAGTGTGTTTCCATCAAAAATCAAATCCAAATCAAACAGAAGCTTCTGAGTTCGTTTTTAAATTACCTTGCACATTAATCGCACTTAGTACCTCTGCCATACCTCTGCATGTTTCCACGTTGATTAAATGATTTTGTAATATATTATAAATGTCGAAGAACATTATATAGAGTGTACAGCATAGTTTAGACAACCTCCTATTAAAAATTAGCTTTACTGTTGCGTAATTAACCACACTAGAGCAGAAATCGTACGATCAAAACATACGGACATTTCCAAACGATAATTGGTCATCGGCACTACGCGAACCCCGTTTTTGGTTGATACGAACTTACGAGCAATGTTTCTGTCAAAAGATTAGGGGAACATTAGGCAATATGTGCAGCCTAAACGAATTTGAGCGCCGGAATTTTTTTCAGTTCCAAATGAACTCCCCTCTCATTGGTGGTCAATGCGAAAGCATGGAGATTTAAGCAAAAGTTACCGCGAAAAGCGATATCATCAACCTACTCACTTAAAACTAACCACTCAGATGCTACCGGCAAGACTGCTTTGATATTTAAATTGTCCGTGGCTGAGTAGAACTGTTTTCCTCATAACGCAACCAAAACTGCAGTACCCTATGGAACTCCGCAATCCAGTCAAACTAAGCGATAAGATCAAACACAATTTTCAAACCGTTTTATGGTCTCTTTTGGAAACAGGAGAACAAACCAGCGATTTCATCTTAATAACCTTGTAATAGTAATAATAAACTAATGGTTGAATATTGTACCCCGTGCATTTTCTTCCGCTCCAAACGAAGTATTAACTACGGGTAAAATGCCCTTGTTTAGATGAAAGTTTTCGGCGAAATTGAAATCTTTTGGAATTACATCTCATTATGATTACTTTATGTATTGCAATAGGACCTGGTGATGTGAAATGATTGTATGCCCTTGAAAACGTCGTTTGGAACTTATTTTCAAAGGCGTAGAACTAGCTATAAATTATAAATTTCCAAACCACTCTTAAATGCAAAAAATCTCGTAGTAAATTACTTGCAGACACTTCGCTATGTGCGACGTCCTACATGCTGAGATACATGTGGGAAGCTGAAACCTAACTATTTGGAATTCGAGGAAACTCGAGAATTGGCAAAATTTGCCTGGGCATGTACTGATTACAAAATAACCACAGATCCTCTTTAAGGTGCCTGGATCCACAACAGCTATCTCAGAATTTTGCTTTTGTCTTAACGGCACTTGAGTGAGTCACATGTGTCTGCTTCTGTTAAAGACTTGTGCGCGGAGAAGGCAGCACCGCGAGGTTTATTGTAACCGAATTTGATGACTTCAGCAGAACGCACGTGAAGACATATAATCTGCTGGATATCGAAACCTCAGCCTGATAACTTGGCTTTTTTCTGAGTTCAGTTAATTAATCGGCGACTCCATCAACATGCAAGCAGATGAGTATTCTCTGCGAGAGGGACTTACAATTTTTCATACAAGCAGTCATATTGAACTCCGAGACCAGTTTCACTGCCATGTAGTGCAGCTCTTAAGTGTGAGAATTCACCTACTGATTTATATTCCCGCACCGATTGCTAGGTAAAGCCGACGATGTCTTGTACCACTTGAAACAGACAAGTTATACAAAAGTTGCTTCTTATATCCTAGAGAGGACATTTCTTAGGATGTTTTTTGAGACATCTTAGTCTGTGTTACGAAAACAAAACCTCTGACTGCTTAGGTGCTACTCTCCAGTCAGATAACTTGAGTGGCTGCAGTTTACTGACATCCGGAAGTTTAAGGTGAGACCACAGCAGAAAAATGTGGTTGTTTAAACCATTCCGTCAGCTGAGACGAGATAGGGAGGAAAGAAGGAAGATACATCGTCGTTAACTCTACCGAAAGCATGCCAGCAGTTACACATACATATGAGTAATTCATTGCAGTCTAGAACAGCTATGAAGGTATCTACACTGGATGCCAAGGCATAACAGGACGAGCAGGTTCCCTCACCTCCGCATAGTTAATATTCCCGATCGCAGCCTGCAGGAAAGCAAACCCGTGGCTCAAATGGTGGAGCATTGGACATACTTACGCTCAACAGCCAAAAAATCCGGGATCGAATTACAAGTCCCGCAAACCCGCGGTCGGACTGGGCTGGCGGCCAGTAAGTTAGAAACTGCCATTCCAGACTCACTTGTCCTCGTCAGCACTTCCTTCTGCGCATCGCACCTTCAAAAACTCAGAAGAAAATCATTAAGAAAAGGGGAACACAGACCGACGGTTATCTTGCGCAGTTGGGAGACCTGAAGAGAGCTTTATTGACTATGACGACAACGTTAAAGCATAATTTCCTACAGCGGTAAAATAGGTGGACAAGTGTTAGGCAAACCTGTCGCAATACTGATTACACTGCATGGATACCAGAATATTTCTAAGTCTTCCAACAGTGTATTGTCAAAATAGGTATATTTGCGGAAACAGTAGTTCTCATTTCTCTGAGTAATTTATCATAGAAAATGGAATGTATAATTACTTACATTACGAGAGGCGCAGAGCAATGTTTTGCTTGTATGGGACGTACCAGTTTATTTCACTGCGATATTAAAAGAATCATTTTGAATACCATACATTGAAAGTGTGTAGGGTACCGCTGCGGATGTTTTTGGGAATCTTCGTGTAGCAAAATATCCCTGTGTCTATTGACTCTGCGGATAGCATACCGACAGTTCGACCGTGGATTCCGACAATGTCCACCGTGTACTACGCAGAAAGGTGCAGCAGGCACGATAACTTACGCATGAATTAGGTTATAGTGATAACTGGCTTGCGAAGCATCTACCGCTCTCTCTCTTCCCCACTCCCCACCCGCACCCGATGTCAAGACAGAGTCAAGAAGACCGAAGGCGGGGGAGGACCCAGGTGGCTGGCACGGCCAGACCCGCACCTAGGCATGCCACCACACTCCCTTGTCAACAACACACACCTGACCAGGATTTTTTGCCCATTACAACAACAACACCCCAACAGGGGTCGAAGAACGTGGATGATGACTGAGCAGCCTTGCCCACCACCTGTATGGCCAGCGAGATGGCAAGCGCATCTACCGGTAGGGAACCAGGTGTCAAGGATTGCCAGCGCATACGGGGCTGCGAGGGCCATGATTTGCTGATACTGGCATAGCACACGTTTTCAGACCTCTTGGCCTGCTGAAAACATAACAGTTCGTACACGTACATGCGAATATTTCGTGGCAGTGTAAAAACAGCTATAAGGGCAACAGTGGGCACCAGGGCAGAATGGAGCGTAACGTGATCGATAAACGCATTTTTAAAGTATCTGATATTCCCAATGGCAGCTAAAAAGACAATGGGCCAGTGGTTCAATTGGTAGATCGTTGGGCTTAATGAAAATTGATTTCCAGGTGCACAAACATGGATTTGGAAAAAGGCGGCTAATGGCGACTAATAGACTGGAAGTGGCCATTCCAGTCTCCCTAGTCTTTGTTGGTAATGCTATTCCGCATTAAGTACTAGTCGCTGTTCAACTGTCCGCCAGGTTTCTACATTGGACCCGTAGGCACGCAGGAATGGATACGTCCTGTTACCCGAATGATGAATGCACTTCCAAAATGAACAGTTTTGTAACCTCTGTACATGAGTATTCTTACGTAGCAGTAAATTAATCGTATTCTTGTATGTAAAGCATTCTAAGCCTACCGTCACCTAGACGGACGACACACCTATCCAAAATCTAACGGTCTTGGAAGGCTGGAAGTTAACGTTTCAAATAACGAAGACTTTGTGAAAGACTCCTCCATGTGAATGATAAGAGTCGATATAAAACTAATCAAAAATATCTGCCTCAATTATAGGGTCAGCGTACAATTTTTGCCTGCTCGTGGGATGTTCACTACTTTACCGGAATAACATTTTCATGCTAAAGATGGAAATGAGCATAATGGGGAACCTGACAAAACTGATGCGCAACGCGGCTTTTGCTGAAATGTCGCCTTCTCCTAGGTACTTATATGCTCTTGTATAATGGTGTTTTTCTGGCCTCTGCACGTGTATGCCAATGCACTCTAAGTTTCAAAAAATCGGACAACAGTTATGCTGCATGTCTCAGCATCCGGTATTACGCGCCCACCTTCCATCAGATGCACAAAACTGGGGTGTCTTTCTGAAGTATTGAGTTGGTTGCAGTTAAGGGTTTCCACCTGGCTATAGCAAAACTTCCCCTATCCAAATCCGCTGAGTGTAATATATTTACAGATCCCACGCTCATGTTTCGTAAGTGGACTCAAGACCACATCTCTCATATGTAGATAGTTATTCAGTTTTCTGACACTGAAGTACAGCTGACAAGGGAGAGTTATATCAACAATCTGCACCAAAATACTAGTCTCTACGAATTTTTAATGGTAGTTAGCGTACATATTTCTGTCCATTTTCAAAAGTTGACTTGACGATCTGAAGTTGGCATGTGGGGTGCTGGCTGAATAAACACTTGAATTTCCTCAAAGACGTTTATGAAACTTGCGGAAGTATGCCACCGATTAGTTCATGTTCCAGACGTACTCTGAAAGAAGTGACTTGTACGTACTCGTGACGATGACACTTTATGTAGATCTAGTTTAACGGTTTAATCGTTCCTCCTTTGTCTACGTCTTCAAACGTTGTGGCACTATCTGAGTGCCGAAGCGTTGTGAGACGGTGATGGAAGGCGACTAGTCTCATGAATGGAAACATCTCAGAAAAGTGTCTCTTTCGGTTGCTTGTCCACTTTGTTTCGTAGCCGAAATCCAAAATAGATAAAACGCTTTTCTTTCGGGTGAAAGCCTTTATTCCCTGTAGCCAGCACACTTTATGAATTTAGACATTGCATTTTTTGTGGAGTTCGAATTCTCACAGCTGTGTTGCAATGTGTGATCTCAAGTCTTCGAATGGTCCCGTGTCCTTTTTTTATAATTTTCAACCGAAAGTAAACTGAGTTTTGGTCAGATGCCATCGCATTCTTGTAAAAGGGTTTCCACAGCATAGGAGGCTTCCACAAAATTAAAGGATACTTTTGCATTTTGGCATAGGCTTTATCAACACAAGGAGGTCTGGCGAATATAAAGACTTAGGGATTGAGAACGAGATTTTAACCCGGTAAAAAGAGTTTTATCGTCTGGGATTTTGAGATTTCTCGCAGCATAGACATTACCTGAAAATAGCTCGAGCATGCAGAACTTTGCCCAACGGCAACGCTTACCTAACTGAAATAAAGAGAAAAGTAGTTTTTCTTCCTTGCCGGCAAACAACTTTTACTTCCCCAAATTTCACCAATTCTGACAAATTTAGTTCGGGCCTATGGCGAACATGTCAAGGGAAAATGAAAGTCCGCTTATAATGCAAGCCTTTTAAAATAAGTATTTTGCTACCTAGTTACCTACTGGTAGACTTACTTTTTGCTACCAACAATTGATAGTAGCTACAGAGCCAGTCCTGTCATTATATGAGACAAAAATACCCACATTTAACAATATTGCGTGTGCCAATCCATTGTCAATCAGTGCACAATTAAAATCTCATCCATAACATAGAAATCAGATGTAAATAAAATTCATAAAGACTTGCAGATTATGGTTAAACGAATCAAGGTTAATCAAATGTACGAAGCGAAGAATTCCCAAACGAATGTATTTGCGATCGGGCATTTGCGTTTTATTAATTATTTTTGATATCACTTTGTAAGCGATAAACCCATTAGTTGGGCACAGTAAGTAGGCTATCCGGAAAACGAAGATAGAAGTATCCCAACAGTTACAGACTAGTTAACGGGAACAATGTCGTCAGCAGATAAAAATACACGTGCTAGTTCTTTGTCTCATTCAGCGTTGTGCCAGGTCATTTAACAAGCGTTTTATAACTGATTGAAACAAAACGGACTTAAATGTCACTAAAACTTCAAACATTATTTGAAAACATAACAATTACTTCCTTTGTCTTTTGACGGCAAGCTATGTGTAAATATGGCATCTGTTTAGTCGAATTTCCAGAAAATATGCAGGTAATTAATAAATATGCCTCGCAAATAAAGTAGTGCACTGTCATTAGGATTCTGATGAAAGCCTTTACGCAAATAATATGCTAATTTTTACCTTTTGATTCAGTGAAGCGTCTCCTCGAAGAAAATGTTAATCCCGATGTACAGAATGAGGACGGACTAACTGCTCTTCACCAGGTTAGTTTCAACTCTTACCAATGCGGCCTTCATGACTGTTCAATTTTACAATGAGAGAACAATGTCTTGTTAAGTACCTCAGTTGACACCACTGCAGTACAACATGAAATAGGACAGGTAGAACGGGGTATCATATAGTTTCTCCCTTCCACCTCTTCTAACCTCGGTCTTCTATGAACGAAATATCGTGGGCATCACAGCACTGATTTCAGCCTGTGACCGGTGCTCTTAACCATGTGTGTTGATTTCTGTGCAGTTTGAACAAAACTCGTTAGCACTTTTTGGTCTACAGCTGGAGTGGATGCTGTTTGCATGTTGTAACTTCCTCTTGCTCACTCGGATTTTCTGCACACAGCAGGCAACATAAAGGGAACTGCAGTTTCAAAGAAAGAACTTAGTGCATGTCAGGTTGGAGGGCAAATTTCCAGCAGATGGAGGACACGTTTTGACTCTGCACACTAAGCCCTGTAGCTCTGAAGGCAGCAGCAGTGAACATCGGTTCGACATATTTTGTCACCGAATAGGTGTGTCTGTTGGTTAAATTACTATAGCGGTAGCATTGTATCATGCAGTTAATAAGGAAAATAAAAACTTCAGATGCTACAAGGCATTCCTCCTTCAGGAGACTTCTGCAAACTGGGCACGTATTATCTAGCCAGCTAGAACAGGCATCCTACCATGAATCAAAGGTGGTAAACTTGGAAAAAACGCTCGACAGCCCATAATCGCAAGTGGTTTTCACTTTTGGGTCGCCTCAAAATTGTCAGGAGAAAGCCCTGGCGCTTAAACAAAAGATTCTCTCAACCCATTCGCGTATTTTTAACAGACGGATTCGTCCTCAAAGCATATATTTCCTATACTTCATAATTCAATGAGAAACAAAGTCGAGCAGAAATTAAGTAACCCAAAAGGTCATGTGGCCCCCAAGGCATAGAAATAACACTTTCGTTTTAGGTTTACGTTTCGTGGCATGTCTAAAATCGGTCAGATGTTTGATACCTGACTGTTTAAGGAAGCGGCAAAAAATTGCCCACTTGAATGGACGACTTCTTGGACAATAGCTCCGAGAAATATCGATGCGTCACATTTTTAATTTTATATACAATATGTCTAATTACTGTAAAGTACAGCTGGACTCTGGTTCTGGTCAAAATAATTAAGATGCGTTCACAGCAAAAATAACATTCAAGAAATGGTCTTTTAATATGAAAGCATACTTTTTGAGTAAGTTGATGAATATTCCAAAAAAAGTATGAGGCTAAAGGTAATCCTATGACTTTCATAAAGTCCAGCTTGGAGTATGAAAAGTTAATCATGAAAGTGGGCCTAAACCTATCACACGAATTCTACGATTATGTGAAGAATGTATTCGATAGAAACTGGAGAAGAGTGATGATACAACTGCGTAGCTTCACCACGTTGGCTAAATTAGGCGACATTCAGAAGAATATGGAAGGTTAATAAAATGGGATTTTTGTATTAAACTGATTCCAGCTTACGCTTCATGGGACAGCTTTTAGGCAATAATTCTAAAAAATATCCTTGGCATTTGTCTTATGTTTGATTATCATCAGCAGCATGTTTGATAGTGGAGCAGTATTTCGACGATCGGGGTTCTACGCTATTAATGTTTAGGAGTTAAAGGAATGGTATTGAGTCGTTATACATACCGTTGACCCCGCTCTTGGCAAACAGGCCGGAGAGAAGATTTATCCGCAAATCATTTAACAATACAAACCGGAGGCCTTCACGCAAAACAGTTTTAAAGGCAGCAGATAAATCTGGAGCTGCGTGCAAGGATGAAAATGGCGTTATGTAGGTCACTGAGAGCAGCTATTACTGAGCAATATCACCTAAGTTTTGTTCTCCTATGTATATGCAGAGTAAAGTATATCAGGAGGAGAGTTGGGAAGTGGGACTATAATTTATAGGACAATTCGTTCCCAGGATTCATGGCAACTACAAAGAATGGGCAAAACTCAGTAAATATTTTCCAGCTAGAATTAACTATAACAGTAAACAAAACCCTCAACCTCTGAGAAACGGTAAATTGATAATATAACGGCCAATGGTTGGAGGGAAAGTAAAAGGAAACTTGATGAATTGGATAGATATGCCGTCACTCTGAGTGACAGCTGAACCACAGGCATTTTAAGTAAGTGCTGAAAATTCTGGATCCTGATGCAGGACAGAAGGCAGTTGGTTCCGACTACCGGTCCTTTGAGGAGGCCTAAGGTTTATTTGAAGGAACGGAAATAAATACCCCGTTCGGCATGTGGGGTTCCCATTCTCATATCTCAAATATAACCCGAACTCTTACTTCTCTTGACATTTTGACGCAAACCCAACTGTAATACTGGGAGTACCAAATCCCATGCCCTGCTAAAATGATGATATGTTTGATGACAACCTTTAAGTCAATAACGCCTCGCATAAACTAGGTTTGTTAATAACTCAGGCGTTTGGGCTTTTTGCCTAACTCAGCAAATGAGGGACTTGGTGGACAAAAGAAAGCAGTGACAAAAGCAAGAAGACGAAGAACAACAGAAGACTGCCTAAAATGGACACTCAATTATTTGAATTCAGTTGCAATTAAACAAGACTCATTCAGCTTCTCACGCAGGTGGAAATTCATTCGAGTCTAACAAAGTGAATTTTTCGGGAACAATTGGATCAGTGAAAATCAAAGTTGCAATTTAATTAGACAACGAGCATGTATACGACGGGCAGTTTAAGAGAATAAGAGTTCGTTCAAGCGAATTGTTCTGAAGAAAGTTAACATTTTGGAGCGGTCCATTTCGAGCCTGCGTCTACACTTTATTTTCCTAAAATTTTCACTACCTTGGTTGTTGAAATGGAAGTTACTCGCATAAACACCCATTTATTTTAGTCTGATGTTTTCGGGATGTTGAAGGGAAATAAATACATTCAAAGAGACGATCCTTTGATATATGCAACGCTTCCGATTAATGGGTCGTAGAAAGCAAAACCTATACCAGAATACAATTTTAAAAATGTCGAATATAAACAGCAACCTGCTGTACACAATCGTTTTAAAAATTATGATAACCGGTGTAACGCCATGTTGGGAAGTTAAATTTGGAAGCGGACGTGAAATGCAGGTGATGCAATACCTCTTTTGATAAATGTCATCCACATGTTACTGGAATCGTTTAACTGTATAGTTTTTGCTACTTTAAAGTACACCAAGCGCATTCTGCAGTTAATGGCAGATATACACGAGCTACATTTGCTAAATTAAGAGCGATGATAGAACGGATTTAGGTTCGTTGGATAACTTTCAGCAGGGTACGCGTTAGCGGTCTTCTACCTGAAATTTGGCCGGCAGTCAACAAATGTGGGATATATGCTTTAACTGTCTTAGTTTAACTAAAAGAACGAAATTCCACTGAATGTCCGCAAATATCTTTTAACGGACAATGAGAAGTTATCTGTTCTGGAAATACTGTATTCAGATAACACCAAAAGATGCGCATGTCGAGCACTAATCTATGTAGTCGCGTATGCAAAGTGAAATTAGATAAAAACGAACGCTTCTTGGCCTCATGAACGAAGTAATACTGTCGGCAAATGTCGCACCTTTCATACCGGCAAGACTCGAAAGCGGCGCCCTGTCAGGGCCGACCACGTCTGATTTATTTTGAGATTTCACGCGTTGCAGGGACCCAGGCACTGTGAGCGCAAAACAAATAGTTGCTAAATGGAATCATCGGTTCTAGGCATGATTCAACTCCTTGGCGCCTGGTAGCCACGAAGAAGAACAAAATTCTTTAAATAACGTGCCTGTTAGATTTATGTTTCGCCGCGGTACGTTATATTTATAGCATAATGCTAGGCAGACTTTTTATTTAAATTGAGCTTCTATTTATCTTGGATTTTAGCAGTATCTATGGGTACTGCCTCAGGTTACATGTACTAACAGTATGTCATGCTGAATGCAAACAACCTCACTAAAGTTTGAGGTTTCTAGTAGATGAATGGTGAATGTTTCATTCAAAAAGAATTCGTAAAGTATTACCAACAAAAGTAGGAAGAATATAGTCATTCTTTCTTTGCTTTATTGTAACGTAGAACAGTCTGAACTTTGAGCATCAAATAAGTGTACCAAGGACTTTAAAACTTGATCCATGCTATCTATTTATTCTTTGTTTAGAGTGGACAACATACAAATAAGATGGGCCTAAGTTTCAGCGATAAGTCTAGTTGGTAATGAATTATTGCTGACAGGGTCAAGAAGATCAAAATATCAATTTTAGACATTTTCTGTTGATGGCTAATTTAACGTAGATCAGGTACGAAGAGAGTCAACTTTTTAACATGTGGCTCGCTGGCCATTAATGTCAACGATCCAATTGTTGAATCACGAACTCATGCTGTGTCAATTACGACCTAAAATTTCCAATCACGTATGAGGGCGTTGATCGATATGGCGTGCCTGTCTGCATTCTTTCCGACTGTTGCATGCATACTGCATATTTTTTCTCAATGGGAGAAAACTCCACACTTTACTCGTAGACATAGAACGCAGTTAGGATCCCCGTGTCTGTATAATAAGTTATTGGTATTTTCGACAGAAACGTGAAGCACTTAAACTGGATTGGTCTAATAACTGAAGGAGAAATAAAAGCGAAGAATGAGATAGTGAACTGTACTAATGATTGGAAGGGGACTGATCGAGCGTCGAACCTACTTCTTCATTATTTTCGAACTTTCGGATTCCGGCAATTGCTTTTTTTTCTAAAAGCCGGGAAACAAGAGAAACTGACATTGGTTCGATAACTGTAAGTTCAGATTTACTTAAATTCTTCTTGTGCTCAGATAAATCTCGCTAATATCACTGTTTCTGTGGAAGGGGCTAAAAGAATTGGAAGAAGAGACCGGATCACAGCAGGAAGTTGGGTTATGTACCTGTTGGAGAACCGTGCGGGTACTGGTATTGTTATCCTGAGTATGCACAAACATCTCTATCAAGTACCAGTCTTTTCGAGTTCTACGCATTTCAGTCTAACACTCCAAAAGAAACCCAAAATCGTCAACGAAAACCAAAAAATAAATTTTAGATTTCGATGGTCAAACGAGGTAGGTTCTCAGTATGGTCAGTCAATGAACATTCTCATAGTTGTCGTAGTTAAAGTGTGAGGACACGATCGCTGGAATCCGAACTTTATTCGCTGGAGTAATAAACTAATTTTACACGCCGTGTTCAGTACCAGCAACAGACGATGGTACCTGACGCACACTAAGTGCAATACTGTCTGAGTATGTCTGCTGAGCAACTAGGCGCCATTAAAAATTAGCTACTGTTACATTCATCGCAGGTGAACGTACTTTGTGCGGTGGTTGTTTGGTTAACCGCATCGAAGTCACTAATGGTCGCGATTTCATTAGCGACATGTCTGATTAACGTAACAATTACCGCACGATCTGACCTGATGGCGCAGCCGATAGAGGTAAAGGTCTTTCCGGTGAGTGTTCCCGGGTGATTACTTACTGAGTGAAGACGAAGTCTTAGAGCGGAATGAGGAAATGAAGATGGTTGCGATTGTTCATGGACTGTGCAGCAGACGGCCGGACTTATGAAGATTTCTACTCACTGGGTTGTCGAAAGTGAGTTTGACCGGATCCCACTTAGTAAGTCGCGACTTCAGAGTTAGTCTACTTTCTCCTCGCTGGTGGTGCATGGCCGGCCAATTTCGTTTTGAACACTCCTCCATCTTCTCCGAAGTGCTTTATTTATACACTATTACACCAACCCCGGCAAAAAATTCAGAATCGTCTTACTACCGTAACAGGTCTTTCAACATCATCCATTGATACCTGATGGTTTTTCTCATTCAGTTTGCACCGTCAAATACGGATAGATTGAGAAGGCGACTGTTAACGTCGGAAATGTTCCACTGTAAGGGAGTGCTTGTCAAAACGTGGCGTACAGATTGAGCTTTTGTTTCATTTTTGTCTGCATTGATTGTTAGAGTTGCGTGAATAACTACTCACCCTGAACACCAATGGAAGGTATTATTAGTCAGCAACGTCGTCTCCCCAGTACACCGACTTAGCGTCTTCAAGTGCCTCCAATTGTAACTGATTGGGTGTTTGATGTTGAAGTTCAGCACAGGGTCGTATATTTTATTTCATGTAAAGCTTTAGTATTTAGGCCATTGAAATCTCTGCAACAGACGAGGACATCAGGGTCAGTTTATAGTTGTCATTTTCTTCTATCGTCAATTCTATGTCTGAAAGGGTGCATTCGAAGATTACTTAAATGCTGGCATCTGGTCCCGTTGGACGATGAGGGCATTATCTAAATAACGAACCAAAGGTTTCAGTCTGTGGTTCTGGGAGATAATTGGTTTCAACTACTGGAAGACTGCATTGGCTCTGATTTGAGGAAGGAGCAAAAAGACTGGCTAATTCTTCGCCCATTTGTGGATTTCCCAGTCAAAAGTGAAGCATGTTTTGAAAGAAACTCAGGAGTTTGAGGATCCTGATTATCCACTTCGTCCCCTTTGCTTCTCAGCAATGATTCGATTATCTCAACTTTAAGACCTTAAGGAGTAGAGTAAAGAAGGTACGTCACAGCCAAAAAAACCGTAAGCTCTCTCGGCAAGAAAACTATCATTTAACGTTTATCTAGGGGTTTGTCATCAAACTGTCCGGCGTGTCTGCACCCGCAGACAGATCTATGTCAGTCATTAAGGTTGGGCGTCCGCGATTGTAGGGGAAACCGAGTGGAAGCGACTTGATTTTAATGTTTGAGACGGTACTAGAGTCGGACTATGGCCATTTCTTTGGTTTTTATCATTCATATTTTGATGATGAGTGTTGAATCCGAGCTCTCCATTGCCAACAAAATCGCAAATATTTCCCATTTTCCCATGGGACAGAGAAATTGCCATCCTCCAGTAAACTCTTGGAATTCGTAATTTGGTGCAACCTGTCTGGTGACCCTGCGTTCCCTCAGTCTACTGTCTGTGTGCTCCCCTACAGCGGGCCACATTAGAGGCGCCGGACTAAAACCAGGAGCCAGATCGCACCACGGCGCGCGTTGAATAGGTTGCGCAATGCCCACCAATCCCACAGCAAATGCCACCTTTGGAAGTGTAGTGGGACGCGTAGACGCAGGATTTTCGTCGCCCCAGCGAGTCACCCCCTAATTCCAACGTCAGGTGGCTGACTGGCTTGGACAGTGTACCGGTGCGTGAGAGAGGTAAGAGAAAAATTGAGCGAGAGAGAGACTGCAGCATTGGTTCTGAGGGCTCCACCCCGATGGCACCTCAGCGCATTTCTCACTATAAAAACGTCTGGAGAACTTCAAAATGATCAGGAAGCACCAGGAGTCGTGGCGTAGAAGACTGCCAACCGAGTGGAAACCTCGGTACTCTCAGAACGTAGAGTCAGGCCGTAACGGTTCCTTCTGGATGTGGCCTCTATTGTGCTCAAACTCAAATGGGAACCAAACCACCCCATGCTTCTCCAATGGCTTGGCCTTTTGCGTGTGAATCGCTTTTTCGGACACTGAGGGCGATTCCGACCTCGGTCGTAGATGAAGAAGAGGAGTGTGTAACAGATGCTGCGCTAGTCTGTTGTCGCTATAAACCAATTCACGCTCTAGTCAGCGTCCTACCTCCGCCGTGCTGTGAAACACACGGTGGGCAGCGTTGTTGTTGACAGCCTAACTGACGTATCGTCATAGACTCACAGAAATATTTTCCCTGGTCTGAGAGAAATCGAGTCTGTCATTTTCAAATGCGTCGTGGAAGACACATTGCGCACTGACGACCACTACACGTTCATGTGTACAGATTTTTGTGTGGTTTATAACAGGGGTTTAGACCTGAGTATAATAGATGTGCTATTGTTGTTTGAGTAAATAAATAATTTCTGAAGAAAGTCGTTCAAAGATTAAAGTGCCACTTTGCCTGCAAATGAATACCATAGGAGGAAACTTTTGGCTTTATGCAATTTTGTGACTATGTTCTTTAGGATAGAGTTTCAGTCCCATCCTTCTGATTCCGCACTTATATTCATCATTGGTCTGATTACGGCGAAACCGCAGAACAAGTAAGTGCAATTTGAGTTCAAGGATGGGACTAATAGTGTTGGAGTGTTTCGGTTCCTGACAGTGGTTGATGCTAAATGTTGATGCGATCATTTGTCATAAACACGTTAAAATAGATTTGGAAGCAATTTAGGCGGCTATACAGACGGTGGAGAGAAAGGGAATCAAAAACTTTCCTGCCAAAAACATTATTTACGTGACCGACGATAATTCCAAAACCAGTCATTTATGTTCTCCGGAATGGTTTGCCTGGGTCTTCATTCGTTAGATGTTATTCCCTCGGTACAGAGTAATAAGAGTAATTTTGTAACTGTTTTTGGAGCTTGAGATGATTATCGCCTAATAGATCCTTTTCAGTACACATACTGGGCACGAATCTGATTTCTGTCCGGTAATTCCAACGTTATAAGCCTAGTTTACCAGGTGAGGCTTGTTTCTGGGATGCGCGTGGCCAATTATGGAAACGGCATTATCTATAGTTTGAAATTTCATAACACTTCATAGCACAGGCAACTGGAAACTACAATGGTATTCGGTCTATTCATTTCACATCACACGCGCTGATTGGTGTGGGATTATCAAAGGTGGTTTTAAGCATGTGACAGCTTGAGGTAAAGTCTATTTAGGGACAGAGAGCTACCTCCTTTCAAATTGACTGTTTTTAAATGTTAACACTTAAAACGTCTTGTGTACATTTGCAGAATGGCCGAGAACTTTCAGAACTGTACTAAGGTTTTCAGATAAAAAAATACTGACGAGCATATCTAAGTATATTTTCCTATATAGGCAACCATATTTAATTAAGACGGCAACACGTCCAAAAGTGGAGCACCATTTAAAATTTTCCACCCTATGATAACTTGCAGGGTTTCTCTAGTGACAATCAGATTCAGAAAACATATTGTTTAAGCGAAAGAGTACGCATCGAAAGCCAGAACATCTTAGCTGAAGTAGCTAGATATATCTTCCGAAAAAAATCTTTTTAAATTGAAACTCCAACACTATTTGAAATAGAGCCCATTCCAATGTTAATTCAGTTAACTCACATTTTGAAAAGGCCGCATTACTATTATCTATGCTCCTCGTCATCTTGTACGCTTATGTACGTTCGATCACATTTCTCCAAATTTAAGAGCATGCCGATTAACCTATATTTTCAAAGACAACCCTTGTTTTCTTTCGTTCTTAAGTCTAGGAAATGATGCTTATAGAAAATTCGTATATTTCTTAGTGTCTCCACAAACAGATCTCTCCGTTTTAATATAGGTATGGCTTATATTTTGTAACTTCTAAGCAGTATTAAAAACCATATATATCAAACCACACACTTAATTATGCAAACATTTTCGAACTCCATGTGTTTAAAAAAACTAAACGTACACATTCTAGTCAAAAAGCGATTTCTTACAAACGGCCTACAAAGATGAGTAATTTATGCATCTGTGCAAACACTACTTAACTTAGGTATTCGCCGAAAGTCGTTTGAAAGGCGATATAATAGGTAAATGGTGTCTTTCGTGTCGTGTACGCGGACAGCAGAAAAGACTTTCAGACATAAAACAACAGTCAGGTAAGACAGTAGTCTTGCTTTAAAGTTCTTTTCCGCTGACTTCAATGTCTTAAAATCAAAGCCGAGGTTTCGTGGGTTTTAATGCGAGGTGGACGCTGTTTACTGCATTTATTTTGGCTTCTCTAAAACTACTGCAAAATTTCAGTTGAGTTGACGGTTAGTTCGAATGCCTTAATCAGGGGAGGGGATGTTTACATCTTCAAAGAAATGCTCTGAGACTGCTTGAACTGTCAGACTCGAAGTCGGGCTATTGCCAAATTCTCAAATTTGTTAATTATGTCCTCAGGCTATATCGCCTGGCAAACGTTTGTGCGCCAATCTTTTGTACTGTTTGAAGTCACTGCTCCGAGGCGGAGTGGAGTATAAATCTTTTTCAGACTGCATATGCACTATGCAGATTTGCCGCCATATACTAAGTGAAAGCGCAGGTTCTGATTCATCCAATCGATTAATGTTGAATATCCAAAAACTAAGTTACAAACGGACGCATTGTCATATATTTTAGGAAACAAGAGGCAATTTCGTGCATGCTTTTTAAGAATCGGCATATGGGAATAGAAACTACTGGAAACTATGGACTGAAACGTGGACCAACACATGAAGCTGGATGGATTTCTAATCTAAAATCAGCATTCCATGATACTTGAACTAATGCGAAATGTATTTCCGTGTCAGTAAATAACAAGACCTCAGACATGCAAGGCCAATATCCGATGTATTATAGAACTGCTAAAAAATGAAGAAATTTGCCAGCATTTTGAACTGTGGTCTCCTCTATAAAGTAAAAAACAACAAATACTGGTGTCAGTAGAACAGCATTCGGTAGGACACAGAAGTAGGCGTCCCGCTATTACGAGTACGTAGCGTTAAAGCTAGGGTTAGGGTTAGTGCCAGGGCTAGGATACTGGAGTAGGTACCCCTGGATTTAGTTCCAGACCACTTCTCATACGGGGAGTTCCTATCCTCGCTTCTTACCGAGCGCTCTTGAGTGCATCTTTTGAAGTCACATTGTAGTGGTCCTATGAAGATGGTTCCGCTTACAAGAAAGGTTCTATGAACTCGGTATATATATATATATATATTCACATGCGACGTTGTATGTTTTGCATATAACGTACTAACGAGAATTTTTATTATAAGGGTAATCTCACGCAAGAAAAGGGAGTACTATATCAAAACCCCCGAAACATAAGGCGCCTTGGGCTAGGGTAAGGGGTAAGCGTTAGGGGTTAGCGGATAGGTTTAGAGGTTAGGGTCTGGGGTTAAGCTGGGGCTCGTCTACTGCAGGCGCGGCTAAGAAATTAGATCTGACCGTGCTTTGGGCAAAAGAATGAATCTGAATCGTTTATTTTTAAAATTTCTAAAGAGAATTTAGACCATAAAACCGTTGAAACGATATCACTCTACTATTTTTAGACCGTAAGTCCACCACGTTTGAACGAAAATGTGCACCCTTCGAATGATAAATAAAACCACTGAAGAAGTGGTTCGCTGAGGCAGATAATTCTCAGAAAATTAGAGTAAAGGCATAATCCAATGAATTTTGGAAAGCATTGCAGTCATGGGCTGCTAAAAGCTTCGATACCGAAAACGTGTTTCGTGAGAACACAATTCTCTGGAGGCAACTGATCTAGCGTAGATTTGAATACTAAGAGACGACGCCCTCTAAGAGGATGCTTAACACATGTATCCGGACGAAATTTTTGTAGACGTTTTGAGATATATGTGTTAAACTTTTACTATGTCACCACTCAAGAATCATCGTAAACGATCCGCCATGTATTTTACCAGTTTCAGTCCATCTACGTATCTTTTCCTGTTTTAAGCCACATGTCCCGATCCCAACCAAGTGCTTCGGCGGTTGTCTGTCAGGCAGATATCTTTATGTGCATGCTTGCTCTCCAACGATAATTTTTCTATGGAATTTTAATGCGGGGCACAGAAGCTCTATTTGTCTCGATATCTAAACCGCCATGATCAGTGCCGGCTCAGTTAGGACATTCGGTAACCTGACAGGTTCTGATGATAACGGCTTGGAAAGACGATTACATATTTCATTGCCAACATCAGTGAGAGGTAGGTTTATGCCAGCTGTACCACAGCTATTCATTAAAATGAAATCAGCGGCTTTGAAAATAAGGAAAATTCATTGCGGAATTATGCCACCTGACTGCTTCGGAGGTGAGCAGCATGAAACCGAAACGTAAAGCTAATAACCCAACCGCGCCCATTGTCCATCCGGTTTCAATTTCCTTGACGACGTTTTTGAATGTCGACAGAAGTATTCAAAAAACCTGTGTCGGTAAAGATGTGCTGCTACCTATTTTGCAGTCACACGCCGTCTGACAAAATAATGAAATCCCTGTCTATATGAAGGAAGCGCATTTCTGCAAAGATCGTAGATATTTTAAGCTACTTTAATCAAAATATAAAAACATTTGGTCGATTTGTATAAGCAACCTATGCAGTATCATATATTTGTGCTTTGCCGAGTAAACCACCGGATTAGTTCCTGCAAACTCATCAAATTTAATGATATACGGTGTGTGACTGGCAGGGCAATCCGTTCCTGGTCTGAGTTGTTGTCATGCCAAATTAATAATGCAAACCATTCCACACAGAAACAGGATATGACTGAGGTCACAAAAAAAGAACCAAAAGATGTGTGTGTGGCCTCTCATAGCAAAATCAGATACCGGAATTGTTGGAAGCTTTCCTCTTTAGGAGACAAAAGTACAATATTAAATAACGCTTGCAAAAATTGTATTATCTGATCGATAAAGAATTTGAAAATCGAGCAAGTTCACGATAGGTATACGTTTATCAACTGGCACTCCTCAATTTTTGAAGTCTGTAATGCCTTGAGATTCAATCATTTCATGCAAAGAAGAAAGCATTTTAGTTTGTTTTGAGAATGTTCTGTTGGGATTAATACAAAAAGGGACCTGAGGAATAGTCTATTTAATATACACCTTCAGAGCTGTCAAGTACTGCGTTAAACGTCCACGATTTCCGTCTGCGCCATAACGCTAAATGTCACACCAAAAATGTATTTAACGATTTAGACCATTTATTTCTACCAACAGAAGCAAAGTAAATTCTATACGCTTCTAAAAGAATTATAGTTTACTAACCGACATTCGTGTGGCAAAATATTCCAAATAAGACAGACTAGCAATTTTTCTTTTTGAAATAATCTTGAACTTTCGTGTAAAATGCACTGCTTCCTTCGTTTATTCATAGTCGCTGATTCCGGAACCAATTTCATGTGATGCTAACCGAGAGTCCAGAATGCCTTTTTGACTAGGAAGGAATATTTAATTTGGGTCGTAATGTTAAATAATGCTTACCATATACCCAAGATATTTCACTCACACCAGGGTGCCGGCTTCTGCAAGCAATTCTTTCCAGCCGTCTCACTCAGTAAAAAATGACTACATAATAAGCATACGTTCGCCATTGATTTTCGAAGACTTTAAAATTTAAATATCTTAGATAGGAAACACGCGCAAGTCTGGTAGAAAAACACGCCTTCTTTATACTTAGGTTTTTGAAAGTGTTTCAACTGCCGGAGTTAGAGTCTGATTCGCTTTTCACTTGAGTTTGGGATTTACAGTCTACAAACTATATATTGTCTATGTTAAGTTCATACATTTCTCTTTGCCATTAGGAATTTACGCTATAGGGATTCATACAATCTTTCAGTGGATATGTACTAGGTTGTATTCATTTCACTGACTTACAAGTGTCACCTTTATAAATTTTTAAAAGCCGAAATATACATGTGAGCATAAAACTTGAAAAAGTCGCCACATCCTACCAAAGGAGAGCAAGGCGGAATACATTTATAGATAATATCTACGTAATCTATTTGAATCCATAAAGGAATTAAAAATTGGTGGGAAAAAATTTGTATTAATTTATATCGTTATTTTTACCGGGTGAAATTTTACTGGACGGTCACTAAAGAGTGCATTCAAACCTGGCATCTTGGCGATACCGGAACATCTTGAGATCAGGATACTTGATAACTGCTTTTGAAGTCTACTTAATCAATCCTCCCTAATCGGCAAGGCATCTTAGAATTTTAGTTTTTATTTCATAAGACTGTACGCTGACAGCATGATGCCAAACTCCCTTGGCATAGGGTGGTCTTTTGGTAGTATTTCCTCACGGAAAGATTTATCCAAATATGACTAGTGGCTGTTATGCGGTGCCCAGGAAATTGTATCTCTTATAGTTTTAATGGAAGAAACAATTCATTGGCAGCGATTCACCGAGAATTTATTATTTTGCTTTGGTACACTTATTTTGACCAAAAATTTCTTTTTGCTGTCAGATGGCCAATGGAAATGTACATAAGCTGGCTAATTTGTTTTAACAAGCATTTATCATTTGCAGCATAGTGAAACAAATGTATGACTCTTGTTGAGGATTAAGTAAAAATGTCGCCGAAAAACAAGCCGAATTTCCTTCGTTTAAAAATCCGCAATTTAAATTCTACAAGATAGCTTTTATGCAAGGGTGTAAATATTATGAAATAGAAATGGGTTATATATACAAGTCACCACTGAGGAAGGCTACTTTTAACTTCTAGTGCTGCATCAACAACAGCATCGAAATGAGTGTCCTCCTGCTTGACCACGGCGCCAACGTTAATGCAACAGACAAAGAACTTTGGACGCCGCTACACGCTGCAGCTACGTGTGGACACAAAGAACTCTGTGATCTCCTCATCAAACGGTACGTGCGCGACGCATTTTTTCATTTCTCATCTTAAATCCTAGCACGTTTATCAAGATTGCATTTCTAGCACCTTGGTTTTAGCCTTCGGGAATGGGCACAGTGAGCTAGTGTTCAATGCCGTCTGGTAAAGTATGTATTCTTGTAAATTAGGGCGTTCTGGCTCAAAGTCATCCGGAGGTATTTCGTATGAAATATAATTGTTCCCTGTAGTGCATCAGAAAAAATATTTTGCTGTTTGAAGTAAATTCCGTGACTGCCAGTATTTGCAGGGATCGTCTAGCATATTTGCGTGCACGTGGCCCCATATATGTGCACATATATATATGATAGAGGGACAATCACTGATCGTCAGTTAATGAGTAAGGAATGGCCATTCCGGTCTACCTTGTTTTTCTCGTTAACCACATCCGGCCTATATAAACATATAGGTCGACTGGGCTTGTGAGCCTCACTGTTGTGGTTACGGTCTCACTCGATGCCATTCTGTACTCTCGTCAGCCTGCTACTGGTGGCAACGAACGTTGTGCCATGGGACGCATACCACACATGATAGATAAGCAGCTCACCAATAGTGCAACAGGCCAGACGCAAGACAGCAGTTTCACAGTCGTTGCCGATTACCAGTGCCTCGTAGGCCTTGGGAAGTAAGGTATATAAACTTGCCAAGTAGGCGTGAAACTCTCACTGTTGAGTAAGATCCTAACCACGACAATGAAGGTAACACGCGTACTCGACATGTTTACATGCCTCACTTCATAAGGTTTATGATGTACTGATGATCGATAGCAACCGTGAGACAGCTCTCTGTGTCTGGCATGTTACACTCTTAGTAAGCTGCTTATATATTACATATATTTATGTATGTATGCAATGGTAGAGGGGCGCTCACCAATCGTTTCTACGGAACTCACCCGTCCCGTTGTGCCTTACGGGTTCTCTCTTGAGCCCAACCAGCAGCCGCACAGCGGAGCATGATGTAGGCAGAATGGTCTTACCGATAAAGACAGGAGAGACTGAAGTGGCCATTTCTGGCCTATTAGCCGTTGTCAGCCAGTCATTCCCAACCGCGAAGTGTGGAACACCTGGGGTTCGAACTCGCGACCCGTTATTTGGAAGTCCAACGCCTCTAACCACAGAACCACGTGCTCGTTGTCTTGTCTGTTACGATCGGGAATATACAATGATAGAGGGGTGCTCACCGATCGTTTTCGCGTAACTCACTCGTCCCCTTGTGCCTTACGGCTCTCTCTCCAATGTAAAGGAGATGATGCCAAGAAGGACAAGGGAGACCAGAATGGCCATTTCTGGCCTATTAGGCGTCGTCAGCCAGTCTTACCCAACCCCATGTGTGGATCACTTGAGATTCGAACCAGAGAACATTGGTCATGGAGTTTGACACTGCCATTGATCCAATTGCCCTTTTTCCAGTCGGTTGTGATGGGAGTATCAATTATGCCAGATGGGCGCTCACTGATCAGGTTACAGAAAGTGCTCGTTACTTTGCGGCAGGCCTCTTATGTTCCGCAAAAGCGGTAAGAAGTAAGTACTGTTTCATTTCGGAAATGTCAACCTAGCATGATGCAGCAACCTTTTTGATGAAATTGTAATTTAAACAATGTAGACTATCCACAACCTATAGTATGCCGAGGCATTAAATAAATTACTTACTTAGGTTTTATATGTTCGAAAAATATCTATTCCGATGTTTGGTTCTAGCTGTGCCCATATGGAACAGCTGAGTAATTCTAAAACATTAGAAACAGAACATCAAGCATTCAGAAAGTTAACTTTCTTTTCTACACTGCGTCATGGAAATTAGCGTCTTACCGGTACCCAAATGGGAATTCTAGTCTAATGTATAAGAAGAAGTGATAGACTGAGCTTTAGCTCCCCGGAAACACTCGGAAGAAAAACATGGAAAGATGCTGTGAGACATCATAATTCAGTATTTCTCTTTTTTCACACCGATTTTTAATCTAATTTGTTGGATTTTCCGTAGAAAAGGGGTTTCTATGCATGATCACTATAATTATATCCCTGGCTTCATTTTGCCCAGCAAACTGTCTGAGAGATTACTAAATTTGTCAAGGGTTATTTTAAGTCGAACCATTTCGAAAGAAAGTATTATTTAAACCAAGCTGAGGTGGTGGAGTTGGTAGTCTTACGTTTTGTAGAGTTCGTCATCCAGAGAATCAAGAAGAAAGTGAAAAAGGGGGTTCGGCTGTCACCTGGTTAGCTGGCGTTTCACCAGAGCTGCTAATCACATTGAAGGTTTATTTATCCGCTTCAGTTGATCCTCCTACACATGAATTCAGATCTAAAACTACTCCACCAATACGTTTTATGGTAAATATTTTCTATGTTTTCGCTGCCTATCGTCAGTATTGCACACCCGTGCATAATGAGAAACCCTATAACGTACTGTTACAGCAAGCAGGAAGGAAAGATTATACAACTAGTGCTTTTGTTTCTCCTCGAATTTTGCATGATTTATGCCCTGTGTGCCACCAACAAGCGTAAAGTACGAAGTAAGTCGAGTACGGAGTGAGTATTCGCTACATATAGACGTAACGCTTCGTGTAAACAGTCTTAGACCGTCGTACTTGTACAGTGATGTTAAGTTTTCATCGTCCTCAGTGACTGAGATGATGCCTGATTTGCTCGAAGCGTAACAATACTGGTCTTTGTCGTTCCTTTTTCCAAACGGTAAAATAATTGCTACCTGAAAGTTGAGTGAAGGCGTTTTTGAAGCAAACTGGCCCAAAGGTTCGAATCCAGGCTGCTGCTACAGGAGCGAAGGCGATGACCGACAGGCTGCAGTCTGAGCTACTATGTGTAAACGTTTAACAGGCTTGCGGTAAGATAAACCTGATATGTATTGTTCTGCCTAGGCTGGACCTTAGTCGCAGGTTTCTTTTCGGCCGTCTGATAAGACCACATTTGTAAAAATGGTTATTTTATTAGTATGCATATCTCACGTTCATTTCCAGTTCATTTATTAATTAAATATATTTTATGAAACCTATGAAAAAGATGTTTTCACTACTCGTTTGATAGCAAATCACGCTGCATTCACATCTTAGACACAAACGGGAAGTATCTTTCAATTTTAAAAAAAGTTTTTGTCATGAAATGTTTAAGACCCTGCAACGTCCATTCCTACATTATCGTACCTGTCTGTTTTTGATGCCCCTCATTAAGTATGCGACAAATTCGACATACATTGCAAACTTTGGTGAATTATACATAGTATCGCCTCAGGGATATAGAGAAATATATCATTTTCCTTACGCAGGCAGTATATACCTTGTAAACGGAAACTGCTTAATGCAAGTGAAACTGTTGATCTGCCTCAACATTTTTCTGGAACAGTTTGACATTGTTGAAGCCTAAAAATATCCTTCTTTGAAGTATAAACCGTAAAGGTGACGTAATGTGCTACAAAATGAGCCAAAAAACATAGTTGTGCATATTTTTTATGAAATATACTTGGCTTTCAAAGAGCACTAAACATCCTTGTAAAAAATGCATACTACTCGATGATTTATTTTTTACTAAGTATGGTTTTTAGAGGAGGCCGCAACAAGGTTCATTCAAAAGCCAACATTCTGGACAGTTAGAAATACAGTGAATGATCTAAAGGATGAAGGATCACGAAAGTCGCACGAAAGACACTTATAGAGTGCAGTCCGCCGGCCCCACATCCTAAGACATCATAAAATGCTTAAGGAGGAACCACTCTTTAAAAAAAGTCTTTTTTCGATTTACAGTATATTATTTGGCAGAATAGCATTGTCGACAAAGAAAAGTGAGACCGGAACGACCATTTCTGGCTCATTAGCCGTCGCCAGTAAGTCGTGCCCAACCCCAACATGTGGGACACCTAAGACTCGATCTCCCGACATGTTGGTCCGAAATGCACAACTCTAACCAGTGGGTCAACGGCTCGCTCTCCTGTCGATTGTTTTCGTTAATACACAATGATAGAGGGGCACTCACCGATCATTTTTACGGCCGGTAAATGCCATTGTGCCGATATCATGCGCCGCTGTGCGGCTTCTGTTTGTGCTCGAGAGAGAGCCCTAAGGCACAGCGGAACGAGCGAACCCTGTAAAAACTATCGGTGAACGCTCCTCTACCAGAAATATTATTTCTTCACTATGAAATAAGCTAGTGAAGCAAAACCCGTCAAACCAGAAAAGTGTCTTTATGACACGTCAGCCACTTAAGGCCTAATATAACGCACAACTTAGAAGCAAAGGATAACGTAGTGAAACAATAATTAAAATCAGTACGGAAATAGATATCAGTAGTATATCGAATGCTCTTTTGCTTTTATTACCTCGATGATTCGGGAAGACATAGATACAATAAGGTTGTTAGTGTTGTTTTTGTAAATATAATTGTCAAGCGCAAACTCCTGCCTTTGTTGGATAGAAAGTTGTTTTCTTGACTTGTCCCACCTACTTCTTATTAGAACAAACAGATTTTTGATTGGACTGAACTCCGAACTCCTCGCAGGAATAAATATGTGCCTCAGGCCGTAGGCGATAAGGCTGACTGGTCTAAAAAATAAGATCGTCATAGAAGTCTAAATCGGATTAATACCTCCTTTGAGCGGTGATCAAGTGCATTATCCTGCTATACTTTTATGTCCATTCGACATTGATAAATGTCGTCGAAGCCGAAAGGATGTCGACGTACACCCGACTGTTAATGGTTTCTGTTGCCGATCGCCAAATCGGACGCTCTATAGACCTGATGGCCATCCAAACCCCCAGGCGCTGACAGTTCTTAAATTTTGTTGTCCATTGAGTGTGTTCTCGTGAGATGTTCTTCCCACATATGACCACCGAAGTCGATTTCGGAGGTCCGTCAAAAAATAAACTTCTTCACAGAAAAAAATGCTTTTCCAGAACGAAAGTCTGTAGTTGATACATTCTCCAGCAAAGAAAAACGTTCTCTAAATAATTTACTACCTAAAATGGTTATATAATAACCTTTTTCTGATGAAGTCCGAACACTTTCATCCTAATTCTGACTGTGTTCATGGAAGACATTAACAGACGTTTCCAGTGAATAGTCTTAAGAGGCCCATAGTGATACTTTTTACCGTTCGACAAAAAGAATCGTCTTCTTGCTTACATGTGGACCGTTTTAGTCCTCCTCGCCTTACTCTAGGCCCCGTTTCATTAAAAATCCTTCACAAAGAAGCCTGACAAATCTTGAACATACTAGCTATTAACACACCCGACAGCCCTTCGGTTGTCACTTTTCGTATGCACTGAAAACCAACTTCCTCTGGGAGTTGCCTCGATCTCTTTGTTGAATGGCGTGGCTCGGAAAGGTGGCAGCATGTAGCGCGCAATCGAGATATATACAGTGAGTGATTGATCGCATGAGATGTTGGCCAAAATTCCGAAATGCGTTTTCGATTTGTAAAGATTACTTAGATGGGGTTGTAATACTGATTATCATGCGGCATAATCCAGTAATATTTCAGATTCATCAGGATGTCGGCTTTTGAATGCACTTCTCGATCTCCTACAAACCTTAAACTTGGTAAAAAATTTCTACTTACGTAGCATGCATTTTTCCCATTGATTTTCGATGGTCCCACTAATTCAAAACCATGCGCGAACTCATTTAGTGGCAAATCACGTTGACTTTACATTTTATGCATAAAGACAGGATATATTTAGGTTTTAAAAAGGATTTTCAACTCCAGTATAATTTTAAGCCAGGCCAGACATTGCATTAGCGTTTAGCGATTTAATACTACGCAGCGCATGCTTTCCGTGTAAGGGGAATAATTTATTCCCCTTTGCCTTTAAGAAGATACTATTTAGAGTTCATGAAATGTTGCAATGGGTGCGGACTGTTTTGTGCATTTCATGAGGAGCAATGGTAAACAGACAGTTAGAATGCTGTATGAATGTACATTTCACAGTCTCAAAATCGTATGATGCAAAACTTCGTTAAAATCTAAATATATTTTGTCTTCAAGCATAAAATGTAAAGTCGACGTGATTTCACAACAGATGAGTAGAAGAAAGCATATGTTTGTGCATGTTTTCTATAAAATATTTTTGAATTTGTAAGACCATCGAAAAGCAATGGGAAAAATTCATGCTGCATAAGTAGTCATTTTTCAAAGAGTTTGACTTTTGCAAGAGATCGAAAGGAAATGCATTCAAAAGACGACATCCTGACGAGTCCGAAATATTACTGGATTATGCCGCATGATAATCAGTGTTACAACCCCATCAAAGTAATCCTTCCAAATTTTAAAACGCATTTCGGAATTTCGGCGAAAGTTTCCTGAGATCGATCACTCACTGTACACATACGTTTTAACGTCCATTGATTCCCCATTTTGTAAAATAAATACTGACGAACAGGCTAATCACTGCGTTTACTGACATAAAATATCACAGTTGTGCTAAATAAAAATTTGTAAAGTGCAAGTTGTTTCTTGTTTTAGGAAAAGAATGCGTTTTTACAAACCTGCCTTCACCTAATTTTTATTCAATGAAAAGCACGATTTCCGTTTCTAGAACGGATTTTTCCAAAACGTATCCTGGTTTGATGAATGCTTCTCTATAATTCAGCACGCGCAATTAGGACATATTTAATATGTGCTACTTACTAACATAGGAATTTACATGGATATCCAGAAATGTCCAATTTTGCCTAGTCGTGGTCTATTTCCCCTCGATAAAATAGAGCTAACATGATTTCATTGATATTTTGGCAGATTTTGAATAATTCATATTGACCCAACTGTGAAAAACTCGGCGCCTCGGTGGGATTCGAACCCACGCAGTAAGGGGAAGGCTTTAGCGCTGCCAACGCTCTAACCACCTGAGCTACGAGGCCCCGCCGGACGACACGAGTTTAATCACATTTGGGTCAAGCCAAAATATCAATGAATTACGCGAGCCTGGTAGTCATCTGGTGGATTCTTAGTGAATTACTTAGGAAATCCTGCTTGGGCTGTCAACTTACTGTATCAGGTTTGGTGGATTTCAGACGTTGCAGCAGGTTGGGCGGGTAACTTGACCCAAATGTGATTAAACTCGTGTCATCCAGCGGGGCCTCGTAGCTCAGGTGATTAGAGCGTTTGCTGCGCTAAAGCCTTCCCCTTACTGCGTGGGTTCGAATCCCACCGAGGCGCCGAGTTTTTCACAGTTGGGTCAATATGAACTAACATGATTTCTTCTTTTAAAAATGGCTTTCTGAGATTCCAGTCGATTCTGACAATAAAACAAACTCCAGTGCAGATCTTGCCATTTCACGGGCTAGGTCGTCCGCTGTGTCACGGGATTATGCCGAGTAATAATTAACATCACATCCCCACCCCAGTAATCCTTCCTAATCGAAAACGCATTTCAGAATCTCGGCTAACATTTCATAAGACTGGTCGCTTGTTGTAACAAGCCAGAAATGGCCATTCAAGTCTCCCTTGTCTTTGTCGGTAATACCATTCTGCATATATATATCTGCATAACAAAATGATGGTATTAGCTCGGTCACTTTCCTTTCGTCATTTTACTTTACCCTAATCGTGTTGTAATTCGTTTGATTATTTTACGAAAGTCCGTAAGCTGATACATTTAACACTACTCTCTGTAAGTATAAAATATTTGATTAACAGAAAATAAGCACGGTTATTCAAGGACAAGAGCTAATTTGTGTTGTTTATTACAAGACGTGGAAAAAAGCCGACTGAACATTTGATTTTGATGCATGTGTTCATTGAAGACTGCTGGCTATAACAAGCGATGTATTCCCTATCACCGAAATTCGGCATTGTTAAACATGTTTTCAAAACCATGATTTTAATGCGAATTATCATTAGGGACAGAGTTTCGAAGTTATTCGCGCTCAAGAAAAATGATAATATCTACACGTTTGTGGGCTTCAACAAAGATACCCATTAGTGAAAATCAGACCTTTTTTCTGACGCATTTTGACGCAAGTTTCATCAGAGCAGCATATTTTTTGTTACTACTTGTGTGGGCTCCTCCTCTTTATTAACCTGCTTCCCTCACCGTGATTAGATTTTATGATTTGTTGAGGGTGCAGAAGAACTCTGTCTTTACTAACTCGACATTTAAGAATCAGTATTACGTCGGAAATGGCTTGTGTGCGTCAACCTCTGCTAGAAGTGTCACTAAGCACGTGATCAGAAGATTTCATTTTTCGGGAGTCAGTTTTTGCCTACTCAATAGTCATCCAAAATACGAAGACCATTTCCCCCTCTGTGGCTGAGCATATGCAGAATTTGACTGATACAGCCTTTTAAATCTTTTCTTAAGTATTTGCTTGAGAGTTTGAGCTAAGCGGGAGAAATTGGCATTTGTGTCCATCTCTTTTCGGCTGCCTCCGGTGACCTTTTAAGTAGTAGGCCCTTGTCCTATCGATATTTGTCGTGCTTATAGAGTCGAATATAATTCATAGAAATCGTGTAAAAATATCTTTTCTTGTACTCATTTGGTAGCAACGTGTGTCCCCTTTAGATTTTTTGCTTGAGAAAGGGTATATTTCGGTTTTCGAAAGATGTTTAATTAGGGAATTTTTAAGGCTGCAAAATGTGCATTCAAATAGCATTGTATCTGTCTGTTTAATAATGCCTGTCGTGAGGTTTACGACATGGCTTATATCCATGGCAAAATTGTATAAACACCATGCCGTATCTACCAAATTGCTTAGAGGAATGAGTGTTTTTCATTACACGGAAAGTATGTACAGAACTAGCAGGCTGAAAATCCTAACGAAACAAGCAAAAACGAGTCAAGCTCGAAATGATTCTGATATTAAAAAACGTCTTTAAAGCCGTGAGATACCCTGTTTTGGGTATAAAATTTGAGAAAAACTTTATTTTCTACGCAATAAATACCATTTTTCTTGAATAAGATTAGCTGTATAAGCTCTGTTCCAGTCATCTTTAAAGAATGCAGTAATTGTTTCTTGTGCTAAGTCAGGGTAGTTGGTTTACCATCAGTTCATTCTCAGAATACTAAGTGTAGGCGAGTTAGTAGATGTCGTTAATATGAAGATTAACTCCCATATTTTTAATTTATTCGGAAAAATGTCTGAATGCTATAGCAATGCTATAGCAATCTTACAGAGAGAACTTTGTTTATGTTCTTAAAGTACATTTTCCACTTAACTTCCTTATAGATGTTTTGCTGATGCCATACATATGACAATGGATCCAAATGAAACACAATTATTTCAAACTGTGTAAATATCCGTTAATGTTAATTCTCCCAGCACATTTACTGCACCCAGACATTAACACTTATTTAGGCAATCCGGAGCCTCTCGGTGACACAGCTGTGAGGAGTTTAGAATATCAGTGGGTCTTTACATGGTTTACATGGTTTGATTTAAACGTATGCAGTTCCGTGAGAAACAGGTTTAAATCTGGTTAGACATGGAAACATGGACACTTGCGGTCTTGGCCTAAATTCTAGGCGGATTGGTTTAGGTCCAGAAGGGCTGGTGTGGTGTTAGCGTTTGGGTTAAAGTTAGAGCACGAGAGTCGGCACCCTTCCTGGAATTTAGTGCGAGGTCCCCTGTAGTGCGGGAGGCGCATGTTCCCGTGGCCGACCGTAAAGCTTTATGATGGCAAACTATGTCAAACAGGAGACCTCAAACAACTAGGATACGTTTCACTGGACGTGGTCTAGTAGCCAGTGCTGTGAATGGCGGGGTCTGAGGACGTGTGCATAACCAATGCTTCCTTATCCCTGGCATACAAGGAAGCTCTCTACGAGTGCAGATTTGATTGACTGGTAGACATAGTTCATGGGCTCCTTTACATCAACGTGTCTCTAAGAAGTACGTATCAAATCATGTATATGATATTAAGGTGATTAAATTGGGAACGATCTCACAGTTTTGACAGATCCCAGAAAAAACACAAATTTTAGGAAAGGGATATAAAATAATGCCAATTAAGTCCCATTTTTGTTTACGTTTAAAGTGGTTTTCCTAATCTTAGCATAATTTTAGAAGATTTCTCGACTGAAAAAGCTTACCGTTTTCTTTTTTTCAGTGGCGCTGACCTTTTGGCATTAAATGTGGACGGAAACATGCCTTACGATCTGTGTGAAGACGACGATACGTTGATGCTTGTGGAGTCGCAAATGGCAGCTCGAGGTGACTGTTCTATTGTATCAGAATATTTTGAATCAAAGGGTCTTGATGAAGTATCCCAGTGAATCTAAAGTCTCCAAAGGATTATGCGCAGGCTTAGCAATCATTTTTACATAGCTTCGCCTAAAGTACGGCTTGAAAGTGTTAATTTGTGAGCGTCTGGGCGGTCACCCAAGTGGACTACACAAACATTATCATGTTTGCATACGTATGCATATCCGGCTATCAGTTTCCGAAATTGTTAAGTGCAGAACTCGAAGATAAGTGTTTGGGAGTGCTTTCTAGGATCAGAACCGAAACTTCAATTAATACATAAGGCCAAGGCAATCAATTACCGTAATGTCCATTCTCTAAGCACGCAATCCTATAAGTACTATGGTTTTGTGTGTTGCGGCTTATAAACAAGAGGAGTAAATTGTGTTCTTTTTATGTTACCGTGACTGGGCCCATTTACTTGGACTTTCTGCAATGCTCAGTCATGTCAAACACTAGAGAGTTCTTTGAGGATGATGATGGGACAGGCTCACACTACCGTCATTATGCAAGCTCATACATTAGTCTAGCATTGCCAAACAACTGGACTAAATTTAGGGACTTAATAAAATGCTCTTTCCCCTGTTCACCAGATCTCGAACCTTGAGAGGGTTTATGGGGTACTGAAAAGACAAAGTCTGCCTTAAAGAACAGCAAAATTCGCCGAATTGGCAGTAGCCACTAAAAATGAATGCATCTGAACATCGCAATAAAAAAATTTTAGCGTTTACGATTTCATTGTTTTGGGTTGTCTATAGTGCCTGGACCAGAACGGACAGCACTTTGGAAACAGGCGTTCACAAAACAATCAAACTCTGTTCGAAAATTCTACCACACTTTAAAATGTAACGGACACTAGATTTATGATTTTTGAAAATGTGAGTACATTTGCGGGACAACTTGAGCATATGACTGCGCAACAACCTGCTGTGCTCTATATTGAGCCCTAAAGCACCAAGTTGAGACCACGTCTACTAACCCAGCCGGTGAATGCAGTTTCAACACAGTTAATATTCCCGACAACAACCGACAGAACAACCGGCCCGTGGCCCCGGCAGACCGTTAAAATCACTAACGCTCGGTGGCCAAAGTACGCGGGGTCGAGGCTTGGGCATTGCAAGTCTGAATTGGGGTGGGGTCGGCTGATGACGGCTAATAAGCCAGAAATGTCCATCCCAGTCAGTAGGCCTCTTCTTCACATATATAGTACGAAAGGAGGCAAGTCATACATCAGATTTGAGATGTAAAAGTTAAACGATGGACTAAGACATAAAAAACCAGTGATACCAGCGTTTGTGTATTTTTCTAGACTCCTTGGAAAAAGTACATACTCCAGTACTACTGATGTTTCCTATGGACATCAATTATTCTGTCATCATTCAAGGGCAATAAGGACTAAGTTATTAATACTGATTCGGGATTTAAAAAAGTACTTTTTTGGCGCAGATTCCTCGCCAGGGAAAGCAGGATGCTCCATTCTTAGCCTTTAAAAACTTTGTTTCTAACCGTAGTCGCGTCATGATCATTCTCTCAGGCACGGGCTATTAAAATAGTCGTTGCCCGTGTGTCAGGCCTAAACGCGGTCGAAAACCTACGTGGTATGAGCACATGCGAGTTTCGTGTCATGTCGGATACTTTTACCGAGTCCATTCCCACTCGAACCATATATGCCCACTTGCTCATCCAATTAGTAGGCAGCCTTATCATTTACATCTAAAACCACTAACGACAACAGACGGCAGAACTCTTGTTGTTTGGCTGTTTGGTAGATTTGTTAGCAGTCCGTTATAGTTAGTCCTTAACTACATTCGGCGGCTGGTTTTACTGTAAGTTGGAATGCTGAAGTGCCTTTCTAATTCAGAAAGATTATTTAAGTGATGTTGTAACGTTGATTATTGTGCGGCATAATCCCGAACAACGCCAGCCTCGCCAGGATGCGGACTTTTGAATGCATTTCTTTTGGGTCGCTCGTTAAAACCACAATCTTCTAAAATGACCGATTACGTGGCACTGATTTTTGATGTCTTTATAAAGTCAAACATAGTTTTCGTTAAATTCCCAAAACACCCTTTCTCGAACTGATTTGGCAGAAAATGACGTCTTTTGAAGGTATATCCATAGAAAAGGTGTCGTTCGGTTTTAAAACGTGTTGATACTGTTTTATGTTCGAAAATAGCATCATGTCTGTCCCTTCATTAGTGTTTTAAATGAAACCTACAACATAATTTACATCCATTACGAAATTAAGGTAATCCGAGATGAAATCTTCTTAACAACAAAGTGAAATGGATGATTTTCCTTACATAGAAAATATGCAATTAGCAGATTCCAAACTCTAAGCACACGTGCAAGACTCAACGACCTTAAAGTTATTCGTAAATAGACAAAAACATCAAAAACCTAAATATACCCACCTTTCGGACCTTAAATTTAAAAAGTCGTTATGTTCTGCCGAATAGGCAAAAGAATGGATATTTTTAGCATGTTTTCTACGAAATGTTTGAATTTATAAGGGCATCATGACCCATTGCCAAAGCTTATTTTTGCCTATGTTAAAGGCCTTTTACAGCATGCAATTTACTGGAGGACAGTTGTCCACTATATTGGTTTTGTACTTAAGAAATAAATCAAGGCATTTAGAAAGGAATGCAAACGCAATCAAAAACCTTATGAATTTCCTTAACAGCATCTTGGTGTCAGATTCAACATCGAACAGACGAGTCACTTAAAAGCGCTTTCTCAATTCTCAAAACTGGCATACTAACTTTATTGTTTTCCTAACATCCATGCACATTTTGAAACAACTACAAAACATCCGTGGTCTTCTGCAAAGCATGAATAGGGAGGGAAAAAGTCTGAGACGTTTTTCTGTGTGCAGTTGCTGCATATGAAAAACGGTGAGGTCTAATTATCTAATTAAAGACAAGGGAGAGAGAGATAGGATAAAATCAAGGAAAGGCGATCTAAGGCTTCCGTCTCTGAGCTAATGGAGCATAATTCACTACGGTGAAGCATGACAGAAGGAATTTTGCCTTGTTTGCAAAAATATGGTTTTATCTACGGAAAGTTGATTACGGAAAAGTAGCACAGAACGCGACCCGCTCGAGTTCGAATGTAAACTTGGAATGCCAGTCGTATGTCCAAGGAATGTCTGATCTTTGGCTAGTGCAGCAAAATGTGGAAGCGAGGACTTTTATTTTATGTTCATATCCTGTCTATACAGGTGTGTTCGGATTCCCCGGCATGCGTGTATTTGCAATGACATGTAGATAACCATGCCTCATCTGAGGTGATGTGCAGATACAGGGCATCTACGTCACTTTCCTTGAATTATCCATTGAATGAGGAATTAAGGTGATACGTTGTTCATTGCAGGTGCTGTCGATGAAGGTCACTTGGTCGCAAATTAAGGCTCGTCTTCATTAAAGCGAAATGTTATCATAGTGACCTTTTCGGTATTCAGTCATCTTTGATTCGCGTCGCAAGTAACTGCTGCACTGCTGACTGCTTACCTTCGATGATTTTTATTCTAGTCGTTTCGAAGTATTTCGGTTGATATTTTATCTAAAAAACATTTAACCTTCCACAAAGTGATATATACGATTTTGTGTGCGCCCCCTCTTCAGAATACTTATAAAGTTTAGGGTCAGATGTAGATATGTAGCCCCACCTGAAGTAAGCAAACCGCAGCCACCTGTAATGCGGGACCGGTGGTAATAGGGGGTTTTTACAGGTGGGGTTAGGGCCCGCATACGCGACGAGGTCAAGTAATTGTGTGCAAAAGAAAAGCCCTCGGAAATGCGCGGTCGTACTTTGAGGGGTCGAGAAATAGTTGCTCTAACCCCTAATCCTAACCTTTAACCCTAACTCTAACCCCTAACCCTAGCCCCTACCTCTAGCCTCAACCCCATCAGTATTGTGTCCATCAGGTGGGGCTATATAACCACATCTTACCAAGTTTAGAAACAGGCCTCTCGGGAGACCAAGCATAGGATTGACTCATCCTCCTATCCATATGGGACATTAATGATGACCGTTCGGTGCTAACTCCAAAACAGGGAAAAGGATGCTTGATGAATAAGTCGCTTTGACCCAAATGTGATAATCTCGGCGCCTCGGTTGGATTCGAACCCACGACAGCAAGGGGAGGCGTTAGTCCAGCCAACTTTCTAACCATCTGAGCTACGAAACCCCACCGGGATGGCGCGAGTTTAATCCGATTTGGGTCGAGTTGACCCACCAAGCCTATTACAAAGTCTGGACTCCACCACGTCTGATACAGTAATCTGACTGCCCAAGTAGGATTTCCTAAGTAATCCACCTAGAATTCGCCAGGCGACTACCAGGCTCACGTAATTCAGAGGTGTTTTGGCAGATTTCAAACAATTCACATTGACCCAACTGTAACTTTTACACCAAAGCAAAAAACAAGAAAGTTTGCAAACATTAAAGTCACTTATATCTCATTATGCAAAATCATGACTTTTAAAGTTAACTAAATAACCGATTCTTCATTTGACAATTAGTTGTTTGTCAAAAATTTCCGCATTAAAGGTTGTCATAGCATTTAAAATGCCCTCAATTGTGATAATGATTAAGTCAAGACCTAGAAAATGATAGACTTTGGCGAAATATATGCTGCATTGCGCGAGAAGAGCCGTCTTGAGTATTTATTATTTAATAGCAAAAACGTTTCCAGAACTTTTGAGGGGTAACGATAAACCAGCTGCTCCAATGACCGTCGGAGAATGATTCCTTATGCCAAGATCTGAACTCGATTTTGGACTATAAATCGGCTTTGTAATAAGTCAACCTATGAAATAGTTTGAGGAAGAGTCGTCTGCCTCCAGTTATGTATGAGTTTTTAATAAGAAAGGTTAAATCCTTTGGGAAACTGCTGCTTTTACTGTGTAAATTTTCAAGACTGGTTCCCCGGTCCGGCTTCAGACCATGGGCGCGCAAAATCAATAGCCACTTAACTGAGTTTGATAAATGATTCTATGATAGATCAACGCCCGTACTAATGCGTGTTAATTGCAATTTGTCATCTCTTCGGGATTGGTTACGCCAGTTTGAATTTGCCCTTAACAATTTTGTGTGCGACATCTAGATCGATATACCGGTCGATGCATGCCACATCTGAGGGTATTGCTTCCAGGAATTCGCGGTCCTTCCTTATTGGACAGGCGCCAACAGTGCGAGCGTTCCTCCATGTAAATTGGTGCCCGGTGCCCAGTATGCGAATGGCACCCCGGGATAGATAGTCGCGTCTCTTTATCGCCAACTGACGTTCATGTATACTGGTTGACGCAAATTTCCCAGTTTGGCCACAATAGACGGCATCATAATTGGAACATGGGATTTCACAATTTCAGACAGGAAATTAAATTTGGGGTCTAAGAAACACTCCAAGTGGGTAAGTCAGACTTCATTGTAAAGTGTTTGTAGTTATTGGCGAACTACACTTTCTAAAAAACCGCAGATAGAATAGCTTCCGTCTGCTGGCCGTATTTCGTTACTAGGTTTGAATAACCCAGTCTCCAGCCTACACTATCACCTGCGACTACGGGTATTCCCTATAAAAGCCTTGGAGCTTCACGGAAAAAAGGGTGTGCATGTTTCGCACTGTAACCAGATCAATGAGCACGCGCTCGGCACCAAAAACAAAGAATTGAGCCGCCGGTGGTTTAAACTTCACGTTCATTTTGACAACCAACACCCCCAAATATGGTTGATAATCTCGAAATATCAACTAAAAAGCCTTATTAACAGCAAATATTGCGCTATTTAAATTTACACTAGCCGATTCAGTACTGGGCATTTTCCTCGAGCGATTACCACTACTGGAAAGAGGAATTTTCACTGATTTACAGAGGTTTTCGGAGTCATTTTCCCTAGTTGGTTGCTTTAAAGAGTGTCAGCTCACAATGGGTTGTGGAAATGCTTGCATAGAGACCGGCAACAAGGATAAACAGAAAGTATAACTGTCAGCAAGCTTCAGAGTACTTTGAAACGTCCAAGCTCGAGACGCTGAGCCAAAGCTACAGTTCAATCCCTCATCCACCAGTTTAGCCGAGGTCCAGACAGATTTTGTTCGGCATGGATGCCATTTTCTCTCGATAGACGCTGTCATGACTACCTTTGTAATCTCTTTCGAATCAGTTTTATCTCAAATTGGCATTTGTGGTGAGTCAGAATACCTCTTCCGGCATCAGATCCATTCGCTGCTGATGTCGCACAACAGAATAAACATATAGTCGGGGGAGAACCAGGCGACTTCGCAAGGGGAAAAGACAGACGACGAAATAGTCATCTTCACCGCTGTCGGAAGGCCGTTTCACCGTCATCACAGCAAGCTCCTGGCGTTTTAGAATGACCAAGAGACCAAAAGGCTTCCGAACTTGTCGTAACATCAGTCTCAAGCAGCTGATAGGGAGGATGAAAAGTTGTAAAAGTATTTACCATGCTGACAACACAGGTACTAGCTAAAGACCCAGACACGCGTGTTTTGCCGATCTTGTGCGGCTGCCTGACGCAGCTGCGAGAGGTTCGGCTCACCAGTGGGTCCCTTAGACCTCCCAGAGTGTTTTCTACTACATGGACTTCAGTTTTGCCTTGTCTTGTTTGATTTCCGAGGAAAATAACGCGCGAACTTGGAGTTCATTTTTCGGAAGAGACCTTTTCAGGCACAATCCAATAGTTGTGAATATTACACGGCTATTCCGCGGTACCTGATGGATTTCAGCTCAAATATTTACGTCAACTATCTGACTGTGTCTGAAAATATCTGTTCCGGAACATTTAGTTCACGTCCGCGCATTAGTTTCCTCGGAAATGAGACAAGGCAAGATAAAAATAGTCCCAGAACATTACTAGGTTCCTCTGGATTGACTAGGACTCATTTTATGGGCCTACAAAGGCATATAAGTCAGGTGCTACCTTGGCGTTTTCTTTCCACCTCGAGACATGTCAATTTGGAGACTAGATATTTAGCTCTGAAAGTAATCAAATTTTCTGACTAAGGGCTCGCAGGCAGCAGTCTACTTATGTGAGCGTTTCTAGTAAAAAATTATGGACGTTACTGTTGGACAAGTTGGAGGAATCGTGTCATTCAAAGCCACCTCTGTTTTTACTTCCGTATCCAAAACGTTCGTAGTGGGTGGAATAAATGCTATGTCATGCTACAACTGTGGTGGGATTTCTAACTAATCAACGATTCAGCAGCTTATCGAATGCGTGAACAACGCCTCACGGCATTTAAACTCGAGTTGTTTGTTTATGTACAAGTCACGGACATGTTGTTGGGCTAACCAGTATTCAGGCTAACTTCTGTGGTTGCCCTCTAACATCTGACATAAAACGTGTACATGACGAAACTTAAATTATGGACGCTTTGATTTGCTGAAAATTTCGTCATCGCGGTCATGACAAGACTGAGTACTCTAGGGGGCTACTGGGCTCTGTGGTCTCGAAGGTACGAATCACCATGGGCTAGGAAATAACCGACTAACATACTGCGGATACCAAACTTAACAGAAATTCCCAAATACAACACAGGCTCACTGATGAGTGGAAATTTACCGTAGTCCCATCTTCCAGTCGTGATAGTATCAATAATCTCCTTTGTTTTGGAGGGTTTGAAAGGCCAGTTACTGCTCAATTTACTGCAGTAACTTCGTAGGGGTGGTGTAGTCCCGAGTTTGTGTCTAGATTACCCATACCACTAGAGATAAGCGTTGTCACAGACCCGACTGAACGCTTTGCGAATGGATGATACGTCCGAGGAACCCCATCACTGTGCAGGAGAACTCAGCCATCATCTGCTGGATCCACTGCACCTACGCAGAGACACCTCAGTCGGCGGAACTTGCCAACAGCTACGAAAACGCATGCATGAACTTTAACTGGCAATACGAAAGGTGATCCTTAACTCGCAGATGGTTAGCCGGATGCGATTTCGGGTTTGAGGGGGTCAAGGTGATGAGCCAAGGGGATGCTCACATTCAAGGCATTTACGTCAGGCACGACTACCAACGAATCGCTCGTTCAACCACCACATCGAATTGCCTGCAACGTATATGACTTTCTTTTACTGTTATGATTAAAGAGAACTATATATCGGACCTTATGGTCCACCAAGGACACGAAAAGATATCAAGAACGAGGGCTTACCCGACCATGGATGTCTAGATCTGTCCGGTCCCTACGCATTCGGCACAATCTCGTGCAAAACGCTAGATAACATCGATCAAAAGAAGTGCAAATCACCTTACAAAACTGTTGCACAATCCCCTTACAACCGGCACCAGACGGCAAGACGTTGAGATCTGTACCTCTAACGAAGCTAAGACCTTTCCTGATCCAGTGTGGTGCGCAGCTCCCGTCTAGTCGATACCAGTTAACTAAACCTCAGTTCTGGTGTAACAGGCGATCTTTTTGCATCACACTGTGAGATTCGAAAAGGATAAACCGCTTCCTGGCGGTAGTTTGCCGATTTTGGTTATTCCAAAAGTCAAACGCCTAGAATAATCTTACGGAGAAAGTTAACCCCATTCTAACATCCCCCCCGTTAATCGTTTTTTTAGTTTCGGAAAATTTGTGCCAGAAACATGAAATAGGTCTTGCACACGTAAGCATTGTTCTTTTGCGAGTGGACCCTAGGGGGAAATTTTAAAAGCAGGAGTGGGAAACGAGTTGAAAACAGTAGTCGAGTTAAAATTCCCTCATAAGTGAGAAGTTGCAGTGATAGGGATTAGTAGGAAAATGGAAAATTACACAGTCAGATAGGACTTATCAGGAGGTGGAGACGAACTGCTGGCCCCCAACATAGCCTGAAGTGCTGTACTGTTGGGCTATCGCAACCAGACATTCTAGCTCTGCGCCTTAGACATGACCAAGTGTAATTATCAAGATTCGGCACATGGGGCCTCGCTTTGGAAACCTAACTGAACGATTGCAGGTCAAGAAAAATCATATGTCGATAAGTCCACAGTCATGGCTGCAATAGGCTCAAGGAAAGAGCGTTCGGCGCTAATTCGAGGGACCAGTTGTTTAAGTCTGCTTCCCGGCAAAAGTATTCTAACTACGTTGGGTCATCATTTTTAGACCAATCAGTAAATGTTATAATTGGCAGCAATTAGGACCATGCTGATTTTCTGACTTGTGATAAAATACTGCAAAACTTTCTGCCATCCAAGATGTCATTTTGTGTGCAGTTGCCTGGCGCCCAAGTTCGAGCCTAGTCCTAGTCCTAACTCGCCTAACTCTCTGCCCTAACGCTCCCACCAGTAGTACGGATTTCATGCTGTCCTGCCTCACAAAAACTTGTTCACAGTTGAATCTGGGGACCACTTTACGAGGACTAGAATTTCAGCATAATATGCAGCAGCTGCCTTCCGTTAAATTGAAGAAAAAATGACAGTTCAATCGTCACAAGCAACGACCTTCACCGTGTGCCCCACTGAGTGAGCGCAGCACCGACAACTCGCATACGAATTAGTTTATGGTAGGCAGACTTCCGTAGCATCTACCGAACTTCTTCAACCGCCCCCCTAATCCACCCGGCTCCAATGGCAAGACAGCGTCAAAGACAACCGCAGGTAGGCTCAGACGCAATGACTGTCAAAGCGAAAACGACCCGCCTACGTGTGCCGCACGTGGCCTCGTTCCCGCAGCATGACCTAGAGAAAATCTAATTACTGGAGAGGGAAATCAGACAGACGAAGTACAAATGCTGAGGTTAGCAACCAAAATGCAAGTAAATTGTTTCCTGAACGGTTGGTTTTAGGGGGCGCCTTGAAATTGTTTTATTACATTTTTCCGCTTAGCACATTGTTTAGATTAGAACACATGCTCAAAATGGAATAAAAACGAAACGAACAAACCAGTATATTAGAAGGCATTTTCTCCAACCAGGAGGAGACAAGCTTTTTCGGACGCTATCCAGAACCAGCGACTGTCTGCAAGCATTCCCTGAGAGGAGTCAAGTGCCATAAAGGAAATAGAATGAAGGGCGTGGTTAGCCGAACTCTTTGGAGAAAATTCTGTACACGTGGGGGTCTCAGAGGCCGTGGCTAGACCTCCCGCGCCACAAGGAGTAGGCGTTACTCACAATTCTGGCGCAATCCTTTAACAAGTGATGCGGCCAAACGTCTACTGTTTTAGGGCAACTGTGGCAATTGCAGTTACGTCGGTGGGTGGGCAAAATCACTTCTCCAAACGTCGGACCCCAAACAAACCTCGCCCAGCAGACGTCCCATCTCCACTTCCTAGCTCTTCTCGCCTTTTCCGAAACATAACGTGCGAGGAGCGTTTACAACTCGTGTGTCTTTGTGCATAGTGACAACTCATTCAAGGTTATCTCCGTAGATAACCAGCTCCTTCAAACCAAGTAAGGATCTCCGCACACGACAGTCCGACTGTCGCAACTGACGATGTCCACCGTGTGCTTTACAGCAAGGTGAAGCCGGCACGGTGACTTGCACGCGAATTATTTTGTAACGAGAGTAAACTTACGCATCATCTATCGAAAGCTCTTCTCCCTTACCTAAATCCGGAGCCAAGACACAGTAAAGTAGACCAGAAGAGGGAGAGGGCGCAGGTGGCTGGCACAGCCGGACCCACACCGGGGCGTACCATCGTACTACCTGGTCCACAGCAAACACTCGAGCAGGGTTTTGACCAACAACAGCACCACAGCAGGTCAGAAAGACGACGAGGATGACTGGGCAACCATGCTCACGACCTGTATAGCCAGCGGGAGAGCAAGCGCATCCACCGACCGGGAACCATGTGCCGGAGAACTGCCAGCGCACACCAGGCTGTGAGAACCACGGTCTGCTGAGTAGTAATACAACAGACGCCTACAAACTTTAAGGTACCACACGCACCTTGTGTAAGTAAGCCTTTGGTCACAAAACTTCATATATATAGCTCCCCACGCAGACAAAGCTGACCAACCTGACAAGACCCGCTAGTCGACCATTCCACTTAAGAACATACTGGGTTGACTGCGGGGTCTGGGTTGAACCGTTGGTTATCAACCATCCGATCCACAGCTTTCAGCGTATCGTAATAGTTTCAAGCGGAGCAGATTGTTTATATTGACGCAGACGCGCTGGGATTTCCCACGAAAGGAGCGGGCGGCTTGATCCTCACTTGTAGCATAGCAGTCACATGAAGAGGGGGTCGGGGTGCACACTTTTCACTGCGTGAGAGGTATCCGAATCGTGCCTGCAATGTGCGATGCTGGACGTGTTCGGATGCGGAGCAAGCCTAGTGCATGTGTAACTGGTTAATAGTGTGGAGGCACATGTGACCGAGTAGGCTCATGCGATAGCTTGATGTGCGTGAATAGTGCGGGAAGTTGGGGCGATGGTGACGAGTGTATATTAATGCTGCAGGCGTTGGTTCGCCAGTCTCTATTTGATGGACTCGCAAGTAATCGAACAAGCCAAACCATGAGGTGCGGGTGAGGTGGCAATGTGGCTTGGCTACCGCTGAGTCTCTTGCGACGATGCTATTGGTGGTGACCGCGCTGGTAAACAGGGAGTTGGCAATGCTAGAGATGGCAGAGTTTCAGATGTTCAAAGCGAGCTAGGCGTGTTGATGGTGCGGTAAATTCACTTGTCTTGATGGTCGATTAGGCCCATAAGATGAATGAATGCGTGTGGGCAACGCAAAGAGTGGAAGCGGATGCGACGAGTGCATGCCGAGGCTCTTGCTACTGGTGCGCCGGTAACAGTGGGGTGGATTCGCAAGTGGCCGACCAGGCCGATGCGTGGGGCAAATGTGTAGTCGCAACGAGGACGGGCTGGGATCGAGAACACATTGCTGGTAATGGAGACGATGGTGGTGATTTGGTGATAAACGGGTGTCAGAAGCATTCTCCTTGGTAGCAGGAGTGAGGGAGGTGGTAGTCGTTATCCTCCTCGCCACAAGAGTTGTAGCAGTGACAGTAGAGATGGTGGAGGTCGACGACGTCGGTTGAGGCGTCGGGACATCAGGAATGTGATCTCCGGTTGCGGTGATGATGCTGGCGGTAGCCGTCTTGGGAGTTAATGCAGGTGGTGACGATAGAGGTGTTTGTGGATGCAGCAGGTGCAGTTGTTGGGTTTTCGTCGCAATAGGTCTGACGAGGCCACTCCGTGTGCAGAACGTCCGTTGGCAGCGTGAAAATGTTAGGGAAGTTCCTAGGTATTGATGGAAATGCATTTGGGGTACCTTGTCCCCTCCCCTCCGCGATCCATGTGTGCCGTACTCTCAACACGGTACTATGTAAGGTTTCAAACATGTGCTTCACCCTTTTACGCCGCTGTATGACGCAGCTGCAGGAATTTTGGCCCATCACCGGTTTCCCTTGGCTTTCTGGCATATATCCAAGTTTGCTCTGTAAAGCTAGTTGACAGAATGTGATTCCTATTAATTATTCCACCAAAGACAATGGTTTTCAGCTCAAATATTCGTAATAACATTCGAACCCGATAAATTTTGACCCGAAGATTTTGCTATAGGTCCACACTTGAATCGTCCAGAAAAACAAGGAGATAGCAGTACACAATGTGTAAGTCAGACTAAGAGAGGAAAGACCTAATGAACTTGACGTAAATAATTGTGATTACAACTGCCCATGTAATATCCGTAGAAGATTTTTCTAATGTTCTTTAATGACTAAAAGAACAAGAGCAAAACACGCGTTTTCTTGAAACTTTTTGACGATTCACTAACGTTAAGGCTTATACTAAGAACTTTTAAAAAACCTAATTATCTTTGTAAAGGAACTCGAGATAAGTAACCCAACTTAAAAGACGAGCAATTTGGTCTCTAGAGCTTTGAAAATTGCTGATTTTAAAGAACATTTTCGACGAATTCACTAGCTCGCGGGTTTTGTGAAATTCTAGACGTCGTTTCACGCTTTGAACTTCTTCTCAAGAAACACAGTCTTATACTTCCCTGCTCAAATCATGCAAACGGCCGGCAATAAGTGGAGGCTATGCGATAGTTCTCGTTGATGGTCATTTAATGAGATCATATCTTGTGCCTGACATTCGACCTTTTTGATTTTACAGATGTAACTCAAGAACAAATTGATGAAATTCGTTTGCGGCCAGAAAGGGCAATGCTAGAGGACCTTGAAAGACGACATGCCAAGGGAGATAACCTCAATCAGTTAGATTCCCAAGGTGCTGCCCCGGTAAATCCCTGGCCCCACATTTTTCTACACATCTAAGAATTATCTATACTCTAAGAGGATCCTTTTCTTAAAAATCTTACGAAATTTTAAAAGGTAGTTGATCAGCTCCTTATTAAGGTAATTTGAATTAAAAGCTGAAAAAGCATCCTTTTAAATGCTAGCCGACCCAGGCTTTTGCGCCAAATGTTATTAATTGGCGTGCCCTCGATTGGTTGGACGAACAATAACCGAATTTTCTGTTTATCCCGGTATACGTAGTAGGCATTATTCATACTGATTTAGACATGCAAAAAGCGTGACCTATAACTCCCGAATAATTTTGTGCGCGCCAGCTTACAGACATTTTACTAAATAACCTTCCAGCGATTGGTGTGGATTCACAAAGATAAAGCAGTATTCGGGCAACGTATGTTTCTCCACTTATTCTCGGAGCTTGTTTGCATTTAATTCTATTCCACTGGGAGGTCTCAGAGAAACTCACTTCTTACACCGACTTTGTGAAAAGTTTGGTCTCATATAAATGACCAAAATTAAGGGAGCGGTGTATTGCGTCCCGAAAAAGTTTTATTATGTGAATTATTGGCTCATTTCCGTGTTTAGACATAAAATTCAATAAAATCCAAAAGATCACTGGTGTGAGTCCAAAAGTATACAGACGGCTCATGTACCTAGCAAATGGTTTTTAAGACCAAGATCCTGTTGGCATAAATGGTTTCTATTTAGAGAAAGCAAAGAGCTGGTATTCTGAGGACTGTAAGGAAAGATGAAAACGTAGGTTGTGTCTAAAAATATGCAGGACCAGGTAACCTCATAAAACAACACTTTTCGCTCATCGGTTGCGACATTTTTCACTAAGTGAGCACGTGTGGTGCACTTCTTGCGCATCCTATCAAGCAAGTATGATCAAGTGTATGGAAGCTTTAGAGATTCATTTTAAGATGGATTTGGCACGGCAATGTGGACCGTTCCTCCTCTCGTATTTCAGGTGGTCTTGCCCTAAATTTCATGGAAGTAAACGGCAAGCACCAAGGTTAGTTTTCATATAAGGTTTAGGATCAGGGTTGGAATTAGTTTTCGGGTTACGGCTAGAGTCAGGAAACCTTAGGGCTATAAGCGTTAGTTTTAGGTTTGGCTTTAGGTCTAGGACACGGGAACGGCTACCGGATCCATACTCCTCTGTCCCGAATAAGAATGTCTTGTATGTCACACTAAGAAGGATACTTCATAGGCCTGACTCTCAATCCTGGAAGAAAGCCCGAGTCATTCCGGCAACTTACAGCCTTCAAAGACACGGCTTTTATCGTACCGTGACAGTTTAAAAGCAAGTTAGACTGTTTAAAGTGATGACGGAGCCCCAGAATAGAGCCCACGCTCCCCTTTCACTTCTAGCTCTAGTCCACTGTCCCAGCCGGTTAGTCATCAGATTCGGGGATTGGGCTCAAGTGACTGGCAGCGCTGGACAGCCCATCTGCGCTTGCATACAGGACCTAGCTTCCGCACAATACATGGTTTTCGGGTAAAGGGGCCGTCGGTTTGGATCTCACATACGTGAGAGTGCCGTAGAGGCCATAGTAAGAAGGAAATACTGAGTGTACCTCACAGTCGTCCAGTCAGCTACTCCAAACAAAAAAGCACAAGGCTAATTGCCAGACCTGAGTGTATATACGTATACTGCCTGAACTGCATTTTACCTCTTGATACCCACATTTATCTGCTAGCATTAAAAAATGCACATTTTAGAACTCCCTCTTGAGTTATATAGGTGTGCGAAGCTTTCATTCGGCATTTATCAGAGCTTATCTTGATCAGCTGAAATGCGAGTTGGCGTCTTTGGAAAGGAACTAGGTAGATTTCACTTTAAACGCCCGAATATTTTTTGTGATTTCTTAGAAACGCTCTCACTTTCTGAACGAAAAACTGAAAATTTGATATGTGTGCCCCTAAACTACCTCTGTGAAGTTTCTTTAGGCATAAAAATAAGCCTGAAACGCAAATTTAATTTGGGAACCCCTTTCATCCCCTAAAATGCCATTATTATTACTCCAGTATTGTAGACAGCCTTGAGTTTTTGTTCTGGAGCGTACATATATCCGCGTCCGAAAAGCAATTTTCCCCTTAAGACATCTTTTTTTCTGAATTTTCGAGAGGTAATTTTGTTTTGCTGTGAACTGCCGTTCCAGAATCTCATCGGTTTCTTTGTTGTTATCGTAACGCCTGGAGTTTCACTATCGGCTCTCTAGTCAAGCGAAAATCGGCATATTCTTGGAAAATATCCGGTTTGGGTGATCATTTAGATGTTTTCGGATGTTCTGAGTCCGCCGATGGTGTCTGTGCTCACTATGGAAACAAGCTACAGCATTCCTTTGTCGTTTCTTTACACCGAACCGAGATAAGGAAGAACTACGTAACCTCTTCGGTGCAATGATGTCTTTGTTGAGAAAACTATTTTCTCTTGGAAACGATTTCGTTATGGACTGATTGTAATAAAAACGGTAGTTTAAGCAGAGGGCATAAAAAGCAGATCATTTCAAAACGCAATTGCTACGCGTCTTAGGTAACCGGACGACATAACTTCACCCGATGTGTCTATCTTCCTTTCAAGTCAGACAGCTGATACGTATACTAGTAACATTGGGTGGCGCCTTGCATACGAAGTCGCTATCTTCCTACCCATGCAACATCTCGAAATCTGGGGGACAACTGTAGTTAACCTACAGTATGGATTTTGTGGCAACAATGGATAACAGGCGAAGAATTCAACAATTAGTAATGCCAAACTCAGCTATCTGACAATCTGGCATACCTACAATTTTCCTAGTTATTTATCTCCATGTCATCACCTAGTCTATAGTGTTGTGACAACCTGTTTGGAATCTCCTAAGAGCATTAAAGATAAAGCAGAGGCACTTCCCAACCATCAGCTCCCACTGTACCTGATGGTGGGTTTGAGTGTAGGCCCGAAACACTGGGAGAATAAAATTTTTATTTAAACGATCGCATGTTTTCTTCAAAGACAATCTCTTTGTGCACTACTCTGAGGTGGGCCTTAAATGCTGGTCGAGATTCTCTGAAGTTTGTTTTAAAGTAATTCTAGCACATGCACCTGAACCTGCTACTTGAAACTTGGTATATCAACGTCCGGCTCTTGCAGGCCAAGTCTGTAATCAACGTGCTGGATTTCGGATTTCGTGACTGGGAAGCTGAATCTGACTGCTCCCATTGCCCGTGCCTTTGTAGGATAAAACTAAGTGGATTTATTCTATGAATTTTTCAGCATTCCCGAGTTTTACCTTGCGTGCCACGGGGCGTATTACAAATTTACCTTGCCCTGCGGATATATTTACAAAGCTGGTTGTAGTCCACTTAATGCACAACTTATTCAATCTCGTCCTTAAAATTGTTTGGCTCTAGTAAATGACATTTAAAGGACATTCTTCTATCCAAAGCATACCCAAACGCAGTCTGGGCTGTGTTAGTTGGGTAACCAGCGCGCCTGATGTCCGTGACAGACGGAGGCTCTATAATTGGACAACCACAGTGCAGAATCACATCTCTAGGTGATATTACCCAGTCCTGCCCTGATTCATGGGGGAGAAAACAATGAGTAATTAAGACCGATCCTACGCGGTCATTCTACACTGCAACAGAGTCAACTCTTCTGGCCATCACGTGACCTAAAAGTCGTGGCTCGAAAGGTCGCCATATGGGGGAGTGCTTCGCCCTTGGGTCTTGACCACGTTGGAGTGGCTTCTTCAGAAGACAATGTTATAACAACTCAGAAGACGAAGATGCAATCACTAGAACAAGAAATTTATTGGCCTGATGTTTCGGATTATCACTCGAACCCATCATCAGAGACAGTCGTAGATAAGGGACATGGTAGCACAAGGAGTGTAGTATTTATAGCACGTGTCTGCCGTGGGACCATTTGCGCAATGTAATTAACAGCGCTCGCAATCACCGCTGGGGTCGTAATTTATGCGGTGGTGGCTTGTCAGTCCGAGTCCGAGTCGGTAATTGCCGTGATTTCGTCACCCGCGCTAGATGCTGGTGAAGGTGGCTCGGCAAATTGATTCAGTTTCACTGGGATAATGGCTCGCCCGCGCCCTCCACACGTGACTAATTACCCTGCCCAGGGAAAATCTCAGCAAAGAATACGGTAGGGGAGGTCATTGCGCTTGTTGGCGGATTGCGGGCCTGATAACCATGACTCAAGCAGATCTCGGCTCACGCGGTTGTCACCCCTTGTGAGGATTTCGGCCTCTTAAAACTTGAAAATATGGCCGGTTCTCATCGAACTAGCCGCGTCCGTAGTAATCTCCCAGCTTCTCCGACGTAGTTGCTTTGTCCGCAACTGCATCAGATCCAGTAAACGATTCCTGACGTTTCCTGCCTTGACAGTGGGTCTGTCGTAAATGGTAATGTTCTCACGAACTAACGAGTTATATCTCACGAGCCCCTAGCCTTAAATGCAGCAAGTAAATCGGAGCAGTGAATAATATAGAGGTTTTTGAACGCTAAGAAAACTGACAACAGAATACCACAGCAGAGCACGCTAGCAAGGCGGGTTGTACAGGTGTGTCGTTTCTCCTCACATTCAAACAAGCAATGCGGTCAAAGGAAATGGGACTAAATTGTCAAAGGTAAATTAGTCAGGTACCTCACCCCAGTACCCCCCTTCTAGACCGGAGGGCGACGGGATACGGCGCCGGAGGATATGCACAAGTCTAGAAAAAATGGGTAACTAAACGATCAGGAAAATGAACGTGACGGCCACTGCGAGTTATGTATGCAGGAGGTACAGTCGAAGAGGGTTGACTGCGTGCTGTGGTGGACGATGGTGTTGCAGTTGCATGCTGTTGACATGTAGGGAGAGGAAGTATGCGGGACGGAGGGGTAGAGGGCAAGGGAGGGGAAGGGCAAGGCAGTGGGCAGGGTGAACGAGTAGGGGATAGGGAAGATGGAGGAACAGGGGTTAGGGGGTCAGCACATTTTTGTCCTTGTGACAGGTCCGGCGGCTCCTCTGCGACAGCAGCCTTGACCCGATCGACACTGACCACGTCCTCCTTGTCACTGCGAAGGATCCGGAAGGTCTTGGTGTTGCGCGCGAGCACGCGGAACGGTCCTTCGTATGGTGATTCCAGCGGCTGGCGCACACGGTCACACCGGACGAACACATGAGTACACTTGTCCAAGTCTTTTTCGACATAAGACTCAGTCATTGGAGTTCGAGGTGGAACCGGGGAAAGCGAGCGCATAAATTGTCGCAAACGGTGCACAAGATTATCAGGAGTCTCGTCGGCTCCACGAGAGGTTGGGGTGATCATCTCGCCTGGCAGTCGGAGGGTAGTGCCGAAAACCAATTCGGCTGCGCTACAGCCCAGATCCGACTTCAGAGCTGCGCGGATGCCGAGGAGTGCAAGAGGAAGGTTGTCCGACCAGTTTCCTGGGTCTTCTACGGCACGCAGGGCGGTCTTTAGCTGGCGATGGAAACGTTCCACCATACCGTTGGCAGCGGGGTGGTAGGCTGTCGTCCGAATGCGTGTGCTGCCAAGGAAACTGAGTAGCGTTTGGAAGAGTGCCGACTCAAACTGGGCAACACGATCAGTCGTAACCGTGGATGGGGCACCGAACATGGCGACCCAACGACTGACGAAGGCCTTCACGATGGTTTCAGCCTGAACATTCGGCAAAGGAATAGCTTCAGCCCAGCGAGTATATCGATCGACACAGGTAAGGAGGTAGGTGAAACCATTGGATGGAGGCAAGGGGCCTACGACATCCAGGTGCACATGGCTGAACCGTGCGTCGGGACTGGGGAATGTGCCTGATGGGGACTTGTTGTGACGCTGCACCTTGTTGCGCTGGCAGCTCAGACACGACCGGGCCCAAGCTTTGACGTCCTTGTTCATGCCAGGCCAGACAAACCTTTCCGCGAGGAGCTTTTGAGAGGCTCGGATCCCAGGGTGGGAGAGTCCATGCAGAGTTTGAAATACAGCTCGACGCATCGAGGCGGGCACAAAAGGGCGATGAATGGGAGTTGAGACGTCACAAAGTATGGTACCAGAGCCGGTGGTCAGAGGAACGTCTTTGAGTTGGAGACCACTAACAGACTCGTCGCCAGGACAACCGACTCGCTGCTGCTCAGCCGCCATGGCACAAAGATCGATCCCGTGTGAGAGTTGGAGGGAAGACAGTGAGGGTCTGGACAGCATATCAGCCACCTCATTCTTCGGGCCATCAATGTGGCGGATGTCGGTGGTGAATTGCGAGATGTAATCCAAATGAGAAATCTCTCTCGGGCTATATTTGTCAGAATGGGATCGGATGGCAAATGTAAGTGGTTTGTGGTCTGTGAAAATGGTGAAGTCACGACCCTCAAGGAAGTGTCGGAAATGTTTTACGGCTAGGTAAATGGCAAGAAGTTCACGGCCAAGCGTGCTATATCTCGTCTCGGCAGGTGAAAGCTTGGAGAAGAATGCCAACGGTCGTGTCGAGTTGTTGATATGCTGTTGGAGGACTGCTCCTACGGCAACGGTCGAAGCATCAACCATCAGGGACAATGGGGCTTCTGGAGCAGGATGAGTGAGCAAGGTAGCATCAGCAAGGGAGGTCTTTAGTCTCTCAAATGCAGTCAGCGCGTGGCCACGTAACTCAAGGGGACCCTTGGGACCAGAGAGCAAGTTGGTGAGTGGCAGCATAAGGTCGGCACAGTTCGGTAGGAACCGGCGGTAAAAGTTTACCATGCCAAGGAAACGTTGCAGCTGACGCTTGGAGGTTGGTGGAGGAAAGTCACGAATGGCCTCAACCTTGGAAGAGAGGGGACGCAAACCTTGTGCATCGATATGGTGACCAAGAAAATCAAGGGACGGTACACCCAGGACACACTTGGAAGGGTTAATGACCACGCCAAACTGATCGAGACGGTCAAACACTAAGGCAAGATGTTCTTTGTGTTCCTCGGCATTTCGACTGGCCACCAAGAGGTCATCGATGTAGGCGTACACAAACGGGAGACCACGTAGGACTCGATCAATGAACCTCTGGAATGTTTGGGCAGCATTGCGAAGACCAAATGGCATGCGAACGAATTCGAACAGGCCGAATGGTGTGGTGACGGCAGTTTTGGGAACATCCTCAGGAGCGACAGGAATCTGATGGAAGGCCCGAACAAGGTCAATCTTCGAGAAAACCGATTTGCCGAAAAGAGCTCCAGCAAAATCTTGAAGATGAGGGACGGGATAACGATCCGGGATGGTCGCATTGTTGAGAGCACGATAGTCACCACAGGGCCGCCAGTCGCCTGATGTTGCCTTGGGCACCATGTGCAGTGGGGACGCCCAAGGGCTCTCGGACGGTCGAATTATTCCCAGTTGCAGCATGTGTTCAAACTCCGCCTTCGCGGCCTGAAAACGCTCCGGTGCTAGTCGTCTCGGTCGAGCAAACACGGGAGGACCTGAGGTGCGGATATGGTGCACAACATCATGTTGAACTTCACCACTGCGAAACTGGGCGTTGATTATATTGGGGTGACTAAGCAGCAGTTGCCGAAAAGGACTAGCAATATCTGTATCCAGGACAGATAAGTTGGTGGGGGCAGCAAATGGAGTCAGTCCACGGACGAACAGACCGGTTTTGCGGTCGAGGAGACGGGCACGTCGACAGTCAACAAGGAGATCGAACTCGGCAAGGAAGTCCGAGCCGAGGATTGCATGAGGGACATCAGCAATCACAAAGATCCAAGTAAATGACCGACGAAGGCCAATGTTCAGGGTGAGGGACAGACTGCCAAAAGTGGGAATTGGGGAACAGTTAGCAGCTTGAAGATGAAGACCAGGACTAGGGAAACGGCGATCAGCTGCAGTTGGGGGAACGACACTGATTTGAGCTCCAGTGTCCACCAGAAAACGTCTGCGAGTCGCAGTGTCGCAAACATAGAAGGTGCGACCAGAGCCGGAGGAGCCAGAGAAAACGGTCGCATCTATTCTCTGGCTGACTGGTTTCCCTGTTTTGGCTTAAAAGAGCAAGGTGAGGAACAGCGACGGGCCTTTACGCCGAAATTAGTGTGGTACCAGCAAGTATCAGCAGTCCGAGGTCGCGAACGAGAACGACGACGACTGCGTGAGCGACTGGAAGTTAGGCGGGCGAGCTGTATTTTAAGAGAGGCCATCTCATCTGCCATGGCCGACATCTGTTTTAGTAAATGCTCATTCACTGACGATGAGGATGAGATCTGGGCGACGGAAGGTGACTGGAATCGTTGCACCTCTATCATTCGATCGGCCATCTCAGCCAACTGTGACACTGTGAGATCCTGAGAGCCGGACGCCAGGATCGTTTGAACATCTGTGGGCAGGCGCTCCAGGAACATCTCCTTGACAAATTTATCATCAACTTGCATGTCTCCAAGGAGACAACGCATCCGACGTAGAAGCTCTGAGGGCTTCCGGTCACCCAGTGACTCCTCCTTAAGTAACTGGTGATACCTCTGTCGGTCAGACACAGAATTAAGTCGGAGGATTTCTGCCTTTAACGCGGAGTAGGGAGTATCTGCAGGAGGATTAGCTAGCAAGGACTGAACTTGAGAGATGACACTAGCGGGGAGGACCTCCACGAGTTTGTGGTATTTTGCTAGCTCCTTGGTAACGTTGGCAGAATAAAAGGCTGATTCTATGCGGATGAAGTAAAGTTCTGGAGCGTGTTGCCAGAATTCAGGCAAAGTAAAATTGATTGCATGAAGGGACTGGGCGGGGGCATTAAGTTTTTGATCGGAGTGAGACATAATAAGACAGAGATGTCAAAATATCAGAATTCGTGAGGAAAGTAAATGTAAATGGAATAGATATTCACAAGCAAATAGTACGTTAAATGTTATCCAGTATGACAGAAAGCTATAAAGTCTGCGTAAACGTCGGGAGTCACCAATGTCGTAAATGGTAATGTTCTCACGAACTAACGAGTTATATCTCACGAGCCCCTAGCCTTAAATGCAGCAAGTAAATCGGAGCAGTGAATAATATAGAGGTTTTTGAACGCTAAGAAAACTGACAACAAAATACCACAGCAGAGCACGCTAGCAAGGCGGGTTGTACAGGTGTGTCGTTTCTCCTCACATTCAAACAAGCAATGCGGTCAAAGGAAATGGGACTAAATTGTCAAAGGTAAATTAGTCAGGTACCTCACCACAGGTCTTTCGGCCTCAACAACTTTTATCCACGTATTAATCGAGAGAGTGCATAGTGGTTGCTGTCAGCTTAGCAACTACGTCGTGTTTTGTACTCAAGGGGCAAGAACGGACTCCGCATTGGTCGCTGATCTCAAGGCCACCTCAAGACGTTTTTAGCTAGTCTTCCTAGCGCAACTTTAGGGTGTGAGGAGAAAGGGTAAGGTCGATTGAGTGATAGCAGCCCACCAAATTGTTCAATTCACGCATAAATGATTGCTTTTTAACAACAGCAGGGCCACTGGTTCGGTTCTTTGGACAAAAAAGCACATACAGCTAGTGACCTATCTCATGAAATGTCAGCCGAAAGTCTGAAATACATTTTCGAGTGGGAAGGATTAATTAAGGTGGGATTTAATGGTAATAATCTTGTGACATAGTCCCATGATAATTTGAAAATGCCAGGCGCTTTAGCAGCATGCATTGTTTATACTGATTTTCGACGTCCTTATAAATTTAAATATACTGCATAGAAAAAATTGCATATTTTTACTGATTTGACAGAAAATTGCTTCTTCTTTAACTTTCATACACGGAAAGAGTATATTTTAGTTTCTAAGAGAAGATACCACACAGCGCTCACAAAAACTTGTAATGGATGTGGATTATATTGCATACTTCATGGTACTTCAGTAAACAGACAGACACGAGGCTGCTTTAATAGACGTTTCGCGGTGTATATGTACATACCTTGGTGTGTATTCCAGAGTGATGTCATGATGCCCTTTACGCAGCAGCATATTCTCCATCCTGATGGCCTGTTAGTATTCAGAACTCTGGGCACGAATGTTATTCTAATGTTTCAGAAAATATATTCGTATTTCCATAGGTTACCATTCGCTAGCAAATGATCACTGTTCTGAGCTCTTTATATAAAACGATAGTTGTTTTCCAAAGAATAACAAAATATTCATGTTATTAGCAAATATCAAAACTTGTCCGTCAATACGAACACTTGTAGCTGGGCGTTAAGCCAGCATCAAACATACACAGTCCACCGAAACTTTCGAATGACGGGTTGAATTTGCAGAACATGGGAGTTTTTCCACCGTAGTTAACGATCCCTGCAAAATGTGCGGACCAATGATACGCGTCTAGTAATTATTAACAGACGGTGATTTAACTAACTGACGTACCTTTCGGACGTTCTGCCATTTAGTCATGGACAAAAAACGAGTAGTTGAATTGAGTACATTCACTTTGCTTTTATCCTCTTACAGATCCATATTGCATGCGCCTGTGGTTATGTCGACGTCGCTCGCTACCTCCTTGAATGTCATGTTGACCCCCAAATCCCCGACAGTGATGGCTGGCTCCCAATCCACATTGCCGTCTGTTGGGCCCAGGTACGCTGCCAAAACTTCCGTTTGCATCTACAAACAATAAAAGCTGCACCCTTTTTGTTGTCAGCGTCCCATTCACTTCCTATTCATTCTATTCAGATTTTACAGCACACATGGAATTCTGACGATCGTAGAGAATGCGAGCAGGGGACGGATCTTAGCAGAGCAGGAGGTTAACAGGGGGGAGTTATTATCTAAATCTCGTTGTCATATCGACGTCTTAGGCCGTTCGTTTACAAGGCGCCTTATTCTTTTCATAGTCTGATTAAATAAAATTACCGAGCTCAGAGCTTAAAAGCTTTACACTGATTGCGGCTAATTTGACTTGGTCTTTGGGAGACCACACACTCGGAAGCACTTGGCACTGTATACAGCAACCTTCCTACTCGGCAGCATCCGAAACAAAACGCGACGGCCCCAAAACAGAGTTTATTCGGTTGTTGGCCTGTCCGCTATCATGCACAGTAGTCGTCAACACTTATGGAGCACTGGATGAGATTGCTGAAATTACTCCGAGAGACAAAATGTCAACCAAGTGGATCAAATAACAGGAGACACCTTCCTAAATCATTGTCTTGGTCAGAGGTGGTTATTCAGCCGCACCTGAGGCAAACAAACCCCAGCCGCCAAAAATACGGGAAAGGTGGTAAAAGTGGGCTTTTTACGGTTGGGGCCGGGGAACGCACAGGCGACGAGCTCAAGTAGTTGTATGGAAAATAAAAGTTATTGGGAATGGGCGGTTGTAATTTGAGAGGATGAGAAATATTTGCCCTAACCCCTGATCCCAAAACCTAACCCTTAACCCTAATCCCTAACAGTATTGTGTCCATCAGGTGCGGCTGGTTAAACACATCTAACCAATGTCTAAACAATAACATGCAGACCGTTTCCTAACCACCTCTTCAGCCACACGCAATGAATCTATCTGCAAGTAATGACTGTCTTTTATGGAGTTTCGGCATCGTCGTAAATGCAATGCAGTTCCTAAATACATGCAGAAAAATGCCCTTTTTATGCTTGTTTTGCAGGACATTATGTTTTCGTCAACTTTTGATCTGAGCAAAGAAATTCTGCCATTAAAAGTTTGAAATTATGAAGGCGGTTAACATGCTTACGTTATTATTTTCGTAGTCCAGTTTTTACAAATTTATCAGTATCGCTTTCAAGGCAAACCACTTAATTCATATCTGCTGCGTCGTTTATGAACGTCAGGTTTTTTCATGCATACATATAGTGCATGATTAAGGACAACATAAAAGCCAGTTTTCAACATTTAAAGGAGGTAGTAGACTTTTAAAAGCTAAACTTAACCACCATTTGAGTAAAAATATAAAATAAATGACAATGAATTTTGGAGCGGGTTTGTATAAAAGGCGAATAAACTTGAGCACGACCAAAACACTAACAGAACTCTTCACAGCACCTAAGTAAAGATACGCCCTACAAGAGTGCGTTTTATGGATATTCGAAAGGATTTTGAGTCAAAAGTAGAAACTCAAAGCAAGTAATTTATCTCAAGAGGGTATGCCAATCCATTTGGTTTAGCAAAGACTGATGAAGACTATTTTCTAATTAGAAATATTCTTTGGCCTTTTGGTCAGTTTTTCAGGAGGGTATGCCCCTAATAAGGCATCCAAATATCTTGCTTATTAATTTCCTATCTGAGCTGTCTTGCATTCCAAACTCTCTAACATTAGATGAGCAATCTGGACAAAGTAATGGTGGCATTCATGCACAAGCTATATCGCCAGTTAAGTGTTACGTTGTGCCTTTGTTTCCAGTGATGCTGATAGGCGTCAGAGAGAACAGGGGCGATGGGCGAGAATGTGAACTGGCACAAGTTGGCGCACTGTCGATTCGGCCTTGGTTCAGATGAGGATAACGTCGTCAAATTACACGAGACATTTAACAAGTTCGTTTACTAATCAAAACGGAAATATTTTAAAGACAGATTGTGGAAAAAGCATAACCCACATATCCAGACAGTTTTGTTTTGAGAGTCGCCTCCTCCGTTGAATTACGTATTTCCCGTAATTTCCCTTAAAAAGTAATATCGGATTTTTGAAATGTCGGACTGTCAGGTTTCTAACGTGTTATTGAATATACGTGTCAGTATAATGCAGCTTTTAACTGCGTTGTGTACATTCGGCAGAATAGTCACCCAGCTAGAAAATAACCCCGCCCTGCGTGTCAGAACACATGAAGGATGGTTGACTTCGTAATGCCACCTGGTGCACAATAACACTTCACAGATATAGTAATCAGCTCCCATTTATCAGAGGGACGGCTATAAAGACGATTTGACGTTCGCCTGCGTCCAACAAGAAAGGCCTTTGGGCTATGCGAGTTGGTTGTGCCCATGCCCTGTCGTATCGAAGGTTTTTTAAAAAAGCAGAACTATCCTTCGCCTGAAGAGGTATATGTGTATTCTGATAATTTAAGTGGCGAATTCAACCATCCTTCTTTAGAGTTAGAAGATTCCTGTGCATAGGGTGTAGATTAGGCACGCAGAACACGAGCACACCCTGCCCGACGCGTGGAACGCCAGTACGGACTGTGAGTGGGACAGGGGTCCATCTCAACCGTGCACTGTGTCACCATGGGCCCTTTATCAGCGATAAGAAATGGCGACCCCAGCGGTCAGGCCTCTTGACTATCCCTTATTAACTTGCGATGTAGACCCCAAACTACTCGGCAGGATGCTTAACTTAACACTTGGTTGACAGAAATGCCTATTAAAACTTTCTGATATTCGGTCGGTAATCAATTATCCCCCGCCCCTCGATAGGACAGGGGAATAGGAGCGCTCTCCTTGTAGAACAGGCGACCTAACGCTAAATTCCAGCAAAGCTACCTATTCCCATGTCCCAGCCCCAATACCAACCCTGAACGTAAGCCCAATCCCATTACAATCTCTAGCCCTGCCCTTAGCCCTAAACACTAACCTTAGCCCTAGTCCCAATATTAACCGCAACCCCACCGTAACCGCAACCTTAGCCCCTATTTCCTTGGAATTTACCGCACAACCACCTGCTCTACAGGGGGTTTCTACTTTCGTGTCCTGTTGTTGAGGTAGTTCAGTTAGCCTTATTATCAAGCCTAAAAATACATTCTGAACCAGTGGCCACAGCACTGGCCCATGATCTCAAGCACACCTTGGGGGGGGGGCCTCGTAGCTCAGGTGGTTAGAGCGTTGGCTGCGCTAAAGCCTTCCCCTTACTGCGTGGGTTCGAATCCCACCGAGGCGCCGAGTTTTTCACAGTTGGGTCATTATGAATATGCTGGGCTGTCAGTTTTTGCCACAGGTCTAGGTTCAACTTCGTCAACGGGGTACTTATGCACCCGCCTCCATCGTACTTGTCTTCTCAGCGACTGAACTGAATTCGGAACACAGTTGACTTCTATTTGTCCGGAATGAGATCATTCGGACGTATCACAAGGCAGACTGGTCGTGCCTGTGGGCCATTCCTGCTTCGAGTGGCACGAGCAATTCAACTGAAGCCGTTGAGAAACCACTTATGTGCAGAATACTTGGCCGTAACAGGTTAGATTAATCCTCTTGTCTTCAGGAGGGCATTCAAACCCTCTCAAGAAATAGCCATGAATGCTCCTCGAGCCTGAAGCACTCCTCGTTGTGGCAACTGTAAGACTGTGTCCGGTCGGTCGTGCTGATGAGAGTATTTTTCCGGCAGTAACTTGTTGCTGTTTTCGAAATCTGCCACTGTGGACAGCAAGGAAAGTAGTTGGATAAACCAGGCTTCCCCCGCGGTTAAAAATGGCGCTGTACGCGTCAAACGTGATGCGACTCATAATGTGGACTGTGGATTTTGCGCTTCAGGCTCTGAAGATTATGAGAAATTTCAGATTGAAAATAGACATCTCCTACTGAACGCCTTTCCTCTTTCTCATGCATAGCTGTGAATCACACTTTCATTGCTGTTATCAGTTCTAGTTATTTTACTATCCAAAGGGCTTAGGAGAACTTGGAATTCAAAATGAATTTATGCAAACTGTTTATCTGTGTGCCGCCGCTGGTTTTAAAAGGCCTCACGCGCACGTTACCCACACGTGGTGATCTTATAACGTATCCCTCGACTTAGAGGCGTTTTGGCAGATTAGAAATAATTCACTTTGATCCAACTGTGAAGAACTCGGTGCCTTGGTAGGATTCAAACCTACGAGAATAACGGGAGACTTCAGTACAGCCAATGCTCTAACCATCTAAGCTACGAGGTCCCAAAGTTGGGTCCAAGTGAATTATTCGAAATCCGCCATAAAACCTTTGAATTACGCGAGTCTGGCAGTCATCTGGTGGATTCTAGGTGTATTTCTTAGGAAATCCTTCATGAGCAGTCAGCATACTGTATCAGATTTGGTGGTACCAGACGTTTCAGTAAGTGGGGCGGGTAAACTTGACCCAAATGTGAATAAATTCGCGTCGTCCGGTGGGACCTCGTAGCTGAGATTGTTGGAGCGATGGCTGGACTAAAGCCTCCCCTTGCTGTTGTGGGTTCGAATCCCATAGAGGCACCGACTTTTTCACATTTGGTTCGAAGTGGATTATCTTATGATCCCTGTGTCCATCAGACTGGCTGCGTTTTGCAGCGAACTTTTAGTAGCCTGAAGGTCATAGTCGTTTCCTACTAAGCAAACATATCGCAGCAGCAACAACACAAAGTTTACATTCAGATTTTACAGAAGGTGGTTGCATTCTTCCCTAAAAAGCAGAAGCAAAACTTCCCAGTTCTCTGTCTTTTAGCCTATTCATAATGCATACTATTCCTGACTCGCTTAATTATCTCTGAAGGATTAATATTTATTTTCACTGCAAGATGTTAACTGTTGTCAGCACAATTGCTCTCCGTCTGTGTCTGACGACGACGTGGGGAACCGATATCGAAAATCTACGCAATAAAGTTCCTTTTACCAAAGAATATCTTTGACTTCAAATTTTATTTCTTGGGATATCTGCCTTCAAATAGATTATAACTATATAAGGCATATATGATCTACGTTTCCCTTAATAAACGTCTCTTATTTTCCAGCAATCAGTCAATCTCGACCCTTTTTAAATATGCTCACAATTATTCCTCTTTTATAAAGATGGATATTATCGAGTTGTTGGTGGCCTACGGAGCAGACATGAACCTTCCGACTCAGAGTGGCCAAACAGTTTACAGTAGGTTTTGTATACTTTTAAAACATTCAATGAGTTTACGACTTGCCTTCGAAAGTAGTTTCTGTCCTTTTTTCTCCTACAGGACCTCAATACAGTTGCAGGTCAAACTGTTTACATATGCACAGTTTGACTGTCTAGTCCAAGTAGCATTGTCTTGTTCGCTCCGTGGCCTACCTCGAACGGCGTCTGTCATACATACAGCTGCTGATGCCAGTCATAAGATTGGACATCAACAGTGAAATCAGTAGTTCTTTCATATATGCGTAGTTTTGCATAGCGGCTTGCTCCGGTTCACTCGAAGAACCTCTGCAACCACTGATTAATTGATGGTTTCTGTGAATATTTGGAAAACTCTGGCTTTTATTAGTTTTCGAGGTAGAGGAACTTGAGTCTATATACATATGACCTTCTTATTACCTTGTGGTTGCTAGTGTTTCGCAAAATGACCATTTAACATATTTTTCGATGGTGAACCCGACTTATGGGATTTTTTACCTTTCTGGTTTAGTAGTCTTGACCCTTCTAAGTCGGAGAGAGTTTTTCGAATTCTCAACCCACCCATCAAACCCTGAATTAAATAAGGAAATTTTAACACGCACAGCCAAACGAGTCTACAAAGTTAGCCGCACTGCTGCCCATACAATATCAAATATCGCATGTGATACTTTATTTGGAGACTACGTATTTGGAAGTCGCAAAAATGCGGTTATTTTAGGAACAAGTCAGATTTTTCGATACTAGACTATTTTAAAATGAGCATGAACTTGAGGTGAGTGACGCTTTCTGGAAAGACGTGCAGCTAAAACGTTTGTAGCAGTGCAGGTCGGGTTGAAAGCGTCTCGAGATCGTTAAGGGTTGGTACCATTTTATATGAACAGGAGAATGCCCCAACTAAAGATCGAACTAGAAATTACTACTTAACTTTAATCTGGAGCTCATGCAAGGGACATTTATTGTGAAATACTCATACACCGTACGGAGAAAGAAACCTGTAAGCAAACGTCCATCGATGGTATTTTTTAACTTGAAGTCCAGAATGATTTTATGCATACAGTGTCTATCGAGTTATATTAGCATGTACCCTAACACTATTCCGGAATAGCACGTCAAGTCATTCTGAGAACGTCAACGCTAGACTGTATAGTGCGCAAATGATTCTATTAAAGAACCTCAGCATCGTATCTTCATTTTTCAATTGCTGACGTCAGCTTTTCAACTGGTTTGATGCATAAAAGGACTCGCTTTTAATTCAATACTTCTTTTACGTCGAGCTAGATGGTTGCTGTAGGCATTACGTCTGCGTCAGCTATGTAATTAAGGAACCCACAAACTCGAAATGTCATTTTGTCAAATGGGTAATCTCAGAGTCAGGTCTACGTGACGAGTCCTTCTGTTTGATCATTCACTTGACTGAGCTCTGGCACACACACACCAGGATATAAATCTAAAGTTGAACACAAAGTGACGTGCACGTTACATCAGCCTAAATTTTACAAAATATCAAACCGTTAAATAACATTCGAAATTGCCGAAGTGAAAGTAGAGTATTTAATTGAGCTACATATTTTGCGGTGGACTCACACTTGAGGGCCTGAAATCATTCTGGCGTAATAAAAAAATAGTATTTAGAAAATCATACAGCTGCTTTCATTTAACGTTCTCCGGCATAACTCCATGAATCCCCATGTCGTATCTTTGAAATGCATGAGCTTTATTTATTGGGAAAAATTAGACACTTTGCCTGGAGGTTTTAGTTTCAAAGCAAGTTCTACAATGTGAACTAGTTTCCCACACATTTCCCCTGAAGTCTGCGAGTCAGCATTTGCCTATCTGTTGAACAAAACTCAGAGGCTTGATCCAATGTGATTTTCTTGGCTGGTTTTTGTGTGGCTACATAATATATGGCCTTTTGAATTTTCTGAGCCGCTACGAACCTGGAAATTTAAGACATTTTTGTCAGAGTTCTGTGCCCATTATAAATGGTTCAGACAGAGTAGTGAACTCAGAAAATTTGCCCACTGACTCTCTTACCGACCGTCGGTTTCTTGGATAAGAGAAGCTCGTCTAGCGCATTTGGTCGACGTCGGATAACAATATCCTCAAAAGAACAGGGGTGTTGCTGGTAAAATGCTGCCTTTAGATACACCGAATCTTTATGGCTTAATCAATCATCCTGTGGTCTGAAGTTAACGAAATGCAGAGGCAGAAAGAGGACAAATTGTGATTTATCAATGAAAGATGTCACCTTGTTTCCTGTCAACAAGAATACAGAGAAATTGGTTTTGTTTTTCTTTATGTTTGGCGGGTTAACTGTCTGACTCCATCAACACAGGAAATCCGATGACATAACCTGAGCCAGGCAGGGCAAAAATATACCAATAAAAGATTAATTATCTCACAAGACTTTACGGCCAAACAACGCAAACTCTCTGTTCTTCGTCGCATTGTGCATTTAAGTTAGTGTTTCATGCCTTTCTCTTTTCAAGGGAAAGTCCTCTGGCCCCATATAAAATGTTTGTTTTGCATTAAACAAAACCTTCTGTGCATACTCTATCTCTAATAACTCTAAATCATTGAAAAAGGCAATTTTTTTAATTATGGCTTATGTCGAATTCATTTAAATCTATTTCTTGCATCTCCCAATGTTCCGTTCGATTGTAAATTTATTGTTATTTGCGACGTGTTACTGAACAGAGTTCATACAAGAGAACTACGCCATAAACCAATTTGCAGTTACGGAGCTTAGAAGCCCGTCTCTGTTATGCCAACACTTGAACATTTCTCATGAAAAAATTTGGGAAAAAAGACCGCCAGAGAAATTGAAAAATTGCCTGCTGAATCTGTGGTCGCGGGAAGCGGGGTGAACCTATTTCATCCTTGAATTCGAAGTTAAAGCTTAAATATATTAAACTTCCAGCTTAAAAAAACAAATAATTACAGACTCTATTATCCTCCAAATGCTCTTCCTCGGTATCTTTGCGATCGAACTGCTCCTCGAAAATGCATCTTACTTTGAACTTTAGGGTTTTTTGCTGTTTTCATAATATTGATTTCATATGGTATAACCCTTTTACTAGACAGGGTGAATATAACTCGTTGTTTCCTTCCAACTCGTGGCCTCTTTTTGCTAATACGTGACTTTACAGGGCTGTGTTTGCAGTTTACTAGGTGTACGCTAAAGTTCGACGTGCACAAATACTAATCTCTTGTTACGCTTGCCTATGCTTTTGTGCTTTACAGCCATATCGGATTCGAAGGAGCTCCGTGAACGTCTCGCAGAGATCTGGGCCAGACGCGAAGAACTTAGAAAAGGAGCTAAACGACAACCGCTAGGATTCCAAAACGCGCGCTCCTCTGTCCGAAGGCGAAGGTGAGAGTGCTTGAGAACGAAATCTTTTGCTCTTGAGAAACGTTAGTCCTCTAATCCCGGTCACTCACATATCTTAAGATGAAAGGACTTCGTTTGTGTACATGGTCAGCAGCTGGTTACTGGACTTATGGGAACTGCCCCGTAGGACCACTTTTTCGGATTAGCTCTTGGGTATCTTGCAGATCTAAGGCAACGTCCTTCGGTCAAGCAGCGCAGATCATAAAGATTGACCGGTGGGAAAACCGAACTGACTTTTTCCAATACGCTAAAAGCTAACGCAATATAAACATTCAAAGTTATCAAGACTTCGTGCAAAAACCTGACGTTCCCACTTGCCCGGATCTTGCTTCTACTCGCTTTACCTGTCCATGCGACATCAAAATATGGGAAAAAATGATATCAAATACCTGGGCACAAAAATACGCTTATATCCTCGCGACCTTCCACATCCAACTTCACGCAGTATGCGCATATTATAAACTACGCTATTGCGTCCAGGAATATGTAGGTGAACAGCTCTGCCATAGCTACAAAGAAATATTGGTACGCCAAACTTTCTACTTCACAGACTTGTTGTAGCAAAGAGAGCTGACTTGTATGAATTACCAAACTCCAGGCTCCCGGCCCCCACAAATAGGAGAAGTACGTAATACAAAAAGCACAGCCTGACTGAGGATGCGATGGCCTCAGCAAGGAAAAGTCGGTAGAACGGATAGCGGGACTGTGCTTGACTGGCCTCGAAATGGTTATTGGGTGGATAATTCTGTGCCGTAAAGCGAATGTTAAATATAACTAGGACTTGCATAGTTACTGTCCGCTTGTCGGAAATTCAAATACGAGCCTGTGCATAAGCAAACATTGTAGATTTCATAGCTACAGAATACCCTTTAGTTTTATAGTCAAGTCGAGGCACAAAATCGCAAGACAGAGCAGAAAGGTTTAGAATCATCTATTGTGAGTCCCGTTTGGTCCTGTTATGATGCCGTGGGATTGCAAGGTCTAAGATACCTTTCTTTTAGAGTTGAGGAAATTCCGTGGCAGAATTCAGGAGACTGATTTGGTAGCATTCGTTTGTTTTCGATAAATTCTCCTCAGGCCAGTACAATTATATGGGAACTGGATACAATCAAGCATGTCGGTGATTATCGAAGTCGATTAAAGTTCGCCTTAAGACACAGGCGAGGTGTGGAAATAGGGCGGAAGTAGTAAGACTCACTGCCTGAGGCGGGGTAAAAGCAGAAGGGCGCAGAGAGTTGAATGAAGATAGTCGACTTTTGCCCACGATAAGCGCGAAGCCTGAACGAGACTCTTCTACGCGCAGAAAAGCGACTTTCGTAATCTGATTGCGGTCGCTTCTGCCGTTGCTAGCAGATGCTGGCCCAGTATACTAAAGTAGCTCGATGGGACCTTATAAAGCACAAAACAGCTGCCTTGGGATCAATACTATGCTCGCAATTAAATTCTGCAAGAATGGGGCGTTTAGGTCCCTAGTTTTTCCTTTTCCCAGTCATGCCGGTAGGTGTCCTCGTATTCTCTCTTTTACGTATTCCAAACAACGTCTGTTAGAACTGAATTCACCATGCGTTGGGTGCTTATACTTTCCGCTACATCCTCTCCCAGATGGTTCAGGCTAATACAGAAGGCACTGCGTTTTTGCACATGACCTGCGTGATGCAGTTTGCTTTGAAACTAACCACATACAAAAAAATGGAGCCAAGTTGGTTCATGACATGCGTTTTTAGAGAACCGCTGAATCTGCGTAAATCAATTACCAGCATCGCACCTACCGTGCGAAGTGATGAGGTCACACCAGCCACTAGGCCTTATCTTATCTCCAATCGACTGAAGGACTCAAGTGCATTACTGGCCCATGGGGATGCGAAGAGAGAGTAAGACCGAGCATGGGGAACCTTTCCTCGAAACAAACTGCGCATTGCTCAGTACAATAACTGTGACGCAGTTTGACTCATACTAATGTCAAAAAGCACTGGCTTGGGAGTTTTCATATAGGTGGAATGGATCACTCCTCCTTTAGAAGGAGGGTCATTCTGCAATGAATCTTTTATAATTAGGTTTTTTTATCAGCTTTAACTTCGCTGAGGTCTGAGAGCGTGTGCGACATCGTGTCACATCAGACACCGTGTCATACTTCATTACCAGTTGACCTGAATCGGATAAGTCACTGGTAGAAGAGAAGGTGGAGTGTAGCGAGTTCTGCTCCGGAGTTTAGTCACTCACCATAAACGGGGAAGCATTGTTTTCTGTTATGAAAGCATGATAACAATAGTGCATTTGAACTTTGCCGACAGACAATGTAGGTCCGTTCAACTGAATATTCAGGATGAAGCTTCAATGGTTTCCTCATATGCTGGTTCTTATTACATGCGTGGATTTGAATGCTGAATGTGCATTTGAATGTGCCCACCTAGCAGAGTAATTCGGATCTACTCCATACTCAGAATCAGGCTGCAATGGTTTCCTCATAAGTTGGCTCTAATTACACACATGACTAGACCGTGTGAATCACAACATTGAATTTTTAGTCTTACCAAACACCGAGAGCGCGTCCACCTCCGGACATCTCAACTTGGTCATGCTACCAGAGCGCTGTGGGTGAGGGGAGAGAGGATGAGGTAGATGTGGCGGGTGCCTGCTTCCCTGTAAGCAAATTCCCGCATTCTTAGCGGCAGCGACCACCTAGTGAGACAAGAGTTGAATCTTATCACCTCTCCTGGTCTAATTACGGTGAGTATAGCGCTCTGTTTTGGATGACAGTGGGGAAACATAGCCACCTGCCGCTGGGACATGAGAATGTTGTCTGAGAGTAGAACTTGTTCGTAGGAATGGTCTCCTACCAAATCTGCCTACCTGATTTACTGTAATAGCCTATTCAGTGCGCTGGCTGGGTTGTCTTTTGTGGTCTCGGATGGACTTCTTGCATTTCGAAGCTGCAACCAGCTGGAGAACTGGAGAGCTGCTGGGCTGTTTGGTCACCAAAAAGCAGCCTCTTTGTATCCTGATGACCGTAGTGACTTACATACTTAATGCCTGGTCAACCATAAGCAGTCGGTTTGCGCTTGGCAAAGTGCCATTGCCAATAGCATCGCAGAGGAGGTGGCGTTTCTAGTCGGTTGTCGTGAAATAACTTTAAGGTTGACCAAATAATGCGTTTGTGAATTATGCACACTTCGGCATGTGTGCGTTAGTCATGCTTGGAAACAATCACTCCCTAATTAGATTAGAGGATAAGTCTGACAACAAATAACCTCTTCTTGAAGTTCTTGTTTTGAGGGAAGATGTATGTGAGTTTCGTAAAATTTTGTAATTATGAGAATATTTCGGAATCCAGCATTATACCGCGCGAATTCCAGTATCAGAACATTCTTAAATGCTGCTTTCGAAGTAATAAAACTAGTTCAGTGCTTTTTTGATTTTTTAATTAATAGCAAGAGGCCTTGTCATAAGTAAATAACTATCCGTTTTTGGGGACAGAATATGGGACCTAAACAGCAAACAGGAATGTATGTTTTGGCCAAAAACATGCGAGATAAGCTTAGCATTTAAAACAGAGATGTCCCCTTGTTCAAAAAAATCAAATTTAGTGATGTCCAAACATGTTGTGAAAGGAGTAAGGCAAGTAGACTCCCAGGCATTCGCATCCGGGAAATTTTAATCCGCTTATAAAATCATCTTAAGCAATGCAACACACATGCCGCTTAAGGAGTTTTTATAAGTCTCATTTACAGCGTGGTTTGAAATAATCTTGTGTAGAATTCCTAATTGAATTGTGTATACGTTGGCTTGGAATTTTACTCGATGTGAATCAGCGTTTCACTTCCCCTTAGTAACATCTGTCTGAAACAGGGTCCAAATTTTCAGCCCACAGGAAGCCTGGTCTGATCCTTTGTGTTCCTTCTGCCTGTTCAAGTCAACTTTCCCTTTGTCTTGAAAATGATTAGCTGACTAGAGGTAGTTAACTGCCATTATTCTAGCCCTTACTCCAACCAATTGCCTCTCAAGCTATTCTGGTATTCTGCTCTTCGACTAACTTAATTTCCTTTTTCGGGAGGACGTAATATGCGACGTGTCCACAGGTAATCTGCCCTCTCGCGAACAGGGGTTTGCGGGAAAATTTGAAATGTCCATCTTTATCATCTGTACTATAGTAGTGATGTTGGTGTAAAAACCGGAACTTACTGTTAATCCTAATCAAATTTCATTCTGTACTGACTAAGACGACGTCTGGGAAAATTTTCAACAGGACACAGTAATAGGTATTCCACGGATTACAGGTTGCTTTGCGTTGAATTCCAAGGAGGTCCGGTTTAGAGTTATGGACTAGGGTAAGCACATGAAGGTATGCACCCCTATACTCATCTGCTATACCGGGGTTGTCTATTCGCGTTTCCAACTAAATGTTTAAGCGCAATAGAGACCGTTCTGTATGAAAAAGGAGCGTCAGATTAGGAAAGACCAATCCTGAATCTCTCAATACACAACTGCTCAGAAAAGAAGAATTCAAAATAATACATGCTGTTGGATGTTGCCATGTTTAGCCGGAGGCACACACATGAATAAAAAATATGCGTCCGTCGTCAGTTTCGGCCCGCTTTGCACAATGCGTTTCCGTCCCGTTGGATTTACTCTATTGTTTAGTGCCAGTCAATCGAGTATTTAACCCTTCGGGTCTGGCACCCCAACTAAGAGCAGATTCCTCTTGGTTCAAAGCACACTTCAGTTGTAATTTTTTGTTGGTCAGGGGTCTTTGTCTTGCAATGTTTTCGGGATACTCGTCGGGGTATTTTAGTCCAAAACGAACTGTACTTTTCTTATTTTAGGCACTTTAAGAAGTCTCTTTCATTTGGAGTTTTTCGTAGTGTTTCATCAAGAAATCGAACTCGGAACTATGCCTGTGATTTCTCCGACGGTTCCTTCTTCGGATTTCAGTTTCTTCTGTTGGCAATTAAGTTCTTAAATTATAGGCCAATTGCATTTAAATAAGGCTTGCAGAGTCAGAGGAAAGGAGCCAATATGCGGCCCACATTTTCTTATTACTTATTACGGCCTACTGACTCTTACGAAAGTAGTGTCGTTTAATTTGGGTACACTGGTTGCCATTTTTCAAGGTAACATAAATTATCACATTCAGATTATTTCTCGGTTGGTATACATGGCAATTTGGTATATTTCCCCTTTGCTGGTTACTTTGGCGCCTCTCCCTCCCCCCCCCCCTTTGTTCTGTTGTTCTGCAAATTTATGCCGTGCCGTCGGATCAATCTTACCACTTTATTCTAGTTGGGTTCGCCAACTTCATTCGTCCTTGGGTTTCTATTGGCTATTTCTTCGCCTTGATTTCTAAAATTGACGTCTTATCGTATAGACGCTATATTAAGCTTCATTTGGTTTTTGGTGTTAAATTTCGCTAGTATTCAATTTTCTGGGTCGATTGCAAAGTCATGCACGGGTTTATTTGAACATGTTCGCGGAATTATAACATTTTTCCAAAACTTAGTCCTTTTTCACCGCCCATTTTCCCATGTATTAGCCTCACCCATATGACTCCTGCTTCCACCGGTCGCGTAGGATACGATGCCCTATCCTCCGCATTCTTGATGGGGCCGCATATTGCGTCGTTGCAGAGTTAGGTTAACTAAATTATGCTTTCGTCTACAGTTTGGATAGTCAGAAATGGCAGGAGGGTTAATTTGCATGTACTTTTATTTTAAAAGCTCCATTGTTCTGCGGAGATCGGTCCGGGAGAAACGTAATCTCACTGTGATGGAGGCGCGCTTGGAGAAACAACTGGGCGAGCGAGAGGAGGCCAAAATTGTACAGGAGATGGGCAACGGTCTCGAAGGTTTGCCCCTGTCTGTACAGTCACCGCCTTTTGCCCCCGCTTTGGCTCCCGCAGCTGCCGCCACAGTTCCGAAGGCCGCAGATTCTCCCAAAGTACAGCCTCCGGTTCGACCTCCTCCAAGGGCAAACTCATCACAAAAAGCCGTTCCCGCGACTGGCGTGGTTGGCGAAACCCAGCAGATCACAGACTTCCGCAACCCAGACACCAACCGCGAGGACCAATTTCTGCCGCGAGTCAGTCAAAATAGCACTATCGAATTGCCGGGCGGGTCGCCGAACAGCGCCACGCCTGACGATAAACGCCTCACGATGCCCCCAATGCCCCCGCCTCGCGCAAAAAAGGTGCGTCCACGATATACTGCAGATTTCACAGGCATTTGTTGTTTAAATGAGTCACCCCGCTTGCAGCATCGTTTAGGTGCCTTCTACTGCTAATATTCAAGCGAATCTTAAGTATTGGGCTGTATGAACTCAAAATTCTTCTGCCGACTGCTCAATTTCATATACCCAGGGTCATGCCATAAATGAAAAAAACCTGCAATTTTAACTCGATCTACACCTCAATGTCAACACGATATTGTAGTTGCGGCCAATCAAGTAAAGTCTCCAAGTTGTCGTCAAGGGTAATAAGTTCAATGAAAAAATTAGCTCGTGTGTGAGAGGACGTTTATTTTGATCTTGTATGTAGTCGTTAAATCTACCTGCAACTCTGGTTCACCTGGCATATGACGGTTTGTCGTTGGCTCCTCAACTTGTCCTCGCAATACGATAGGAAATCAAAGTTGAGTTGTTTAGAGAGACGCGATAGCACCGCGTCTGATGCGGGGATAAAAAATTGATAAAAAAACGGCAAAAGGCTTGTCTTGTTGCTAAACAGTGCAATTGCCCAGGAAACGCACCTCCTGTTCTGACAACACATCTGCACTTGTTCCCCTTTAGAGGAGCCGCTAGATATAAGTCGACTGAGCCATTTTATACTTTTACTCCTGAAGACAACTTTCAAAATAATTACTCAACTTCTGAAGGTACACGTCCGACTATGTCATTTACAACGAAAAACATCAGAACATATTCTGTCCTGTAGGGATATAATATACTTATTACGTATTGGTTAAAAATTTCTCATTTCTGAGGCAATAATTCATGAACCTTTTAAGGTCTTTTACTTTCTAGTCAGGTGATACTCGCTGCTCGAAGTTCGCCTACTTTGATAAGAGTTTTAGAATCCTTGTTTAAGCGCAAAAATGGGTAGCATTTATAGTCTGGTCTCTAAGCGGTGATCATGCAGTCATACTGTACAGTATCTGGACTATCTCATTAAACGCTAAATCAAATCTGAAGTGTGTTTTCGAGTTGAAAGTATTACTTGGATGGTGTTACAATACTGAACATCGTACAGCATAATCCTAGGTTGCCACGCCAGAATGTCGGTCTATGAGTGAGTTCTTTTACAGCAGTCCGCAAAACCACACTCGATAAGAAATAACTACTGAAATCACATGATTTTTACTAAATTTCGATACCCTTATATATTCAATCATATTTTGCAAAAGACATGTTTAAAATATTCTTTCTTGCACTCATTTGGCAGCTAATTATATCACTTTCGAATTCTGTTATTAAATAAGGGGCATCTTTCTGTTTTAAAGGCATTTTTTAATTTTCAAGTAATTTTGAACCCTATCTGCAGTTGCACTTACGCTTAGGGTCGCCAAACTGCACACAGCATGCTTTGCATGTATTGACAATCGTACATTTTTCCACACTGTCAAGAAGATGTCATCTAAGGTTCAGAATATTTTGTAATGCATGTTAAAAGTGTTATTCAATCAACTGCTATCACTAATAAAGGAACAAGTACGATGCTGTACGAATGCACATTTCGTGATCTGTCGCTAGAAGAGAAGAGGCGAGTTCCAGGAAGCAGACCAAAAGATAGAGAGGAAGAAGCGATCACCAGAGCAAGAAATTTATTCGCGGTTTATTTTAAAGTCTTACGAAATTTCATGATTACTAATGATTCAAAAATGTAAACATAATTATATAACGGTTTTTGGTGCGCGTCATGGGCAAAAGGTCTCAGAAGGTATTTGCTATCACGAATGAGGTGAGACATGATTGTGCTCTCGCTGTCACCCACTTCAGTCATATTTTCTCCACGTTCCGTGAGAAGAGACTAGGAATCAACATTGGTTACGAGACGGAAGGACGAGTGCGGAGACAGGGACATATAAGGCCAGTATCACGACTTCTTGTTCTGGAATGGCCGCGCTAACTATCCCAACGTAACTGACAGGTAACGGAGCCCAAGCCTCCGTGCCTCCAGCTGCTCCATCTTCTGACTGACAATTAGCTTGGAGCAGAGAGTGGTCGCGTGCCACCCGGCGGATTGGGACGAACTCACGTTAAGTGTCAGCGTAACTCGCTTTACATCCGTAAACGAATTCGCATTCCCCAGTGAACACCTTATAGAGAAGCATCAACGTCGACGATAAACTCGATAATCGGGTCTACAAGGCAGCCGAACCATCGGCAGACTGCTAAAATCCACCTGAAGTCGACATCCTGGTTAACACAGAACTGACGATATAAGGGTCGTTGTCATGACTACGCCCCTACATAGAACGGGGGCGCGACCAGTAACGTAGATCCAGTTTCCACGTGTTCCCATGCATCGACCTGATCAGTCACCTGCAAAGCCATCGCAGTGTCTTGAGCCCCGACTCCCATCCTTTACGCAGAGTTTAGACGTCCGCACTGCCGGAGGACATTCAGAGACACTACATAGGCCCATTCAGCCACATGCGAGTACACGAACTCTACAGAAAAGCCGCACGTCGCATGTCTCCATGCAGCAACTCTCTTTCTGTCCGCATGCACACAAAGTACATATAGCCTACGTACGGGCTTGTTCTTTCACAAGGACATATGGAGCAGCTATCAGCGCTACACAACACATCATTCACATAAAAACAACGCGGTGCGATTCGCCATCGTCACTATGACGCTCGAGCGTTACATGTGAGAAGCTGCACATCAGGCCTATGTTAGAAGAGCTTAGGTCTGTGTGTACCTGTGTGTGTCGTGCCCCCAAAACGGGCCTCGCGGTAGGTACGCTGGACCAAGACGGGGACTGGATCGGAGTCCGTCAGGCTTTATCGGGAATACGCACCCATAACAAATCCCAACATTCAGGGTACAGTGGCAGGCCCTATTGCGCACCTCGAACACATCGGGGTCTCAGCCGTCCCCCCCCCCCTTTGTTTTTGTTGGTTAAAATCTCGATCAAATGTTTGTCGGGAATCGGGGGTATGGAGTGGTACACCTATATGCGGGTCCTGCCGCACCATCCACCTGTGCCCTCTCCCACCTCCGGTCTTTTTGACTATTTCTTGACTCCGGGCCCAGGTGTGAGAGGAGGAGGAAGTGCGATAGATGCCGCGTAAGTCGAATATCACTAAAATAACTCACACACAAGCCACCGTACCTGTTCTCACCTTGCTGTGGAGTACACGGTGGACATCGCCGGACACGACAGTCGAAATGCCGTGTGCGTTGAATGCGTATTCGGAGGCCCTTGGGACACGTCAGCTTCAGTGTCCGATCTCATCACCAGTTCGATTGTGGGTTCCAATGGTCAAATGGTGCAGTGGACAAAGAGAAAAAACGGGGGGGCGGCACTGGGGAGGAGCCTTTTCTCATGGAAAATCAGCGTATTCCTCACTGTAGAAGGTCTAGCGGGCTCGAATCTTTTGCGATGCCCAAAGTATCGTGTATCGAAAGCTCGCCAACTGACTGTTCTGCCTAAAGTTAAGAATCGATCGGCAGTGGCCTTCCCGATGCTCTCACTCAGCTGACATCCGAGACCAGCACATAAAGAAATATAGACCACTTCGTGCATGGAATACCTGGATGGACTGTTGGGTTTTTTCAGGTACCGTCTTCACCCTAACCTCCGGTCGTCTTGATGCTGTCTTGGCACCGGACGGCGGTGGTTGTAGGGAGAGAGAATGAAGTAGATGTGACGGAAAACTGTTTCACCTTTAATACCTTCATGCGCAATTCCTGGTCGTGCCTACTTCATTGGGCAGAGGTCGTTCTCCTCGCCTGCAATTTCAAAACTATCGCAGGCGATGTTACAATTAGGAACTGAGAGGTCACATCAAAGAGAAAATCGGTAAGTAATGGCATGGAATAGTTAGATTTCCATTATTCGACAACAGGGATGACGCAGCTCGTATTAGACCCAGCACGGTTCTTCTTATTTTCAGCCCGACCGTTTGACCGCTGATCCCGACGATGACCACCGTTTGTTCTACAGCAGCATGGGTGCAGAGATGGCGACTTGCGCGTGAATTAGTTTCCAGTGACAGCCTGCTTGCGCAGAATCTACTGCACTTTCTCCCCCCCCCCTCCCCAAGTCAGTCAGACCCTCAGTCCAACACCAGTGGACCATGATTTTGACTGTCCCATCGCGTGCTGGCTACATAGAGAACCCAAAAGTGTGTGATTGCGAACTGGCTTTAGAGAATTCCGACCTCATTATGTCCGCTAAAATCTCTTGCCTTCCTTGGCAGTTGCTAAATTAATATCCTTCCTGTCTGCAGTATTTTTTATCTTGATACAAGAAATGATAACTGCCATAGTAGCACCACTTATATCCAATCGATCTTTTGTTAAAACAAGACTTAAAGTGGCTTCCAAAATCGAGCACCTGCAACAAAAGCAGATCGGTAAACATCGCTATCACGCAATACCGAATGTGTCCAAGAATTCTTTTTTACGTGGAAAACTCCAACTTCGCGAGCAGGTGAAATAAAGAACATACGAATCCTATAGAATGGTACTGCAGCTTATCGGACATTATTTTGAACTTTTACGAGGAAACTTATCCAAGCTTACAAGGGCCTAAGGGTTAGACTGAGAAGCACCTGATTGAGGCCTACATGTAATTGAATTTTGGGGTTTTCGTCACTGTGCAAATTACCTGACCATTTTTATCCATAATTTTCGCGTCGACTGCTTCAAATCATACACAAAACCTACTGCTATGCACCCCATAGAGCGGACTTGTAGGACGTTAACATATGTTATCGTCTAAGATCGTCTGCATGAAAAGTAACGAAAGTTATCAGCCTATGACCCCAGAATTGAGATCATTGTCCCGTTAAGTATTGTCGCACCTAGGCTTTTGGTGCGTATATATCCTACACCACAGACGACCCGTTCCGTTTCTCTACTATTCAGGAGGGATGTTAAAACGCAAAGCCGATGCTTTGGCGAAGTTTATACATGTATGGCGAATATTTCCATTTTACAAGACATTTCATTGTTTACGTGGTATACAATTTAGTAATTCAAAGTAACCGTGAAGAAGGGGACACGATCTCCGAAACAAAAGCTTTATTCGCCTGTCGTTTTGGACTGCTACTCGAACCCACCATCAATAAGCTTCAACTTCCCCCTCATAACTACCTTATTCAGTATTTCAGGAAGGTTCTTTGCTCGGTTGATTTATTTATCAAACCAAAGCATTGCTTTCGGTTTTTTTCATTCGAATTAGTGAAACTCACAGAAATTTGCATCGCGCACTAATCATCCTTGTGGCTGTCATAGAAACTTTCTTGTCATAATCAAATATGTCGAGAAAAATCATTCCCACGGTTTCTTCTATGCGGCACCAGTTGCAGTGTCCCGATTGTCCAGGCCAATACTTGCATCACTTCGATTTGTTTTTTTATTATTCGTCCGTCACTTGCGGTTGATGCAGTAAAGTGACCGCCCGCCTAAAATCATACTACATTTATCTTCAACCACACTTTAATAATTATGGGTCATATTAAAAATCCTGGCAGCCCTTCGTAGAGTTCTCACGTGGGCATGTGGCATCCAAAAAGCTTTTAGGACTGTTATACTTAGTCTACCTCGAAAGACCATGGCAACAAGAAATGAAATAATGGTAAACCAGTCTTATTCTTAGTTGGGACCACTTTGATGCCTCTGCGTAAACAGGTAAATATCATAACAGCTTACTACACTTGTAATTAATTAGTACTTTAGCGTTTACTTGAAACTGCCTATGTCAAATGGTACCGTTTACAGAGAAGCAGAAAGCTGTTCGATCGCCGAAACCAATTTATTTATTTGTCTGAGTATTCGAACTCGTACAGGGTAGCCACTTTTGATAATATCACACTTAAGCAACGGCTCACGAAATTAACTTCGAAGCCACTAAGGTAATCGCTCATGTCAGAAGCAAGACAAGCCGCGAATTGATTGAAGCATGGGCTTTAGATGAGACCTCGCTCAACGTATCAATCTGGCGGTGGCATACAGAGCCATGCGCAGCTATCTCCGGACTGGAGTCGTGGAAATCCAACTGGTTCATTCCCCCTACAGCTGTAGCTTGCTCTCTTGCCGCTTTTGTCTTTGACGCTGGACACGTGTACGAGTTCGATGGCGCAGACGAATAAAGAATTTGTACCATCAACCGAACAGCCTTCTTCTTTCCTACCTATAAGTACTCCTGATATTCGAACATTCGTCTTAATTCAACATCATCTGTGTTTGAGTACCCTTATCACACTTTGGTTTGTCTTATTTTAAAAATTGAAGTATGACTCGGTTTTCTACACATTGTGTGACCCTCGGGTTTTGTCGCATACCAATATCATCAAATGTCAACAGAAATTATGAAGCGTGTTTTCGATTAGGAGGGATTTCTTCAGTCAGATGGTGGTATTTATTACCTCGCAGCATAATATTAAGGCGTTTCTGTCACGCCAAGATGCTGGCTTTTGGATGCGCTGCCTTTCTGTGACCTGCAAAAACTGCATTTTGTAAATAATGACTAGTCTAGTGTCATGAATATTTCCATTGGTTTTCGATGTTTTCTAGAAAACACGCAGAAAAATACCCTTTCTTGTACTCATCGGTAGTACACCGCTTCCTTAGAGTTTGTGGTCCACAAGCGGTTGCTTTCAGTTTCAAAAGTCTGTAATTATGAAATGTTTGTGACCCTGAAATGTCCACTCACATAGCACAGTATCTGTCAACTTATTGATGGCTTTCATTTAATATACGTCATGGACCATATACACTGCAAAATTTTACAAGCATTGTTTAATACCTCCTTAAAGACATAGCGGAATGCATGGTTTTTCCCTACGTAAAGGGTATACACCCTACATAATGGGTACCATCAACAAAAATGCAACGGCACGTCGGATACAAAGTTGCTGGAGTTTGAAAGACTTCTTGAGACAAAAAGATGACCTTTTAGCAGATAAAATTGAAGAGGGTATGATTTTATGCCAAAAGGGCGTTAAAGAGGATATTTTTGGCGTGCTTTATATAGATTATATGTGAACCTATTAGAATATCGATGGAGAAAATTCCAACTACATAAGCAGCCATTTTTGGCTGGATGTGATATTACAGGCGATCAGAAAGAATCACATTTAAAAACCGGCACCTCCGCGTGACAGAAGTGCCTTGAGATTATGTCGCACGATAACCAATATTACAACCTTACTTAGGTAATCGAAAACGCATTCCGAAATTCCGGTCAGCATTTCACGAAATTGGTCACCTGCTCTATGTAGCAGTTTTTGTTTACCTATCGTTTTTCAACCACACAGGTAACGCGATCTTTTTGCCTAGGCGATTGCTTGAGAGTTGACTGCATCCACTGAATTGACAGACTCTAAAACGAACGAGCAAAACTGCGAAAAGCACTATGAAGGAAGGATGGTACTTTGTGATTAAAAGTCTGAAAAAAGCGCAAGCAATGTCACCTCTGTTAGTCCACAGTGTTTTCAGTTTGAAATAAACATAGACCGGTTTAATGCGTGTCACGCGCTTGCACCTATATTTTTTTAATCACTGTAATGGCTTGTGATGAAGAATGTAAAAACGGCTTGTGACAGAAAATCGACGCATACGAGCAGTAGGCGTTAAAGGCGTTTTAGGTGCGAAGATCTTTATCCTCTTATTCGCGAGGTTGAGTTACGTAGAGAGAAAGCCTTCTCTGCCTTTACACTCGGCTCTATTTAAATTGTTCTCTAAAGTCTTTCCCCTATGCTATCCTCGCATACAGAACGGTGTCTCCGACGTCACCAAGAATCGAACTTCTTCGCCCCAGGGCACTGGGTCCACTTCACCCCCAGCGAGCAATTCCCCCAACGATTCAAAGTATAACTCACTAGACAAGCCACCACTATCAGGTAAAAAGACTCTAATGGCTGTGGCGCGGGGATCGCCCGCCAATCTTGCTCCTTCGGCCTCTTCCCCTTCCGTTGACAGCACCAGTGCAGAACAGGCTGCCAAGCAGCGACGTATTCCACCCCGCGACTACGTGCTCCCCGTGACTGACGAGCGCAGCAGTCCACGGCGAATCGTGAACGGTGCCAGCCAACGAGGAAATCACACGCCTGTTATTAGCCCGACGCAAGGAGATTATACTCTGCGCACCGATGCCTTATCAAATCACACTCCCCTGAAGGATCCCAATTCCTCCAATGGCCAGAAGGTGCAGCAGACCAGTGCTGACACAAAGCGCAGGTTCAGTGTGGACACTGCGCCGCAGGAGAACTCCCCTTCCAGCTACTACAAGCAGTCTGTGCCAATCCCGCGACCTAGCGGTTGTTGTAAACTCATGTAGTTAACTGATCATTGACACAGAGTCCCCACAGTCTCTTCATGTGCATAATCATTTGTGTGCACCGACGACCAGCGCCTGCACAACTGAGAACTGTTTTATCAGTTGCAGCATGTCCATATTACCAAAATTTCCAACAGACTGTTCCGCACTTCCGGAGAACATGAGTGCGAGAGAGAGGGAGAAAGTGAACAAGTGAGCGCGGAAGAGGACTGAGACGGACGAGCAGTTGTTCTTTCACAGGTTTTCCCACGTCCGTCCTCATTCTCCTCTCATCTCCCTTATCCCATCTGACCCCCCTTTCCTATTCCCGAGGGAGCCGAGCTGCCGCCGCAGCCTGAGCGGAGCGGGAAACGCAGACTTTTCAACCCACTGACACACACAAACTCAGATGCTCTTCCTGACTCGCTAAAGATTAATTTTTTCCGCAGTCAGGATCTGCTTTTCATACACAGAGTAAATACGGAGAGGACAGATCATACGAGAAATTTCAGAAGGGCAGTTACTTATGCGGTTTTTGTTGTGAAGCTGCTCGACGACCATTATTGTAGATAAGCTCCATTTTTCTGTTTTATTGTCTTTTTGTCGCATGTGAATTTGCCAGGGAGAAACGAAAAAGGTGTTAGTATATTTTCATATATTTCTTTCAGCCTATTTTGACTACTACGACCTAAGACGTCCAATGATCTCTGAAGAGGGCAAATTTTTGTAATACTAGTACTGGGTTATATTTTGACCGCCATACACAACAAATGCAACCCCGGTCACACGATGTGGATATAGCCGAGACTTGCGCGTAAACTTGCCTCTAGTGAAGCAGTCTTCCGACGTACCTAAGTAGTGACTGCTTCCAAATATGAATAGAACAAATACGTTGAAGGATAGCCAACAAAAATAGTTTAAGCATACGTTAATTTCGTTAAGCTTATGACAAAAGGCAATTAGGTGACTTTAAACAATCAAGCAGCCCTCCAGTCCTCCAGTTGGCTGGAGCTTCGAAATGCTGGCAGTCCCTCCGTGACCAAATAAGACACGACACAGCCAGCGCAGTGTTTAGGTTATTACAGTTAATCAGGTAGACAGAGTTGGCAGGAGACCATTCCTACATCCAGACAACATTTACATGTCCCAGTGGCAGGTGGCTATGTTTCCTCACTGTCATTTCATACAGAACGCTATACTCACCGTAATTTGGTCAGGGGAGGTGATAAGGTTCAACGCTTGTCTCACTAGGTGGTCGCTGCCGCTAAGAATGCGGGAATTTGCTTATAGGGAAGCAGGCACCCGCCACATCTACCTCATCCTCTCTCCCCTCACCCACAGCGCTCTGGTAGCATGACCCAGTTGAGATGTCCGGAGGTGGACGTGCTCTCGGTGTTTGGTAAGACTAAAAATTCAATGTTGTCGTGATTCACACGGTCTAGTCATGTGCGTAATTAGAGCCAACTTATGAGGAAACCACTGCAGCCTGATTCTGAGTATGGAGTAGATCCGAATTACTCTGCCAGGTGGAAACATTCAAATGCACATTCGGAATTCAAACCCCCGTATGTAAAAAGAACCAGCATATGAGGAAACCATTGAGGTTTGATCCTGAGTAATTCACATTAAACCAACTATGTAAAACTCGGCGCCTCGGTGGAATTCGAAACCACGCAGTAAGGGGAAGGCTTTAGTACAGGCAACGCCCTAACCACTTGAGCTACGGGGCTCCGCCGGACGACGCGATTTTAACCACATTTGGGTTAAGTTACCCGCTCAACTTACTGCAACGTCTGGAATCCACCAAATCTGATAGAGTAAGTTGACTGCTCAGGCAGGATTTCCTAAGTGATTCACCTAGAATCCACCAGATGACCGCCAGACTCACGTAATTTATAAATGTTTTCGGCGGGGCCTCGTAGCTCAAGTGGTTAGAGCGTTGGCTGTATTAAAGCCTGCCCCTTACTGCCTGGGTTCGAATCCCACCGAGGCGCCGAGTTTTTACAGTTGGGTCAATATGAATTATTCAAAATCTGCCAAAACATCTATGAAGTACGTGAGTCTGTTGGCCATCTGGTTGATTCTAGGTGCATTACTTAGGAAATCCTGCTTGGGCAGTCAACATACTGTATCAGATTTGGTGGATTCTAGACGCTGCAGTAGGTTGGGCGGACAACTTTACCGAAATGTGATTAAACTCGCGTCGTCCAGCGGGGCCTCGTAGCTCAGGTGTTTAGAGTGTTGGCTGTACTAAAGCCTGCCCCTTACTTTCTGGGTTTGATTCCCACCGGGGCGCCGAGTTCTTCCTTGTTGGATTAATATTAATTATTCAAAATCTGCTAAAACACCAATGAATTGATCCTGAGTATTCGGTAGAACGGACCTACCCTGCCTGTCGGCAACGTTCAAATGCACGATTGTTATCATGCCTTCATAATTGAAAAGAATGCTTCCCCGTTCATGATGGGTGACAAAGCTCCGGATCAGTATTCCATCCACTTCACCTTCTCTTCTACCAGTGACTTATCCGAGTCAAGCTGACTGGTAATGTGACACGATGTCGCACACTGTCGCGTACCCTACATGCTTTCAGACCTCAGTGAACTCGTAGGTAATCAGAAAGCCTAATTATAAGGGTGTCCTTGAAGCAAGACCCCAGGTTCAATGGAGCAACGAGCTACCCGGTCATCTAAGCACATTCCAAACCACTACTCTAATGGCATTATAATAATTTCAACTGCGTCATATTCAATGTGGCGGAGGATGGGGCCATTCGTCATACGTAATACGTTCCAGGGATAGGCCTTATTCTGGCTCTCTTTCTTTTTGCGTGAGTCAATAATCTACCAGGGTCCTTCGGCTCACTTTTTGTGAGACTGGATGCAGCGGCTGACTTGTCATCAACCTTCACTCAGACAATGCGCATGTATGTACGGCGGTGATTAAGAACCCGTTGATGTGGGTAAGTGAATGTCCGACCCGGATTAACCCTGACTAGATCACGATTATACAGTTGACATAAGTAAAAACGGTGTCCTCATTGAAGATTATATATATGGTTTTGGGCAGGAGGGGGGTTATAAGAGTTGGCAGTGACAATGTGCATGAGGCCGCCCAACTAGTCCAATCAGAACTTGGAACGCGGTTTGACATTTTGATGGCGGCTCGATGCGACAACACTCCAGTTCTGTGAGCCTGTCGCTTCACCTTAACTTCCATTATTCGTTGGGTTTTAACGGTGGCTGCTCTGATTTTGACGGCTGTGTCGCCAGGCCTGACAATCTCAGACAAACCTTTATCGTGCATGTTGGCCTAATGTAAATCCATTTGGGAGGTTCTCAGTGAGGTTCTCAGTGAGGTTCTTAGTGTTTTTTCCATTGTCCGCCAGTGCTGCCGACTACGTCCACGCAGAAGGGTCATTTCGGCGTGCGTTTATCACTCATTCTGCACCTGAACTTGTTTCAGATGGCATAGGTACTTCGTATGGCAGTCGACTTCCCTGCTTGAGTGCTCGATATCCTTTCCATCCAATTCATCTTTAGTGCTTGTCGTACACGGTCTAGGTTGTAGTTATTGAGTCTCCTCATTTGACTCGAGTAGGCCGTTCAGGCATTTGGGTCACCGAGCAGTGTTGTCATGACGATTACCAAATGCATTCTGAGTTTTATACCGAGAAGTATACGTCGGCCATTCTATATTGAGTGTTGTAGTCTGCCAAGGAGCTGTCTGGCTTTGGAAGTCCTGCCTGAGACCTCGGCGTCGATCTCGAAGTCGAGTGCTTCCTAGATAAGAAGACTGGTCTAGAAATGAGTGGCGATTATTAGTGAAAGTTATCTGAATTTCAGTGTTTTAGACCATTCATTTTGGTTACAGCATGTAGACGCTTTCTGAGTGCAAACGATAGGTTACAAAAGCGACCATCGAACGAACTGCAAAGGGAGTTATATGCGTATCCTTACAGCGGATAGAAGCTTACTGCAATCCTTCAGCCGTCGAGAGGGTCAACATCGATCACCACGAAGAACACTCCAGACCAAAAGGCCATTCAAGAGCATCCGCTAAGGGAAACTGAGTAGCTTGACAAAAACAAAATTATGAAAACAACCAGCCTAGTTTAAGGTCAAGCATATATGGTGTTTCAACGACATCGATCATACCACCCGGAATAGGAATCGCCTACAGACACGACCATTCTCGTTTGTGATCCGCCTGAAAGATATCATTACATACCAGTGAAAGTCAGCTGTTGTCCGACCTCCATCCAGCAGCTGAAAAGGCAAGCAAGGCAAAGAAACCGGATGACCACTGAGGAGGCGGAGTTACGAACACCCCGAGGGTGGTTCTGAACTTAGACCTGTAAGTATAATCCTGGCAATCCGGTATATCTGCCCCTTTGGCGCAGTTGGCGTGACTAATCGATGCGATCACTGCTTCAGAGAGTTTTAGGAGGCTTTGCTGTCAAGTCACTGCCAATTTGAGCGCCAAGTCGATCACTTTGGGATGTACATCGCAAGCTGATAAAGAATGGTGAAGAGGCGTGACCTTCGGAGTCGCCACTTATTGTCACTAGCAAGGAGAACAGGGTGACACAGAGTACGGTCCAAATGGACACGTGTCCACTCACGGACCGCACTGGCGAACCACGCGCTGGGCACGGTGCGCTCGTGTTCCATATTGCCTAGTCTACGGTTTATGCACGGGAAGTGTTAAGCTCTGACGGAGGGTGGCCGAATTCGCTACTTCAGATATCCGAATATAATACACCTCATCCAGATAGGAATAAAGCATAAGTATGACTTTCGATACAAAACAGGGCAAAGTCCACACGCCCCGTTTGCGCCTCACTCCTAACCCTGACAAATTCAAAACCAATCGGTCGTTGCGGGAAAGCCTGAAATGACCGTTTCAGTTTCCGTATCTTTATCGACGGGCTCGTCTTTGTAAAAATTTTGAACTGTTAAGCACAGAAATGTGAACATTTTATCTAGCAAACAGGTATGTTGGAACCGAACAATGTCCGA